AGCCCTACCAGGTAGTCCGGTTCTGTCGGCTAAGCATCGTTCCGTACCGCTTGGGTGCACAAATCTGACTGAGGCACCTCATTGTGATCGATGTGCGTGTGTGCGGCCCCTCTTTTGGTGTGAATGGATGTGTAAGTGGGAGAGAAAAGATGGTGTGTTAGGCCAATGCATGTTGGTTGCAGTCCACGTGCGCCAAGCCAGAAACAGGTTTCAAGATTATGTATCGAAACAAACTCCTCGAGAGTATAATAGTTCGTCCCGGACGCACGCCAGGACATCATTTAGCTCCTCGGAATTATGCCTTGCTGACCCGTTTGGTTCTACATTGTTAATAACCCTTTTCTTCCCAGCCTTTCGTAGGCTTTGGTTTTGCAGATCGCCCTTTCTCACAACAAATCTTGGAGGACTGTAGCAACACGCAATGCATCTAGAATCGTCCGTCGCGGCCGCCGCGATGCTGCTTGCCGGCTTCTCGGCAGCGGCCCCACTCGAACGCCGGGCTTTCAGTGCCGAGCTCCCGACCAGCCCCGAACAGATTCGCGTTGTCGAACAAGAAGCTCGCGGGTCTCTGCCCAACTCTGCGCCGCCACCGAAGTTGGAGCCAAGCAGTTTGACAGCTTTCCAGCTCATTCAGTTCAACGAGCAGTTCGAAGTCGCCTTTTTCTCGTCCATGCTGGAGAATGTTACTCAGGGAGGACCTGGCTGGGAAACAACGGAGAAGGACAAGCTTATGGATGCGCTGAAAGTTGTTGTTGCTGTATGTCCCCCGCTCTCAGCTGGCTTTTCGCATGGTCACTAACCCATTCACAGCAAGAGAAGCTTCATGCACTTGACGCCAAGGGTGTGTTGGACCATTTCAAAGCGTTCTCGCCGGCACCTTGCCAGTATCAGTTCCCTACCAACAGTCTCAAGGAAGCCGTCGCTTTGGCTGAGACGTTTACCTCGGTGGTGCTGGGTACCCTCCAAGATGCGACACAGCTTCTCGCAAAGAATGGCGACTCGGGCCCAGTCCGTGCCGTGACATCCGTCATCGGCCAGGAAGGCGAACAGAACGGGTTCTATCGCAGCATCTTAGCCCGTGCGCCCTCGTCGCAACCTTTCCTTACGACTTCAATCGCCCCGTTCGCCTTCTCCGCTCTTCAGTCTTTCGTCGTCAAGGATTCTTGCCCGTTCAAGATGTCGTCGATCGAAATCCCAACCTTTGCGCCCCTGAACGTCATGCAGATGGCAAATGGAGGCGAGATTGAGGCGAAGGACCAAATGCTCTCCATGAAGGTTGACTTGCGAGAGGTTGTCACTGCTGGACGCTTCCTCGGCAAGGACCCCGGTGGTCTCTTCGTCACCTACCTCAACGGCCAGAACGTCCCTCTCAGTGTTCCTGTCAAGAATGGACAATGGACCGGTTCCAGCATCGAATTCCAAGCCGACTTCCCCTTCGAGAAGAACAGTATGTGGGGATTGACCATCGCGGCGCTGACGTTTGAGGGTAACTTCAAAAATGCGGACGATATCGCGAAGGCTACGCTTGCGGGTCCAGGTCTGATCCAGGTCAACAAGTGACAGATAACAGAGAGTTTCTGTGTTTTTTTTTATTCAAGGCATAATATGGGAAAGCGATGTGTAGAAGATTTGGAAGATATCCCAAGCTTGGGAGTTTTTGGCGTTCTCAACAGCATAGACTAACTAGCCTTCACTTCTAGCAAATAATTCTCGTTACCATACTGCGCCCATTCTTCCCAAGCTCAGAATGACACTTGAGTGGCGGTCAGTGATGGCGACAGGGGCCATTGGCCAAGTCGCGGACGTCGCAAATCTTGATCCGAACATTCAAGACCTCTGCCTGCAGGCGGTTTAAACCGGCAAACCGGGCATGCAATACAACAGCATCCGTAGCGCCAGCTGGGATTGGCTGTGCGGTGTTGGTGTCCATCTCCGTTGCCGACTGTATGTTCTTCACCGTCCTACTCAATATTACCAACAGACTTTTCGCTGCGCGATGACGCTACTGTGAATGTGTTCGAAAGATGAGATGATGAGCCCCTTTCCATCCACGGATGCCCCTTCCGACACATTTCGACTCAACACAGGACCCGAATAGGAAATGCTTGGTCCTGCCCGGTTCGTCCGCTCGCGCCGCCGAATACGACAATTAGCTCATATGATTAAGTCGTCCGACCATTCTTCCTGCGCTGCTTCTGCACATGCAACATTGTCACATTCTGTTCTCATTCTCCAGCAGTATTCCGACTCGCACAAGGAATCCGAAGTTGCATGTGGTCTAGAATCTTTCCGAGGGCATGACAGATCCTGACGATCAACAATTTGGCGATCTCTTATCATGACCACTAAGATCGACGGCTTGGCGCAACCGTCAGAAAAGACAACAAGAACGCGAAAGCGATTCCCTGCCCAGGAAACAGCACAGGTCCTAGTGCACGGAGTGGGCCTGTCACATACTTCGTCTCAGATGGTACCAAAACTTCGGATTCAAGGGTGTCTTTGATAGTTCGGACGTTTCTCAAAGCGCACTTGACGGAGCTATCAAACAGGATAGCCTTGCAAAATTTCACAATCAAGGCCATTCTTCGCTTCTCCGAGGGACAGTCGGTAAACCATATTCCCGAACGGGCCAAGCCAGGAACCGATACCCTAGCTTCCCCAGAAGCTAGATCTGTGGCGAAAAAGCTTGATTCTTTAATCGATATAATGACTTCAGAACTTCGATGGATGAACTCTATAATTTGACAGTCATTTGTGTACTCCCGCGGATTCTTTCCCGTCCCCGCGCGGGATTGAGGGAGAGCACCCGGTGGTGGGAGCACGAGGATGAAGCCGACGGAAAATGACAAAATATCAGGCGATTTATCTCTGTCGAGATGAGGGGAAGAGGCGAAATGATCGCCAAAACTTCCGAGTGGGTGTGGAATCTCATCATACCTCGGATCTCAGACGACGTCGGGAGCATGTGTCGAGACGAGTTAGTTGCCGAGAAGACACCTACCAACGGTTATCTCTCGAATCAGGGGCATGCCGAATCCTCTTTGGGCAACTGAGGGGTCTTGGAAGGTTGTCAAGACGGCGCATCCCCCACGGAAGCTTCCTCGATGGTCGCGTCCAACGAGATACGATTCGTGGCCAGGGATTGAGTCATTTTCAGTCGGCGGTTTGGCGGGAAACGCTGGTCTGTGTCCACTTCACTTGGCAGTAAGCTTATTAAGAACTCAATTCTGGCGTCGGAGTCTAGACCGGCATATCACTCTTTCTTTCCGGAAGTCAGGGGTGAGACAACAGGGATTGGCACCTTGTGTCACGACCTCCCACCGGTGGCCGAATCGTTAAAATCGTCTTAGATCTCAAGTTGAACACGCACCTCTGACAGGGCAATTTGAGGTATATGCGTGCAAGAAATGAGTTCTATGCCACTAAGAAACTCCAATGCGCGAGTCAAGCTTGTATGACTTCAGGACCACGGCGATAGTCTGGAGAATTCGTACAGCCTATTGCTTGACATTCTTGAGCCCCACATGACCTCCTTTGCCTGCGCAATGGCAATAAAATGCGCTTTGAGACTTATATCATAATCACGTAGGAACTGGTAGGCGATAAGAACATTGGAAGAACAAATTATACTCCCTACTTGCCAGCGCATTCAACCGGCAGCTATGAATGTAGACTTCAAGTCATCAAGCTATCCACATTACCACTGACGTGTTATGCCTACTGTACGGAATTCCTTTTCAACTCCCGTAGGACGACAACAAGAGTGATGACGGGCAAGACCTTTGCTTGAAAATCAATATCTTTTGTCAAAGTGAGAAATTTCATCGTTGTCCCCGCAGCTCGGGGGTCAAAGCATTCTTCAACACCGCGTTCCGTGAGCGTGCTTGCGAGCTTGAGATAGAGAGAGAACCCAAGCAACCGAAATAGTAACTTTCCAGAAGCATGTCCAGACATAGAGCTCGGGTTTTAAACACTCCGAAGTACATTTATTCGCTATATCCGTTGGTTGTGAGGACCTGTGATGCGTGCTACCAAGCACCAAATGCTCAAATAGTAGGAATGATGCCTTAGGTGGTACAATGTCTTGCCATACCTTGGACCAAGAAAGCACCATCTGATTTCCATATCTAGGGAGACGCCCAGAAATTGACCCAAGTGGGGGGGCCTTGATGAGTAAAAATGTCTCTGAGGAGCCAATGAACTTTGATGAAGGTATGCTGGAAAAACATGTCTTTGAACATTTGACTGACTATCCCGTGTTAAAACTCACGAACAACACCCTAGACGCGTTTGTCAATGAGAAGAGGCCCTCTTCACGTAAGAGTGTTAGCCCGGGCACTTCGTTACCGCGATGCATCGCGGTGCAAGTGCCGGCGCGCCGAATCCCCCGGTTCACTCGGCTCCGGGTTCCCCGTCAGCGTACCGGGGGTAATAACCTTAAATGGCTTACACGGCAGCGATCAGCCCTCAACCATGTTCAAGAATGGCCACGGGCCCGTCTTGGGATCCGCTGAAAGCTGACTTGAAATATCGCAAGCTTGATTTTTCCCCGCGGTACCACATCTTGGCTTGATCGTGTTCGGTCTTGGTAGTCATGCCACTCTGCTTTGCCTGACTGACTGCCGCTCGAATGAACAGATCGTGAGCTGCACTTTTGCGGGGTGCCCCTGAGTTCCCCGCGCTCGTAGCTCGGAAACAGCGCCGAATGCGACTCCAGCCTCTGCATTCAATCCGTCTTAAGCGCTCGGCTAGTGCTACACCGAATTTCTTCACGACCGCCTAATCCACTTGCAGCACACAAGCCGTGGTTGGCTCTGCATGATAGACGTCATGTGCGTTTTTGCAAATATCGCCAAGACATCATCAACTCCAGGGTTGAATGGTACATACAAATACATCATGAAAGGCCGATGACTTTTTTCCCGTGGTCTGTTGCTGGATGTCGTAGTGTGGCTTGGTCTTCTTGAATTGAAGCTTTCTCACAGCTCAATTGAGTTAACATGCGTTCGTTCGGTTTTGCCCTTGCCACGGCCTTGTCCGTAGGCACCGCCAATGCTGCCCTTAGTATCGTTCCCGGAGCCACCTGGACGGCTGTAAGTTATCTATGGATCCGCCTGCTAATGGCACCAAAGTTGACCATTTTCAGACGAACACCGGAGAGCATGTTCAAGCCCATGGTAACGGAATCATGTAAGCTGATCCTTCAACATTGATCATCATTGACACTTACACCATTTAGTGAGGAAAATGGTGTCTACTACATGATTGGCGAAGAAAAGACCGACGGATCGGCTTTCCAAGCTGTCAACTGTTACTCGTCCACGAACCTCGTTGAGTGGAGCTTTGAGGGGCGACTTATCTCTCGTACCGAAGAAGCAGGTGACCTGGGACCCAACCGCATCATTGAGCGTCCCAAGGTCATTAAGAACGATAGCACGGGGAAGTATGTTTTGTATCTTCACATCGACTCTTCAGACTACAAGGATGCACGTGTGGGCGTCGGAATCGGCGACTCTGTCTGTGGAGAGTATGAGTATCTCCGAAGCTTCCGCCCCCTGGGCTTCCAGAGCCGCGACATCGGAGTTTACAAGGATGATGACGGCAAGGCTTATCTCCTGAGTGAGGATGTAAGAGAACTCCAATCTCCCCGAAGAAAGACGAAGTTGTGCTGATGCATGGGCAGCGCGAGTACGGAACCCGCATCATCAAGCTCACCGATGATTACCTTGACGTCGAAGAGGTTACTTTCGGCTGGGAGTACTTTGCTGAGTCACCCGCCTTGGTCAAGAGGAACGGAATCTACTACATCTTCGGATCTCATCTCACTGGCTGGAACCCCAACGATAATGTAAGCTACCGCGCTGATGAAGAACACAAGAGTGGTAGCTGACTCTCTCATTAGGTTTACAGCTATGCTGAGTCTCTTTCTGGCCCATGGTCCAACTGGACGGAATTTGCACCCGTAGGATCCAACACATTCAGCAGCCAGGTCAGCTACGTTTTGCCATTGGGCAACGACAAGGCAGTTTACATGGGAGACCGCTGGCACTCGACCAACTTGGCGGCAAGCACCTACATCTGGTTGCCCTTGAACTTCGATGGAACCACAGTTACCCTTGACTGGCATGATTCCTGGACTTTGGACGTCGCCGCAGGCACCTGGTCTGAGGCGAAGCCTACCATTGAGCTGGAGGGCGAAGCCGCCGAGCTGTCCAATGGTGCTCGTGCGGTTGACTGTTCTCAGTGCAGTGGCAGTTCAGCCGCTGGATACCTTGGCGGAGACGATGATGGCACGGCTATCTTCAACTTTGACTCAGCTGCCGCAGACCGTGTTACTCTCGTGGTCAAGCACAAGAATGGAGACACTAGCTCTCGCCATGCTGCTGTCTCGGTAAACGGCGAGGAGCAGAGCGTGGCCTTCTTGGCTACCAATCAACACCCCGACAGAGCTGGCAGCAGCGTCATTCATGCTGATCTGAAGGAGGGAGCGAACACGGTTACGTTCTCCAGGTCGGAGGGTTGGGGCCCCGACGTTGATCAGTTGATTGTCCCTCAGTTGTGAGATGGTCATTACCTTAGTACTCAGTACGATTTAAATAAAGAGCTGTATCAGTTAGAAATGTGCTGCGACCTTGTATTACATGATGTGTACTACTCCTTGGGCTCTACCCATTGCGCGCGCCATTGTCCCTCTTTGCTCTCGTCGCGATAGGCTGGAGTGTCAGGGCGACTGACAAATTTTATATTTTAGCCGAACTCACATAGGCTCTCTTGAACTTATCTACAGTTCGATAATGGGTGAGTACTTAGGAGAAGTCCTAAAATCCCCAAGATGACAAACACACTGGGGGTATCCAATGGCGGGAACGTGAACGCCGACATTTGTTTCTGGACTATCTGAACAATGTTCCTAATACTGGATTATTTGACTGATTGTGCTCTCCTAATGGGCTTACATTTTACATCTTTCTATTCTTCCTATTCTAACAACATTGAATGAACGCCGTAGTGTCTGTTTGAGGAATGGAACATGGTCAAAGCCAGATAGTAGCGAATTAGGATAGTTTGCTTCTAAATGAATTTGGGGACGGCTCAACTTGTCATCATGCCCTCGTACCACACCGCCAACGAGGTCCCGAGGTGCATTCGCCAAAGATGTCTTGCATTACGCATTGGCACGTACTGCAACAATACTCAACCGGAAAATTTCTCGCAGGCGTCCCGACCCGCGCCATGCGAACTAGTCCTAATTCCCTCGTTCTCTTGAACATGATTCGCAATTCAATGGCGTAGGCATATTTGTCTGACGGGAGTCGATATTTTCCGCTGGCTCAAATTTCCATTGCCGTTATTGATGGAGCCCACTGCCCGGTGTGCTAAACTACCCAGCCAAGTTTCTAGCACAGCCTGCCTAGCTCAGGACATCCACTCCCGCTATTACTGCTCAACTGACGGAAGTTGGCATTTTTTTACGAGCGCTCTGATCATTATTCGGCGGGTGTCCGCAGGCACCCTTGTGATGCTTCGTTGAGCTCCGCCTCCTGGTTGTTGAGTCGTAGGTGGATCTAAATTGGGAACAATGTAGTGCCGGGGACTTAACGTAAAGCTTATCTCCCCGGCCTAACACCCCGATCCTATGTCCCCGACCTAAATGCAACGACTGTCGCCCTTCACTTAACACACGCGCTGTCCTGGATCACATTAAGAGACGCTTGCGTACTGCTAGTGAAGCTGGCATATTCGCGTGACTCCAAGTAAGCTTCGTGGCTTCTTCGTTTGATTCGCGTGATTCTAGGCCTGGCATTCTACTTCGTCATCCCCACCTTACCGATGCGACCACTCGACTACTAGACGTGCGATCGCATTTGCTTCTCTCAAAGTTGTTTGTTTCCGAGGGACATGGAAGTCGAGAATGATGTGGATAACAATTCGCGGTCGATTCATCAACATGATTTAGTGTCGAGCCTCACCTCCTAACTTGCCGGCTAGTATTTGTTACTCACGAATTCATGTGATTCGTTAGCTTGTGGTGCTCTTTCGATGTAACTACGATCGACATCGAATTTTCTACGAGACAGCTCGCTTCTCTAGGAGCCCCGCCTCCCCGGTGCGCCATTGCCGGGTCCCACCTGCCGTGCTACCGTCCCGGTTGGCACCGCAGCGGAAGTCAGGGGCTACAAGACCCATGACACGCGTCGCGATCTGCCGGCCAAGGCGAAAAAGGGCGAAAATTTAGACTTATTGCTTGATATTGAGTGTGCTTTGCCTGGGCGATTCTCGGTTTCGGTTTCCGGGGCTTGAAAACACGGATTACAAACGAGCCAAGGAACGGTTGCGAGCAAAGCGTTATCAGCACAGGTCAATGTGAGGCTTAGTTACCCACTGCGCAAGAAGCTCAATTAGTGGGTATTCAGATCTTACAATCATTACGCGTGATAATATGTGGTTGTTGTATTTTCTATGACATGAGGACAAAGAAAATGTAAGACAATTCGTATACTATGTACATTGAAGAGCACAGAAACCGCGCTCGACTTCTCCATGTTTGGCCAAGTGACCCGAGGTTTTCATGATAAACGGCTCCAAGGTCTCTAGTTGACATACTCAGCGCAAACAACATCGCCCCTGATTTCCATGATATCAGCAATGGTGACGTCAGGAACCAAGTTCTGGATGAAGAGGACGTGGTTGAGCGTTGTGACATTGCCATTATCACCATTGTAGTCCGTGAGCTCACTACCGGGGGCAGAAAGGCCAGCCATGTCAAGGATCGACTGGTCGGGAATATTCTGACCACTGATGTCGGTCAAACGCGCGGTCAAGTTGGCCTCCTGCCACTGCCACCACACGCGGTTCAAGTAAGCGTGGTGGAGGTAGAAGAGCGGGTCTCCGTTGCTCTCGATAGGGTCGCTCATCTGTTTAGCGCAAAGTAACGCGTCAGCAACTTTACCCGAAGTTCTATTTCGACGGCATATGGGCAAGGGTGTGGGAGTTATCTTACCAGGCCACCGACTGCGCCGTGTCCAGCGCCATGAGGAGAGCCGTTGTAGCATTGCCATGCCTCGTCGTACGATGTTTTGTTGAAACATTCAACAAGGTTGTCGCTGTTTGCTGTGTCAAGGTCGTCTTGGTTGAGCTTTCGTTGGAGGCAGTAGGTGTTGTTGCTGCTGGCGGTTTTCATGTGCAGAGTGAGGTTCGCAAAGGGTCCGTCGGCGATGCAGCCGTCATCTGAATCACGGTCAGACCCAATCAAAGTTGATAGACCCACTCGGCCGAGTCTCACCTCCTTGACCATCACCTCCAAATCCGTAGACAGGGTCGAAGATGGACGACTGGTTGAGCGGGGCGGTCTCCAGATCAGTAAGCTCATCCCAGTATGGGTGGGCGCCGGTGTAGCTGCATTCGGTTTGCAGCAGCATCTCATGAGCACGGACGAAATACCGATGCCAGGGCAAGAAATGGCCCACGTAATGGATGTAGTTGCCCTGATAGATGTGGGTGTAGTGCAGTTCGTCCCAAAGGTTTTGAGCCCCTGCAACCCCCGCACGTGGGGGGCGACTGATGAGGCAGAGCTCAGCCTCTATGTAAGCTGACAAACAATTTGTCAATGGTTGATGAGCCAGAGTTTGCCCAGTAGACTTACAGGTTTTCTCATCGCTGGTGAGAACGTTCCTTCAGAAGATTTCAGCATAAGCCAAGCTCTGTGGATGATCAATGGGACACTCACCATGACTTTCTTTAATTCTGGGTACACGTCCCGTTGCGCTTTGCCAGGGGCCCAGCTGCAGCCGATGAGACTGCAAAGAGGCCAAAGATGGTAGATTGAGCCAGGGAAATCTTCATGGCGTTCGAAAATGAGTGCGAGAATAACAGAATGAGCGACGTAGAGTGGTTCGATGTGCAGAATCAGGAGTATTGGAGGGTAACACCGGATGATTATTGCAAAGCTTGGGACGACAAAGACCTTGTATGCTCCTATATAGAAACTTTTCCTCCGCAAGGACTGACCTCCTTTTCCATGACAGGACTTTTAAATCCGCCCAGCTTGTGACAGGGAGGGGTTGAATGACAGCAGTTGTCAAGAGTGGCAACGTTACGGCGAGCCTCACCGGAACGTAATGGCCCTCCCTGCTGCGGAGACAACTTACGCAACCTCGCCAGGGGATTGATGTTCCACAAGGCTAGCATGCTCAGCTTAGATTAGGCTTAGAAGATGGGGCAATGCGGCTTTCAGTTGAGCGTACGAATATGAACAACATGTTGGTCGGAAAATTTGCCAGTCTCGGAAAACTTACCTGTTCTGCTAAAGCTGCCACCTTACTTCTCTCTTCACTCCATGCTGGTTCTTTTCCAACAAATATCTACAAAAGGACATTCCCGTCCTTTTGGTTTTAATGAAAACTTTGAAAAATGTAGGGAGCTCATGGAAATAGTCCAAGCAAAAAAGGGTGTGCCAAGGGGCTGCCAGGGGAACTCGGCAGACGTGCAGTAAAAGCGGCGCGGTTCGCAGATAGTGACCTATGTGGATACCCAAGGAGCAAGGATCAATGCTCGCAGCAAAGGGGTCGTCATGACGGTCATATTGAGGCTCATTGGACGATCACGTCTCACAGGGGTGCTTATAGCCAAGAAGGTCTGTCCGTACGTGACAAGGCTGTTTATAATCGGCTACTCTTAGTCCTTGAATCTCCTGAGGACTAACGAGCGTTCTATCTATACGAATGCAACAAGCGTCTGCTCTTGCACAGACCGCTCTGTACGGAAAACCACTCCATAGCTACCTTAATGGTGCATCTAGTTCACCGTGCTACCTTCAGGTCACAGTTCCACTGACGGGGGTGAGAGTCAGGAGGAAAAATGAGTTGAACATCGCAAGTCCTTGTGATATGCATAATCGTCTCTATTTACGGACGCAAAATAATGTTTGTGGGGAGGGGTCAGTGACTGACGGCCCATCTTCTTTACGACGTCAATTATCTGGGCATGCTCAGTGCGTACAGCCCGATGGCTGGGTGAAGTGATAGTAACGGTGATAAGGCTTCTGTTTAAGCTGAAGTAGCAAGGAACACGTAATCTGTCTTATGCCGCAAGGCTCTAGCTGTGATGTCGCTTAGTATCGTGATAATGGCGGCAAGGAGATGTCTTGATGGAGTACGTCAACTCTTGTCAGGAGGCTCCGGTCGACTGCATAGTCACAACGATAGTGATGCAATGCGCGGTCTCGCCTTTGCCGGTTTGGCGCGTCTGTGAGCGACAGTATACGTAGGCTCGACTATTTCCGGACTGCCCGAAGCTGTGGAGGCACCCAGAATGGATCATGGGAGATCAGCCACTTGGCAGGTTGACGCATTACTCAAGGCTGTAATGTGAGTCTTCTGAGGTATTGATAGGTATAAAAGACATAAGCCAGGCGTTTGATCGGAAACTCTCTTCACCACCATCAACACTTCATCATTACCATCACTCGTTCTCAACTACAACACCCGCCTTTGAGTCAATCGTTTAGCACTCCTCAACATGAAGTTCATTGCTGCCTTTTCATCTCTGCTGGCTCTTGCCAACGGCCTGGCCATCAAGCGCCAGTCTTGCTCCAACCCATCCACTCGTGTTGAATGGCGTGATTTTTCCGACGACCAGAAGTCCTCTTACATGGAGGCTGTCAAGTGTCTCAAAGACACCCCGTCCCGTCTGTCCTCGGACTCGGGCTCGGCCAGTCTGTACGATGACTTTGCGAATGTCCATAGACAGTTGGACTCTGAGAGTGAGTGAGGAACTTTCTGTATGAGAGTTGGGGCTAAGCAGTTGACCAGTTCACTTCGTTTCTTCATTCCTTCCCTGGCACAGATGGTTCCTTTGGCTCTACGAGCAAGCTCTGCAGAATGACTGCAACTACGACAGCACCGTCCCATACTGGGACTGGTCTCTCGACTACGCCGACGGCGCTTCCTCCCCCGTCTTCGACGCCGATACCGGGTTTGGTGGTGATGGAGACGAGTCGACCCTTTGCGTTGCATCTGGACCGTTCGTGGATTTCAATGTCTCGACCCCTGACAATCACTGCCTGCAACGCGAGTTCGACATGTCTGTGCTTGAGCAATACAACTCGCCGTCTGAAGTCAACACCACTCTCGAATATTCTTCATACTCTGCCTTCCGCCCTGGCATCGAGAACGGGCTCCACAGAGGCGGACATGCTGCCATAGCTGGAGACATGGCCAACAACTATTCCCCCAACGGTGAGTAAGCAATCATCGACTACTTGGAGAAGATTGCAACTAATTTAAAAATATCAAGATCCCGTTTTCTTCCTGCACCACGGAGCCATTGACCGAGTTTGGTGGGAGTGGCAGTCTGCCAACAGTAGCAGACTCACTGATTACAGCGGCAACAGATACCAGAACGACTCCGCTATTGAGGGTTCTCTCTCGGATGTCTTGTTTATGGTTGACGGCTGGGTCGACTCTGTTCCCACCGTTGAAGATGTCATGTGGGTTCAGAACGACATCTTCTGCTACACCTACTAGACAATCAGGCATGGCTGTCTCCGTTTATCGATGCCCAATTTCACAGCTCTGCACGACAATATCCGGGTCTAGGTCGCTCAGTCTAACAGAGAGATCCGATGATTGTCTACTCATCTCAACTCCAACTGTTGTTTCACTGAATCACCCAGCAACTGTTCTTCATGTCATTACACTCGTTTACAAACAACAATAGTCCTTCTTTTCACGTTGTACATAGTACCTCAGCCATAGCAATGAAAGTTTTGATGCTTCCTCTCATTTAAATTTAGACTGGAACGAGACTTTCTGGAACTTCCGCTTTGATGCCGATAATTGTCCGGGATGTCGAAAATGAGATTGCTTGCCTCTGCCGTTTTCATATCTAGTGCGAGGGGAGTTTGTCGTTTCCGTTCTCGTCGTCCACCCTGTTACTCCCGCTCAGGTACCACATTCCCGTTTGCGTTCTAGCTTCACGCCAAATCCGTGGAGGAGGGTCGAAGAGGCACGAGGGTCGCACATTTTGAGCACAGGAATTGAAAGTCCAACACCGGGTTCGACTTGGCACGTCATATGATTGACGACGTTTTCCCGGTACTCGAGGCGCAAAAGAATGGTTTCTACGGTGCGCTGAAGAATAAGCATTATATGCTTTGCGACCTGATCGTATCTTGGTCTCTGACGCCTGGAAACACCGACGCACCAGAGCTTGGCCTCAGAATTGATGACAGCGTGGACGACTTGTTCTACATTGGCGGCAGGGAGAGCTTTTTGAACACGCTCAGTATTCTCAGCGAGGTACTACCGGGGTTGCAATCGAATAAGAAACCCATTGAGCCTGTTAATTTCGACAATATGAAGGATGTCATGGCTCGGAAGGGGGTCCCGAAGTTCGACCGCGACCGCGACATTCTCAAGCATGTGTTTGAGGATCTCGCATTCATTGACGACCATCTCGGAAAGAAAGATCCATCCGGGTTGATAGAATGGCCACATGTCATCGAAGACAACCTACTGCGCGGCCTAAGGGAAGCTCGTCAAACTGGGAAGATACCCTTCTACCTGGCCTTCGCGTCACAGGTGCTGCTTGATATTCACCACTATCTCGGCAAAAAGATCTCCAAGCCGAAAGACAAGATGCTAGATATCATGCAAAAGTTGTGTGATCAGTTCAGCGAGTGTTATCGGGTGCTCACTACTTTGGACGTGTTCGAAGAATTCGACGAGTATGATCACGAGATGAGAGAACTGGCCACAGGCTGTCTAGAACTACAAGAGGATCCCATTTACATGGCCAAGCTGGCTTTGCAGAAGAAGAAAAAGCTTGGAAGCGCGGCCAAACCAGAGAAACATGGCTTTTGGAAAAGACATCCCATCGCATGTGGCCTGCTTCTTTACGCGTACCGGACCACCATGTACCGCACAGGCATTCATTCCGCGAACGTTTCCCGATCAATTCTCTGCGCCATGCATCTGTATAACGCTGTGCAGGCTGAAGGGCAACTTCAACAGCCTTGGCCTGATCTAGAAGCAGCCATGGCTCTACTCGGGCCCTCTCAATTCTTTATCGGGGGCAAAGTCCCAAGAGAGATGAAAGAGTATTCCAAGAGTCTCATGATGCAGCTGGGCGTGTCGGCCACGAGCTTCATGGATCCTTCCAAGCGACGAGGCAAAACTCGGACCAAGGTCTTTCAAGATGTATACCACCGTTTGATCCAACTCAACACCCCGACTTGGATGGCGTTCTATGACAGATACGTCGCCGACTACGGACGAACGGGACCAGGTGCCTGGAGACTAGAGGATGTCTATGAGATCATCCCCGAGCGTTTCCACTTCCCTGCAGAGGAGGATTCGAAGACGCCAGAAAAGCCAAAGAAAACCAAGGCCAGGAAGCCGGTACATCCCGAGGCTATGGACCCTGCCAGCGTGATCATCGACCTTTCCAACGCACTGGAATATGAGGCCTACCAAGTGTCCTTCCCTTTCTTCGTTCTTCATGCTCAAGCATTCTGGGTGTTACACGATCTCAGAGAAGACATCAGGCCGTTCGTCGAAGATGTTATCGGACCAGTGGCCAACGAGCTCCGCAAGCCTGCCATTCCCTGCCACGTTGTAGAAATCTTGCAGGCTTGCAAAAATCATGCGGACCCGGCGCGAGCTCTGTTCATGTTGCGGCTTTCTGCGGACCATCTCGAGCGCGTGATGACTGCGGGGCTAGGCTCGGGCCAGTTTTGGGGTCCTCCCATCCCAGGTGTGACGTGGCGGGAAGAAGGCGCGACCTGTACGAGAGGCGAGGCGGCCCTCATGCATTTCCAAAGGCTTGGGTATGATCTTCCTTGGAAAGCAGAACCCACTTTTGAGGAGGAAGAGGAGGAGGAAGATGAAGATGATTGGGTCATCAAATTTCGTTGATAACATGGAGCGAGTTTTGACCTCAAGGAAAATAAAGTACGGATAAGAAGTCTATGCTCAAGTTAGCTAATAACTACCTGGCTTATAAAATCTGTATCGTCCGGATCCAACCTCCTCAGTAGTCGAATTACCCCCCGGCAAAGTGACTTCAGCTCTTGCGTTTGTTTGGAGGAACCTCAATTTCCATGTGGAAACCACGCTTGTCATCAATCTCCCACATCACACGTACTGCACCGTAAGGGCTGATAAATACTGAGCTGGCGCTTGTTATGTTTCCCCCAGGCACCGGAGAAATTCGAATCTTTTTCCATCCGGGTTCGGCAGGAGCCACACCCCCGATGTTCTCATGTATCCAGTTAGATACGGAACCAAATGCGTAATGATTGAAACTGGTCATAGCTCCGGGGTTGACTGATCCGTCAGCCAGCATACTATCCCATCGCTCCCATGTAGTTGTTCCGTTGATGACGACTTGATAGAGCCAAGATGGCACCTGCGTTTGCAGTAACATGCGGTAAAAGTCTTCAATTGCTCCATTCCTTGATAATGCTGGGCCTAAGGATGAAGTCCCCGCAAAGCCTGTGCCCACAAGATAGTTATTCTCGGCCACTAGGCTCTTCAAAGTGCTGACGGCACTGCTGTGCTGTTCTTCGTTGAAGATTCCGAAGTCGAGACCAAGCGCGTACGCAGTCTGCGTCCGATTGGGCATACTGCCATTCGACATCCAAGTCTCCCGAAAGCTTTCGATGAGCTCCAGGCGTTGTGTCTTGTATGCCTCAGCCTTATCGCCGAGTCCCAATGCCGTCGATATAATGCTTATCAGCTCCGTCATTCTGATCAAGTATGCGTCCGCCACCAAATACTTGTTGGTCGTCGCTCTCTCGGGGTTGCTGGCTGGGGCCTTGGGATCCAGCCAGTCTCCGAATTGGTAAGAGTTCTTTGCCCAGAGTCTTTGAGAGTCTCGAGGAATTCCCTCATCCATCCATGCTTGGGATTGGTTGTATTGCTCTCGCAGCATTCCGAGGTCGCCGTATGCTTGGTAGAGGTTGAAAGGCCCAGCAACGGCAACATCGCCCCACAACGCTGAGGGCCTCGAAGGATTCCACGCTTTGGTGTCTATCTCCGGTGGAATAACCGGGACGAAAAATGGGACGTACATGGTGTCCTGTCTCTGCATCTCAGACCAGATGTCTCGGTGCCACCCTTTCCAGAAGCCGGAAGTGTCGAAGAGGTAGTTGGCTGTTGGTGCAAAGGCATGAGCATCACCAGTCCAGCCGAGACGCTCGTCTCTTTGGGGACAATCGGTCGGAATGCCGAAGAAATTCCCCTTGGTGGACCAGACGACGTTCTCGTGGAACTGATTCAATAGCCCATCAGAGCACTCGAACCAGCCCGTGCGCTCCATGTCGCTGTGAACGACGACTGCCTGAATGGTGTGTTCATCAAGAGGAACTTCTGCAGGCCATCCATCTACTTGAACGTATCTGAAGCCATGATACGTAAATCGAGGCTCCCAGGTCCGGGTCTGATTGATATTGCCGTCAAGAATCAGAGTATCGGTGGCTTTGGCGCGTCTTAGCGGTCGAAGGGCTAGCTCACCGTTTTCCAAGACTTCGGCGTGGAGGAGGGTGATGTTGGTAGTCTCTGAGAATGCGGGTCCTTTGATTGACAGCTTGACCCATCCTGCCAGGTTCTGTCCAAAATCCACCAACGTCTTCCCAGACGGTGACGAAAATACCTGCTTGGGAGAGATGTTCTGCACCTTTCTGATTGGTGGTCCATCCAAAGGCATAAGCTTGCCCTTCAAAGGAGAGAGTTCCTTCGTTGCCAGCCAGTTGCTGCCATTGAACTGTCCAGTTGACCAGCCGCGGATCTTGCCCTCAAGCCGCGCGTCATAGATCTCACCGTTGTAAATCTCTGAACTGGTCAGAGGCCCTTCGTTAGCCTGCCAGCGATCATCGGTGGCGACTTTGATATTGGTCCCGTCGGCAAGCGTTACGGTAAGCAGAGATAGGACGCCTAGAGTATCGCCATAGTTGTTGCGGTAGTTCCCCGCAGCGGTCAGAATGCCAGAGAACCAGCCTTCGCCAACCAGTACACCGATGCCATTCTGGCCTGGCTTCAGTAGGTCGGTCACATCGTAGGTGTTGTAGACGTGGCGGAAGTTGTACGAAGTCCATCCCGGTGCCATGACATGATCACCAACGCGCCTTCCGTTGATTTCAGCTTCGTAAAGACCAAGAGCGGTGATGTAGAGTCGCGCGGACTTGATCTTGGATCTAGTTGCGTTGCTGAGACTGAATGACTTTCGGAAGTAGATCGGTCTCTTGGGTCCGTCGACCTCAGTCTCTCGGTCGGCAGCGATGGGAACCGCGCTAGACCAATCGTTCTGGGTCAAGAGGCCGGTTTCGACGGTAACCCAATCAGACCACGGAGTTGACGAATTTCCTACACCACCGAAGGCTTGCACTCGAACAGCAGCCCTTTCGGCTGATGCAAGTGGCGGCTGTGGCCACGGCACAAAGAGAGAGTCAGAGGACTCGAAGCCGCGAATGCTGGATGAACCCTGGCGTTTGACCTCGATCTGGTACGCATTCTGAGTCCAGTTTTGCTCTAGGCCATCGAAGCGCCAGGAGATACGTGGCTTGTCTTCCCCAATTCCAAGTGCGATGGGATGGTGTTCAAAAGAGACTTTGGAGATCGAGACCGTCATGATTGATCGTAGCAAGCGAGAGAACGTGGCTAAGCCATGAGATAATCTTCTTGTACTTACATTGTTTGTTGTTATATCTATTTATGTGCCGCAAAGGGAACCGTCTTTCGAGAGGCTTCATGCATGTCTTGACAAAATCTCTCGCGAAATTCCTGATCAGTGAGAATAAGCCTGTCGGCTTATTTCGACGCGAGGTTTGCGGGTTGGTGATCAATTCGTCTCCTAATCCCCCGTTTACCGCTGTAGTTCGGCCGACATTATCACACACTCGGAACCTCAGACTTTTAATGGAGTGCACGGGTTGAGTTGTATTCAGGCTAATGTCCTTGACAGGTCCCTTTCGGCAGTCATATTCTTGGCTCGGAGTCCCATGCCACGCCACCGGACTACTCCGTGTGGGGGAGCGTGGAGTGCCGCTTGCCCAGTTTACCGATTGCAAGTCCCAGTGTGTCGACGTACTTCAAGCCATTTTGGCAAATTGTGCCGGCTTGTCTATGTTGAGATGCTACTAGGTTTCTCGGCTCCTCGTTCTAAACTTTGTTGCTTTCCAGCTACTATAATGATGCATGGGATGAGCTTAGGCGTAGGGTGAGTAGGCGGGAACATGAGAACACAGCCTCATTCCGCTATTGCACAATTTGCTGTCTCGTAAGGGGCTGAGAAGCCTTTTCCATGATCTAGCTCGGGTATAGTTGATATCTATTAGGGATTTCAGGAGGCCAATGTCTTGCAAATATCGCTCGCTATATGCCAAGAATCCTGCTCAGCCAATGTGAGAATCGCACTGATTTCTGGTCAACCAGGCGCCAATGGACATCCCCTAGCCAAAAACATAACACCATTGTAATAACAAAAAGTGAACCCCATGACGCGATCAGGCTATACCCGGCTTCTATCATCTCGAGTTTGAGGCCGTAAGTAAGAAAGTTCTTGCCACAGCCCCAATGAACCAGATAGAGACTGTAACTGATCTCTCCCAGATATAATACCAGTTTGGTATTAAGAAGACGCTGTAAAGGAGGCAGGTTTTCCAATACTACCACCAGAGCCACAGCACATGTAGCTTGGAAGAAGGTTTGGGGTCCGAAGCCATACGTGTCGAACTCGATAAACCACGAATATCCAGGTGCTGCGAAGGCGTTACCATGCATCGGCCAGCAGCCCAAAAAGATAATAGGCACAAGCAGCAGCCATGATGTGACGGTAGTGATCTTGCGTGCCATTATCGGTAAGCCCGGCATCTTTGACCGCAAATGTCGAAAGTCTGCAATGAGCATGCCTGCGAGAAAGAGGCAGGGGTACGAGTTTCGTAGGTAGAAGAAGTAGTTCAGAAGTAGGACGGTAAATGACATCCGCACCGGGGGCGCTATTTTGAGAAAGGCCAAACAGGACAGAAACACAAGTAAGGATCCTTGATACTCGGCCGCCAAAGTCCAGCCCTGAGGCATGACTGTGTTGGCTGAGCCGGAGGTGATGATAGTTATTAATGTCCACCACATGTAGTGCAGATGGCCCCAGAGACCGAGGGCGACAGGCTCCATAGGCTCGAAGCTGTTGAGAGCGTAGAATCCGTTAAAAGGAATTAAGGCAGTCGAGATCGCGATGATAGGTATGGTAGGGAGGAAGAGTCGGAACGGACGGCGAAAAATGCTAGAAGGGAAAGAGGTGATGGCAGTGGCGCCTTGTCCCGCATGGGACCTTTTCAGTGGTCCGTATGTAAGAGCAAATCCGCTGATGACGAAGAAGACCGATACCATAAATACTCCGCTATGTATGAGGCGAACGAACGGCAGCTGGATAAAATAGCGATTTTCATCGTCTTCACCCCAGGCGTGATGAACGATCGAGTACTGGTGAACTCAATTGTAAGTCAACTTTCGAAAATCAGGTGTTCACACTCATGGCGATCGTTGGTGCTTGATCCAACAAAAGCAGAGGTGCTCGTAGTCACTTACATCTCCGTCTATAGTATGCTGAAGTACAACAATGAGCGATGCGATGCCGCGAAGACCATTCAAATACGATGTGCTGTTGGGGGCTGGGATATTTGAGTCTGCCGTGCCGCGGCCGAACGCGCGGGCGACATACGATGGTACCATCAACCAGAACAGGCGCTGTGGGCTGACGGGGCGCCATCTGATTGAGGCTCTCGAGAGGGGCGGTGATCTCTCCGTTTCGTCAAGCGGCAGTTCGGTCGGTGAGTACATGTCGTCGCCTTCGAGTAAGATGTAATGCGATTTGAGAGACCAGGCTCCGGAAAACCATCCTCGTATCCTGTCGAGCGGCTCTTTGAAAGGAACGTGGATCGCCCCCGCATCTTCAAGCTTTTCCATCTTCGTCGGGTGAGAGAGAGTGTTGGCGAAAGTAACGATCGACTGGAAATTCTTGCGGCCAATTCTTAAATGTGTCCAGCACTGAAACGTTGGTGAAGAACTCAAGATGTGATGTGAGGCGAGACTTAAAATATAACAACCAATGAATGTTTTTGCACTTGGTCGACATAGGCAGCTGGAATTTATACTTTCCGCCGGCGACATCCTGAGGGAGAAACGGATGACAGCGGTTGCTGAAACCCCCACCCTGGGCATTATGAGGCCTGTGAGCAGTTTCGCATCCTGAAGACGGCACAATACCAAGCAATCAGGCTGGCAATGATTGAACTATCTGAGAACTCTAAATCTACGCGGTCTCGTCAGCTGTGGTCATAACTTCGTTGTATTTATTGGACATCATGTCTGGCGCCTCAAAGTCGAGCCCTTTTTAAACCATTAAGGCTGCAGTTCTCTTTCATGTAATGCGCCACATGGCCAAACTAACGAACAAAATCGTCGGTTGCTACCATAATAAGATAAGTAAGATTGTGAAATCCTGGGTTCTGGGGAAGCTGAGGTCCTGCCATGCCCGGAACCCTAGGAAATAGAGGCCATCAATGAGTACTGCCCGATCAGTAATCCGATACTCATTAATGTCCTCCTAATCATAAGAATGCAGACGAACCGTGGATAGTACACATTGAGCCTTAGGAACAGTCTCATCCCATCGGTTCATCCTAGGATTCAGTGTAGGAGCAGTTCACTATTTCTAGGATCGACGAACGAGAACATCCCGGATTGCGCGGCCTCAGAGCGGTAGGTGATCCGGCCGCATCTGAACAACAGGTTGGCGTAGTCAACGGTGACTTTATTCGAGTTGTTATAGCCTGATAGCCAGCAGAAGTAGAATTCTCACTACTAATAAAACAGGTACCACTTGTGTTCAGTATATTTAAACCCAATTTACCCAATTTCAACACTAATAATACAACAACTAGATAGGATTCTCTCCATTATTCCACAAACGTGTTTGGTATGGCTGAATATATGGTTAATCCACCGTGTTTCTACTTACTTCTTATTTCCTCTTCACATAGCAATTGTCGGCGTCGTATAAGCGGAGCACTGACCCAGCCTAACAACAGACGAACAGCCGTTGCGGAGTCCTCCGCGTCCAAATCACGGTGCGCAAATACACTTGAACCGTGGTTGACATGAACGTTACCACTAATCGGGATCGTTTGAATCTATGTAGACATCGGTAGCGACGGAGACCTAAGCTAGATCATTGTGACTGTAGCTACTGAAGTTTCTCGTGATTACGTCGCCGAGCGCCGAGTGATTTCCATGTGCCTTGTATCGGAAACAGAATTCAAGCTTGTGGTATAAGACAATAATTGTCTATCGGCGAGAATATCGTGGATGCATCACTGTAAGAGAAAACAATGACCTCAAGCTCACAGCCGAATGGAAGGTATTGCCACCAGACCTGACCGTCTAAGACATCTTCCAGACCACCGAAAGCCGCACTTTGCGTCCAGTCATCGTCTCTGTTCTGTCATATGCTGCCCTGGCATATGAACGCGTTTTCAGGGAACACCAGGATCTTCTCTGTGTTACCAAGTCAATATTCGAGAAACGCGATAACCTCCTGCTCAAATGACAATGTTTCCTCACCGACGGAGTGTTCCATCATGTGGCGCGCTGGTTTCACCAATTCAGCACACCTTCCAATACCGGTTCGTCCCTGTCTTGCAGAAATTTGCCGTCAAGCCTCCCCGTTTGATGTCTGAGATGCGATCAATCAAGATTCGTATCCCCCTCTCTTGACAACTCCCAAGCCCCTTCGGCGGCGGCAGCCTGCATAAGCTGGTGTAACACCGAGTCAGTCGTCTCTGTTCCTTCCCGTCAAACATTATCGCGCACACGCGCTGTGCTAAGCTTATTTCCCAACCTTACGAATGAAGATCCGGAACGCCGCGTTGATCGCAAACAAGGTTGCAGGGTAGTTGCTTGAGATAACAAAAGTTCCGACCGGCCGAAAATCGCATCACGTCGTAAACTGCGACACTGTGTCTCTGAGGAGTCTATCTCTCAGCTCGTCCAAGTATTTCCGTCATGGTTTCAGTGCAAGCATTAACCCTCCATTGGCCACATGTAAAATGCACATGATCCCCGTCGTTCCAGCGAAACTCCGAAATAGGGAGGCCCTTTTCGACCCCCACAGCAGTTGAGAAAATCGCAATGACGGTTGCCCAGAATACTGGAGCAATCAGGGCACACAGGATCCCGGCAGGCGAGCGAGCCTCTCTCCGAAACCCCACCAGCAGATAGACCATCATGCTTTCTTTCCGTCCCCTCAGAAAGACTGGTTTTTGCCAATAAGCAACGTTGGTTGGCCAGACGGAGAAGTGAGACATGTTGATCGCATATCGGGTCAATTCCTTGGCGGCGTTTCCAGCGTGGCGAATCAGCTGCGTCAAAACCCCTGAAACGAGCCATTCTTGGATCTCATGGATGCCATCCCATATCCGGATTGGTTCGTCCCAGCGTGGGCGACCCGCTGGCTCATGCTTAATTCTGAATGGATATACCGTCGTTGAATGTTTCCCATTGGGCGGTTTGCCTGCACGATGAAGGGGTTGGAGACTGAGCTTTGCTGGGCAAAGGCGCAGCAGCAGCAGCTCTGTTGGCTGTCAACGAGCGAGCCAAACATTGTTGCCTCCAGCCACCATTCGCTCTCGATTGTTCGTTCTCCTTTCTCTCAACATTTGATTGTGGTGCCCTGATCCGCAAAAAAGCACTGCCGTGTCAAGGAGGTGGCAGCCCGAAGGCCCCCGGCGCGGTGATCGACATGGAAGCGGAGCCCTCCAACCCTCTTTTCACCCACCACAACACATCACTTTCAACGGGGCCAACGCAACAGTGCATGGATCCCGCCCAGCGGCAGCGCAAGCAAGCCGCAGCTGGCAGCCCGTCGAACGGGTGGCTGTCTCGACTTGAGGCTCTCTCGGCGGCCGTGGTTGGTCCCCGGTAGTTCTGGCCTTGGTTTCCTTTAATTCAAACATCGGCTCCAGCAGCGGGGCCCGCGGTTTAATCCATGACCCCATCTCCGTCCAACAGGAGACGCGGAGCCGCGAGCCGTCAGCGAAATCTTGATCTGCCCACCTGCCAGACTTGGACAAACAGCGGGTTTGATGATGGACCAGAAGGGGAACCGTGGGAATCCACGACACACTAAGAAAAGAACTGGCTCCGGGACGCTCTGATGTTCGCTTGGCTAGATGCATGATCATGCAGGAGTATAAGACTCTGACGGTCTGCCGCATGTTGAGGACGTTGATGGAACCACCCAGGCTTCGACACTCATCGGACCACAAAGTCCAAACATTCAACCAGCGCACATCTCACATTCTTTTTCAACAGACACCTTTCCGCTCTCTACGATCTTGATCTGAAATCTCATTCCTTTCCCTCTCTTCCACTCTTTATCCCAAGTCCTTCTTTTGCTTTTTCCGTGTGTGTGCTGTGTGGGTTTTGACTAAGCGCCAAGATGCACTTCCCAACGCTCCTCGCCCTCCTCCCCCTGACGGCCCTCGCGGCCCCGTCCGCCCGCCGCGCCCAGCCCGCGCCCCTCATCAAGCCCCGAGGCATGAACGTCAAGCTCGTTGCCGACAAGTACATCGTCCGCCTCAAGCCCGAGGCCGAGGCCGGTGCAATGGCGACCGCCATGTCGGCCTTCGCCGCCGAGGCCGACCATGTGTACAACTTCGCCAACAACCTCCGCGGATTCGCGTCGACCCTGAACGCCTCTGAGATTGAGACTCTGCAGAACGACCCCAGCATCGACTTCATCGAGCAGGATGCCATCATGTCGATCAGCGCCACCCAGCCCAACGCTCCGTGGGGAATTGCCAGACTCTCGAGCTCTTCGCCTGGAGGAACGACGTACAGCTACGACGACAGCGCTGGTGAGGGTACTTGCGCTTACATTATTGACACCGGCATCGATGTCGAGCACCCCGTACGTACCCAGCTCGAACATATGCCATGTCGATGAATCTCGGGCTAACCAATAATACCAGGAGTTTGAGGGCCGCGCCACCTTCCTCGCAAACTACGCCGACAACGACGACTCCGACGGCCAGGGTCACGGCACCCACGTCGCCGGCACCATCGGCTCCCGCACCTACGGCGTCGCCAAGAAGACCAAGCTCTTCGCCGTCAAGGTCCTCGACCAGAACGGCGAGGGCACCAACTCCGCCGTCATCGCCGGCATGGACTTCGTTGCCGCCGACGCTGCGGGCCAGCAGGGCTGCGAGAAGGGCGTCGTCGTAAACATGTCCCTCGGCGGCCAGTCCTCCAACGCCGTCAACCAGGCCGCCGCCGCCATCGTCAAGGCCGGCCACTTCCTCGCCGCCGCCGCCGGCAACGAGGCCGCCGACGCGAGCACCTCATCCCCCGGCTCCGAGGAGAGCGTCTGCACCGTCGGCGCGACCACCGAGACCGACACCCTCGCCGAGTACTCCAACTTTGGCGCCTCCGTCGACATCCTCGCGCCCGGCACCGACATCCTGAGCACCTGGCCCAACGGCCGCACCAGGACCATCTCCGGTACCTCCATGGCCTCCCCCCACATTGCTGGCTTGGCCGCGTACTTCCTCGGCCTCGGCTCCGCGCCCACGAGCCCCGTCGAGCTGTGCAGCTACATTGCCGAGACCGCGCTGGACGGCGCTGTTGGACAGGTCCCCCGCACGACTGTGAACAAGCTCGCGAACAACGGGTTTGCCAGCAACGGCACAGCCAAGGCTGTGAACGGCAGCAGGGTGATTGCGAGGCAGGTGAACAAGAAGTTCAACATCCGCCACGCGCTCTCCAAGACTACCCTTCTGTAGATGAAGTGTGGTAAGGTATCTGGAGTTTAGAAGAAGCCTTTCACTTGTGGCGCTGGAGTAATTTCCTGGTCAAGGGCGGGAGCGTCTGGTGCTGGATGAGGCGGTAGCCGGCTTGGGGTCTCGGGAAGGGTCCGGCCTGTGATTATTTTTCAACTATTTCTATGTACATTAGATTTCAATATGTGTTTGAGAAACGTACAGATGAGTGTGAACATACCATAAGAGATAAGCTCATTGAAACTATGAGGTCTGCCTAGAAACTTGATGATGTCGTCGTAGGAGCTAAGATGGGAGGATCGCGTTCTGGTCATCAAAAGCATGTACACATGGATTTCTACACAGGTATCCTAAATCACGAGCTCAATACCGAATTGGCCGCCTGTTGGCCTGCTATCCTTCCATAAACCACGCACTCCAGCAGTGATGATCCTCCAAGCCTGTTGTCGCCGTGGATGCCACCAGTGATCTCACCTGCTGCCCAAAGACCTTCGATGGCAGTGTTGTTCTCGCGCAGCACCTGGGCCTTCATGTTGAATGAGGCACCGCCCATGGTGAAGTGGGTAATCGGCGTGACCCGGCCGACGCAAACTTCTTTTTCGCGGTTGCCCTCCCCGGCTTTCAGCCTCCACCGACCGAACGTCCGCCGGCCGAACGCCGTGTCCGTTCCGGAGGCTACCAGGGCCGAGTACTCGTCAACAGCCTTGATAACTTCCGGGCCAAGATCCTTGACCTTCTTCTTCTCCATCAAACCCTTCCAGAGGTAGAAGCCCAGATGTCCCTCGGCTACCTCAATCGCACCAGGGTCCATAAGCAAAGTCACGTCCCACTGCCTCGTCTCGCTGTTCTCCTTTGGTGGCACCGCCATGATGGCCTTGCTGACATGCTCTCTCGTCTCCATCTCGTTGACGAATCTCTCGCCCTTGTCTGAGAGAAGAATACCACCTTCACCGCGGAGGACCTCGGCTGCGAGGAACTTGTACTGCGCCTCCGGGTCCTTGGGGTCGACGAAGCCGGTGGGGTGTATTTGTACGCTATCCATGTCGACGAACTCTGCGCCGACGGCTTCGAGGATGCCGTGCGAAGCGGGCCGGGCCTCGTTTGTTGATGGGAGACCCGCAAGGTCTGGACGGTACTTGGCCAAGAGACCGTTTGCGTCACCCGCGAAACCTCCGACGGCGAAGACGACGGCTCCTTCGAGGTCATGTTGCTCTCCGTCCTGGGTATACTGGACGCCCTTGACGACTCCGTCTACGACCTTTAGTGACGTGACCTCTGCAGAGTTCTTGAGTCGGAAATTGGGGTTCTCGCCAAGCTTCTTCAATAGAGTCGTCACGATGGCCGCTCCAGGAGGGGTCTTGCCCGCTCCGCGGTGCGTTCTTGGCATGGAGTGTCCTCCCAAAGGCGCAACGACACTCAAGTCGACACCGATGTCGTCAACGAGCCAATCCACTGCCCCCCCGGAGCTCTTTGTCAATAAATCAACAAGCCTCGGCCGATCAACGACTCCTTTGGCCTCTTTGAAACGCACGCCGCCAGACTTGATCGTGTCATCATAGAACAGGTCATCCTTCCCCAAACCGAGGGCCTTCTGGAACCGCGTCCCGGCGCCGTTGATACCGGACGATGCTTTCATGCTGTTGCCGCCTGGCTTGGGCGCGCGGTCGAGCATCTGCACGGAGGTGCCGGCCTTGAGAGCCTCGTGAGCGGCAGACAGACCGGCTAGGCCGGAGCCGACGACGATGACGGGCTTGTGAGATGCCATTCTGAATGTGGAAGAAAAGCGCGATGTTTGATGTGTGAAGATGTTTATTGCGTTCGTCAGTGGGCGGTGGTATAGCATGCCCAGTATGGCTGCGATGATGCCGAAGATGAGGGTAAGGACGAAGCGCCGGATAGGTCGGATGAACATTTCCGCTGGAGAGCGTCAGGTTAGAGATGGCGACTGTGTTTGGCGTGAGATATATAGTGAGGTGTCATGGCCATGAACTCCCGGGTACAGTGGATATTTCGGGAGCTGGTCAGGCGATTCTGGGAGTCGTACGATGGGCCGATGGGAGCGGGAGACGTGTCGAGGTGGCACGATTCCATTCCCAGGTGGGGCTCGGTGAAGTGGAATGCTGGACCTAAGGGCTCGGTGAGTGCCGGTGAGCCTGGTGAACACCCGAAATTGTTTGAGAGAAGGAGCTCTTGCCTCGATGATTGGAAGGTGGCTACAGTCATCCCCTCTTGAGAAACAAAACTACACAAATTCAACGTCAATCTTCTCCGGTTACATCCACACCATCAATCGTCAACCGTCAACCATCACAACCTGCCGACTCCATTCCTCCATCTCGACATCTACGAGGTCCTCTTTCACCGCCCCATCATCGTGGCAAGGTCTCCAAGGTGCCTCATTCTTCTCAATCTCTTGCAGAGGCCATACCAGCATGCTATGGTAGGCTTCCCCGATGCTGCTTGCGACTGTACTAATGATCATCTCAGGCCAACCTCGAAGCCACCAAGTACGCTCTATATCGATGCCTTTCAAGCAGACAGCCCAATGAGCCATCAACACCAACGCCAGAGGGTCTTTCGCTGTCACAAGCTCGACATACGTGGATGGTACCATGCCAAGCCACATACACGCGACATTGTACGACCCTCGCGCAGCAGCTACCCTTCGAAATGCGACCTGCAACTTCTCCCCGGCCTGCAACAGTATGTCGCGCCTTATGACCTCGGCATGATCCAGACTGCGGACAACCAGTAGGACATTTTCGACCGATTCCTCTGCGTCGAACCACGGTAGCTCGTTGGTGAGGGACGTGAATACCGTCTTCCGAATTTGCAGCGCTGGGCTGCCTTCTCCGACGCGAAGGCCCCTGCATCCCATTCGAAAGAGAGCAACCACCCCCTGAAAGAGATTGGCGATCCTCGACAGCGCTTCAACTTGATCCTCCACACCGAGGACGCCGGTGTCCATCACCGGCAGTGCAAACTCGCAAGCCACTAGCAGACCTGCGGCCGCCATTCCGGACTCGCAGCTCGAGGGCGTCAGGGACGAAGAAAGTGCAGGCCGGAAGAGCTCCAGGGTCGAGGCCTTATACTTCAATGCTGTCAAAACGTGCGGAGCCGAGCCATTTCCGAACGCCAGGGAGTAGACGGATGCGAGATGGGTCGCCGCGAAGGCTAAGACAACCTGATTAACGTACGCCTCGGTCAATACGTGTCGGGTCACAGCTTGGCGAAATGCTGGCACGATGTCCCACTTGTCGACCGAGCCAAACGACAAGAACGCCAGATGGCCAAAGTAGTGGTGGAGTAATAGCTGCTCGGTCGGATCTGAGCTGGGTAATCCCGTGGCCCCGAACCTCGGAGGCGACCGGTGGATGCCGCCAATTTCGGTCTTGGAGGTGTCCTGCCGCTCTCCCTCGGCCGACGACAAGCTCCCGGCTCGGACTATGAGACGTGCATCGCCGGCTGGTCGCCGCTCAAATGCATCACACGGGGCGAGCAAATGGCGGTACGTGCATGTCCGACCTTTCTTGCGGCAACGCCCACAAGATGGCTGACCTTCGTCACACTACAGGCCCGTCAGCTATGCCCAATCAAATCTTCGGGACAATTACCTTTACTCTCCCCGTCTTGCACTGGGTGCAGCCATGGTGGGAGTTGGAGTGCCCTCGTCTAGAAGGCATGATGGTCTCAAGTATCGCCTTTGGGCCAACGCGTCAAATCCGCATCTCTGCTATGAAGGATCAAGATGAAGATTGTCGTGAAAACATACATACGCCACTGTTGCCGAACAAAGGGGCTGAATCCTTCCAGAACACCTTATCGACGCCACGTCCTTGACATGGCGACCAATTCCTTCGGACATAGGCGATGTTGCTTCCTCCATAGCACTTGGCCGCTCCAACCTTCTGTTCCGGCATCACGTCTTGGTAGGCGCTACAGCACAGAATGTGTGACCGGTTTGAATCCGAGACTCCAAGTCAGGCGAGTTGAATACGGGATCGCGAAAAAGGGCAAAGGTGGTCTTACGAAGTTTGTGCACCTGGAAGGATACAGCGCGGTACTTGTAATGACTGACGAAAGTTTTCGGTACATATCATCGGTCAAGGTGCCAGAGTGGTTAATGGGCTGCCCTGCTATCGGTTCTTCTGATATCAGCTTAGGCAGTGGCTTCGGTCGCGCAGGTTCGAATCCTGTCCTTGACGCACGGCGTTTTTGGCCCCGTCACGCATTTCGTTCCCTCGTTTGATGCTCACGAAAAACATTATACGATCGCGAGCAAAAGATTTTTGATTCCGCGACGGGCGAATATACTCTTTTGGGGTTCTTGCATCTGGAACAGCCCGTCCTCTTCGGTTCGTCCGGAAGGAACACGATTCGGAGTCAAATGGCCAATATTGGGAGCAGGTCCAATTCGGGAGAATAGCTGGCGAGGCAACCACGCAACTAATAGTCTCGCTCACTCAAGGCCTGCATACCTGCACTCCCATTGGACATTGTGGAAGGATTTGAAAACTTATACAGATGGCCCAGCAGAAACCGTACAGCTCAAGGGTTCAAGAGATGCAACTAAAATGAAGCACACCGAGAATCCAAAAGTTCTTACAGCGGCATAGCAGGCGATCTTCATTTCCTGTCGCAGAGGCCATAGGCCCTGTATGACAGGCAGCCCAGGCCTGGTTCACAGCGCGTGCGTCGGATTCAAATGGAAATAACACTGGCAAATTCGCTGTCAGCAGGCCAGCCGTGAGGGGCGCATCAGCGCTACGAAACATTGCAAGCTCACCCTAGGGAACCAAACTTTGCCATACAAACCGTCTACAAACCACCATGTGCTGTCGCAACGCCGCCAGCCTGCAGGACGCCCATGGATAGTTCAAACTCTGGCTGATGCCGAGTTATCCGGTGGTGATCGTTTGCGCCTCCCTTCTTGGCATCGACTCCCGCCCCTAGACCTGCAGCCAGCAACGGATAAATACGCCTGCTGGAAAAGAGTCCAGGATTCCAGAAGTCGTCTGCTCACTGGGCAGATAGGAAGTGGTAGGGGGTCAGAAAACGGACCGTATGCCCGGACAAGGCATCCCGGAGCAAGTAGACAATCGGGCGACGGCTGCGCATCGCGTCTCACAAGCTCTCGTCCTATTATCAGACGGCAATGGCATCGAGCCTTAATGGTCCCCTAACAGCGAGTTCATCTGCCTCGACAACCTTTCATTTGTCGCAGAAAGGAGCCCTGCCCGGAACGACGCCAGCAATGGCTCCTCAACAGCAACAAAAGGTTGAGCATCCGCCCTCAACGATATATGCTCAAGTGGAACGATTCTTACCCAAGAGGGAGGCTGTTCGGAGAAATGGAAGCTGCTTGGTTGCTTGGCTTCCCTCTCAATGGTGTCGTGCAGGGCCCTGCAGCCAGCGGTGCCGCCCTAATACGCCACAAAACGGGCGGCTGCAATGGGCGACCCGCTGCACAACGTGTCCCGAGCCCTGTAGCCCTTGGCAATACGACGCCAAAGTGTGTGCTTTCAGGGGACTTTCGCGTAATTTTGCTGGCCAGTTCAGGGTTTGTCCGTTGCGATTGCGGCCTTGGCTGATCGGGAGGGGGTGAATGAGCGGCCATGGTAGGCCCTTGGCATCTCGGACTGCTGACCTGCGCCGTTTTCTCTCTGGAGACTTCTGCTTTCGCTCGAGCCTCAATCATTGGCATCGCGGGCCAAGGGACTAGGCATCGATGATCTATCCGTCAAAACCCGTGTCACCACGGCTTGTTCGGCTCGACGATTAAAGAAGAGCCGGACAAAGAAGGAAGGGCACGGATTTCTACCATCGACCAAGTTCAAACCGCCGTCTGTCCAACGATGGCGACACGGGGTCAAGACATGTTCAAAGGCGGGCAATCATTCAAAACGCTCCTCTTTCAGAACATGGTTGGTCGAAGTGATGTTCAGCGTTTAGTTGCATACGCATCATGCTGGCCTGCCCCGCTGTCATTACCAACTCAATCTGTCTGCCATTTGGAATTGAGACACGGGTTCAGTCCAGTTCGCTCGCGCGGGCTAGCGATCTTGCCGCCTTCCTTTCCGCCGTCACTCAGTAAGGCATCTGCTAAGACGTGCAGCCCGTCTCTTGCTAAAGTCACTAGCGACAATTGCCCGGCAGCCCAAGATCAAATAGCCAGTCCGACAGATTTGCCAGCCGGTCGTAGCGCCGGCAACAATAATTCGCTGATGTTCAGAGCGGCCACCTGTGATGTCGCTCAGTGGGCCGATCATCCCACGGTGTCGGCGAAAAGGGGCAGTGATGGGCGGTCTGGCGTGATGTCAGCGCTCCCGAACTGGAACAGCATCCCACCTCGGCGGTGCGTGATACAATCAACCTGGCGCGGCGTTCGTCAGAACAGGAGACTCCCAGAAAACCGAGGCAGCGGCCTGATTTGAAGCAATCGCAAAGCTGGCATCGATTCTAGGCAGTGAAGTCGCGCCAGAACCCTCTGCTGCGCAGTTTTCATCGCAGAATTGGCCCGCTGACTTTCAGGTGGCTGTTGAGGTCTGGTGGGCCGGAGCTAGCTGTGAGCTCAGCAGCCATTGATCAGTGATCACCAACGTGAATGATGAACAATGGCGGCATCGGCCAGGCAGGAACTGACACGCTACGGACCAAAGGGAACGGAGACTCCAGCGTGGAGACAGGCTACGTCGTCGCCGGCTTTCCAACACCGTGACGCTGGTGCAGTCTGGGGAATTAAACTTGACCGTGACCACGAGATCCGGGGAAAGGCAGACAAGCCCACACGCAGCGCTAGATATCCATGACATGGAACACCCCAAGCCAGGTTCTAGAGCGAGCTGGGAGCTCATTCTGAAGTTCGTCCGGCCTGGCGCCATCATCGGACCACAAGCCGGACAGCGACGGCTGCCCCGTTACTTGCATAGATCGCGGCAGCCAGGCGTGTTGCAGCCACTGAAGCTTTCCCCGCACTCGACCGCCATGTGGTGTTTGGTTCGCTCCTTTTGAAGAGGTCGATATCGGGCTTGATCTTCACGGTCACGCTTGGTTGGCAGTGTCATCATGACGCTTTGGTGGCCCTTGGCCTTTCAGCGATGGCGTCAATTCTACGGGGTGTGAGGAAACATGGGATAGATGGAAGCCTTTGAGACGAGTTCTTGAACAATATCGAAAGGCTGGCATTCGCCCCAACTGACAGTAGTTGACCTCATGGATGGAATTGGAGCACGCGTAACGACATGGAATTCACCTTCCAATGAGACGAAACAACATACGTTCTTGGCCTCGCGGAGCGTTTGGGATACTGCTAGACGACCCCAGATTCCCCGCAGCTTCCGCGCAATGACACGAGCCTACTTTCGAACAGCTACCGCCAGCATGACCAGATGACAGATGTATCGTGACAACACCTACCCCAAGCTATCCGGCGGATCTCTTCCAGCGGGCTGGAAACGTTGAAACGTGGGATGTAATGCGGGATCGAGACAGTGGTGATGCGTTCCCACCGTATATACTCATGTGGAGTAGGAGCCTCTGCATGTAAACCGATTGCGGGCCAACCATAACAGGACAACTCTTCAGTTCAACGCTTCATCTTTCTACAATGCCTCCAAAACGGTGCTTCAAAAGAGGTTTACAAGTTTATTCCGTCGTCAGAAGCCGACTACCGACTAAAGGCGACCGACCCTGAACCACAGCCAAGACGGGGAAGAGCCGTGGCCACAGCTGGCCTGTCCGTTTTGCGCACCGCCGTCGAGATAGGTACCTTGCCTCGTTTGAACTCGACAGCAAGAATATTTCCGTGACACACAGTAATATCAATCCCAGGATCGAATGCGACCTCGACTACCATCCAGGGTCCACTGAGGAGCACGAGTGTGAAAGAGGGACGATTTGGAACGGAATTGAGGGAGACCAGGCGTCAAAGGAGGAAAAGGCACCTTACTGAAAGCATCTTGGCGGCACAGACAGCATCGACTCAATTCCGCTGTGGTAGCATTGCTCAGCATCCACCCACTCATCCGGTCGCGCAGCAATCTGCTATCAACACCCCCTCCCTCATCTTGGGGGCCCTGAGCTTGGGGCTCAAAAAGATCTTTGCCCCGTCACGCATTGCAATCTTCCACGGGTAAAATGCCCAGAACATGCGCCTGTGGGTGAGGAAGGCTTGACGTGGAGGAGGCACACTTCATCGCGCTCGCTCACTTGGGATTATGTGGTACAGCAAGCAGCAATTAAGCTCCACTCGCGATACTCTGCGGTCCTCACTGAAGACCGTCAACATCTACATGCACTCGGCGATAGCGGATATTCAATAACGATTTGCATCGACCACCCCGATATGTGCTAGTTGCAGGCGGCGAACGAGGAGCGACGCCTGAGCGAAAATTGGAGAAGTCTGCTGTGGACGGAAGAGGTGGGAATGACATCAGCTCGTGGACTGATTTTCCCCAATGACCCGAGGCTGTGTTTCTCTTGGCTGGCTTCCCGTCCTCCAGCTTTTGGAGAGCCCTTCGTCCAGGCCGCTGGAACTCGCGCTGTTGGTTGCCCGAAGCTGCCGCCGCGAGGACGACAATTGCTTGGTGTTTTTGTCTCGGATGCCGACAATGGGTCTCGGTCCAAGTCTTCAACAGATTGAACCAAACGACGTCCTGCTCACCCAGCATGGGTCGGCCCCTCACTACAAGCATTTGGGGCTAGGATGCTGCGAAAAGTACATGCCGAAATGGCTAATGGGATGGGAGCCTCTTTTCTCCTCACAGAGGCTGCACATCACTACCCTCTCGGTAGTTTGGCCTCCGTTTCGTCTGAAAGACGGGATATCTGGTTGGCTCACGTTTTCAATAGTGTACCTGCTTTGCTTACCTTCATCCCATGCTCTAACGAACAGCACTATAATCAATGGGATGAGGAGGCGGCGGAGGAAGACAGAGGCAAAAGACAGGGAGGAAACCGGATCCCACTTCGCACCACTGCGGGCTTTTCGATGTCATTTACAATGGGCTTCCTAGACCAGGGCCAAGGCGGTCTCCGACGAGGAGTCTGTGGTCACTCCACCATGCACCCATCCAATTCACCACCACCACCCGACATTGCACCCAAAATAATGAATCTTAAATGGAGCCTCCGTTTAACCCATTCCCAATTCGACCCCCGGTTCGGCCGTCTCTGGGCTTTAAAGATCGGCCCTTGACCAGACGGCTCGCCTTAGTCTGCATCACAACCTCCAACACCTTTACTCGACCCACTCCCTCTTCATCCTGCATACGCAGACGCACGCCTCCCCTCCGCGACCTCGACCGCGACTTCGACCTCCTCATCCCAGGCTTCAAGCCTCCAACAGCTCCAGTTCTCCGCGTCGGACGGTCCACGTATCTGTACATACCCCAGACATTCACACCTTCGCGACGCTACCGACCCATCAGCTATCTCGCTTTTGCGCTGACCCTCGACCCCGACCTCCATTTCTCCTCTTTTTGGCTATTCTCCCAACTCTTTTCCCCATTACTTAAACCCTTCTCCCCACCCCTTCCCCGGAGTCTAAGGAGTCTCTTTCTCCATCACCTGTGTGCCTTCTTCCGTGGAGTTTGACTGCTCTTACTGCAAGATACCCCTTTGCTCGTTTATTATCGCTTGGTTTAATCCTTCCCTCTTGTCTTATACGCCCGGAAGAGCACACAATGGCCACGCACGAGACTCACCACAATGCCGTCCCTCCAACGGACCTGGAGAAGGACGTGCATACATCTGGTGCTGACCATCATCACAGCGACCTCAATGGTGCCCAAGTAGGCCACAACACTCAACGAAACGCCGGGCCCTTTACCCGCGTTGCCGACTACCGGAACATGACTGAAGGAGATGCGCAGGCATTCGGTGGCTCTCTCCAGCCCGGACTGTGGAAGCCCTACGAGCACAGAAAGTTCGCCAACCCGGCGCCGCTGGGTCTTTCTGCTTTCGCCCTCACGACCTTCGTCCTTTCTTGCGTCAACCTCCACGCTCGCGGCGTCACTGCGCCCAACATCGCCGTCCCCCTCGCCTTCGGATACGGAGGTCTCGTCCAGCTCCTCGCCGGCATGTGGTACGTCCAGTTTTTCCATGTTCATCTTTTCTTTTTCCTCCTACCGGGGTCCCCAAATTTCCCCAACATCTCATCTCATCCGTCTCCACGATACCCCCCGCAAGCGGAAGCTCCGGTGTGATGATGTGGAGCATCTCGCGCTCCTTCGCACCGGAGTGGATCTGGACTTGGGCACATCTGTGGAAGGTCGGTAAGACGGAGGCTGCACCAGGCAGGGAGTCTGTGGAGAAGAAACGCAATACGAACCGCACTCGCTGTCATTTTTCATACGCGCCAATGCTGACCATTGGATTACAGGGAGATGGCCGTTGGTAACACCTTTGGTGCTACTGCTCTGTCCTCGTACGGAGGTTTCTGGATCTCCTACGCCATCCTGCTCACCCCCAACTGGAACATCATCGGAGCTGATGGCCCGTACGCCGCCAACTACTCTGACCACTACTCTGCTGTCGGCTTCTTCCTGACGGGCTGGTTCATCTTCACGACGCTGCTCTTGCTGTGCACCTTGCGCTCGACCGTCGTCTTCTTCCTGCTCTTCTTCACCCTCGACCTCGCCTTCCTCTTCCTCGCCTGCGAGAACTATGCCGCCAACAACGGCGCCTTGACTGCCTCGCGCAACCTCCAGATCTGCGGTGGCACCTTTGGAATGCTAGCAGCATTCCTGGCATGGTATTGCGCGCTGGCTGGTATCCAAGATGACAGGTGAGCTCTTTTCCTTCTTCCTTCTGGCCGGGCGCTCGCGGGGGTCTAGTCTTAGACCCAGACTAAAGCCGGGACGGTCGCTGCCCCTCCCGCGAACCGTCAACGCGATGTCATTGAGGCGCGCCATGTGGATTCCATTTGCTAATCATTCTTTTGTTTGCAGCAACTCCTTCTTCCAGGTTCCCGTCTTCCACCTCCCGTGGTCCGACAAGGGCCGCGAGATCCGCAAGGCCAAGAGCCGCTCGTCCGCCTAAGCGGTGACGAGGCCCACGAAGAATGTTTTTGTGATGTGTATTCTACGTTTTATGCGCGACGTTGCGGCGACGACTTTGTGCTGAGATGCATCCGGCGTCGAGATGGAAGATGTGGATTTATTTTTTGCAGCGGATTGAAGCAGAAAAAGGATACCCGCCGACCACTACCCCCGGGGACACAGGGTGCCTGTCGCTCCCTCGGGACAGGGAACACCGAACGGCGAAAATGCTTTCGCCGGCAGGGTTGCCGTGGCTCCGCCCGGGGGCGTGTTGAACATATTCCCCAGGACTTGTTTCTCATTTGAGCTATCGGGAAAAATGTGCTTTGGCAAAAGGGATATGAGCTTTAGAAAAGCTTGTCCTGCGAGAGCCCCTTTATTTAATGAATGCGATAATTTATTTATAAACCTTACTCTATCTATTGCCTTACTGTCATTTTTCGCCATCGATCCCATGTCCTTGCTCTCTTGACGCGATGCACGAGCGACCTGTCGTCCGCTGACGCGACTGCCACCTTTGCGAAAGGCTCAGTCGCCGCGCACAATACTTAATGGTCGTGAAGTGACGTTGAGGAATCGTCGTCAGCCAATGCGGCAGTTGGCGAGCATCCGGCCTTGGCAATGGCACTCAAGGCCTGACTAGCTCACGAAGCGGCTGTCTTCTCTCTTTGAATTTATCCTTTTTTGACGCAATTACGGGAGATGCGCGCCGCTGCTGGCTTGTTTTCTCTCGGCGGAGGGAGGGTTGGGGGCGTTTTGGGGCCTTGGCGTAGGTCATTCTTTGGGGTGCGGAGAGGAGGGTTGTGAGGGGAAGTTTGGTGGTGGTGGTGGTGATGATAGCACCAACGCCCAATTTCATGTCAACCCGGCGAGTCTTTTAGTTCACAAAGGGAATTCGTTTCTGTAATTTGCTTGGTATGCGTTCAATACTCCATGCTTTTCCCTTCGAGATTCGGTTGATACGCGTGGAGTGAAGAACAATGATGCTACATTTCCAGATACCTCCTACGACGGCCAAGACTATCTCGGGGACGAGGACGGCTCCGAACGATGCGTTCCAGACTGTCTCGGGAGCGAGGGCGGATCCGAACAATGCGTTCCCGCTCGTAGTCCTCGTGGTCATGCTTTCGGTTTCCACTACCTTCATGCATAGCAACCTTCCAACTTGGCCTTTCTGTGTCAAAGTGACACATGTGACGCGGTTTGGATTGGCTGTGTTACAATCGTGAAGCTTGAGCTCAACAGGGCCCATCGTATCGAGAACAGGATCCGTCTCGTCATGCCTTGAGAGACAAATAAAGACAACGCCATGATAGGACCGCAATAGATCGAGGAATCCTTTGTCATGGAAAATTAAACTTTAATTAGTAAACCTCTCAAACTGGGCGTTAGAAGGTAGGGAAGCATACTGCGAATTTCGACACAACCCCTTCGATCTTCATAAGACCGTTTTGCCACCAATGGCCCGAAATTGACAAGATACAGATACGCTTCAATCTTTTGTACGTCTTCGAAAATCTTCTGCAGTTGTTGTATATAATCTTCTTGGTGATGTATCACGTCCAACAGATCAAGCCAAACCAGTGGCCGCCTTGCATTCTCAGCCACTCCTGTGTAATATTTGACTATATTAAATTCGCGGTTCTCAAGCACAGGCTTTCTATACCGAAAGACGTACCTGCGACGACGGGCGAGATGAAATACATTCTGGTCCGCAGAATGACAATTTGTCCATTTGATCGGAAAAAAGATAGTGACGGTTGCACGTCGCCCCGGCAAGATTGGAGCAGGGAAAGGCTAGCTGTCGCACTCAAACCATCCTGGGTGAGTTCGCATTCTTCCCACTTAACTGGCCTCAGATGATCAATGAATATCGATGCCCATGCGAAGTCAGGCAACGTCCTAACAAATATGGACCCTGAGCAGATCATGAACATCTTATCATGATTGATGTTTGACTTATCGACAGGTCCAAGTCGCTGCAACGACGAAGATAATGTTTGAATTGGGGATTCCAACACGAGGTTATCCAGGACAACAACTCTTTCACAAATCTGTATCGACGGAGTGGCCAATATCAGTAAAACACTAGCTTGGTCGTCGGTTACAAGAAGCGTAGAACTTACGACATCATTCCACCACATCCAATGGCCCAGCTTTCTGAATAGCAACATCTCGCTGTTCTCCACATGCGAAGCGGAATGGTGCGGTGTACAGGAGGCTGGACCATGATATTGCCAATAACGAACTTCAACTTGGGACATCTCAAGATACTGTCTCCCCCGTGCGATCATCCTATCGGACACGGCCATTTGTTCCTCGGTGGGTAGACTTCCTAAAGGAACAACTCCCATGGTGTCCAGAGAGATGACCCTTATGACGTCGTATGCATAAATCAAGACTTCATAAGATGCCAGATACCAACCATTGTCGCTTGTCACATCGACACACCATTTAACGCCATTGACGAGAAGTCCGCGCCGTTGGTGTTCGGTGACCAGCTCACATTTGGCCACCATCCAGCATTGCTCATACAGCGTATCCTTAATAGGGGTTGTATCGGCTGTGTAAACGATGTCCCCTGGCAGGAATATCTTTGGAAGGTCTGCAAACCCAACGCCACCATCAAGTAGCTCTTCTTGAGCGGCTATAGCCTCCGCACGAGACACCCTGGTGTCGGCAATCGCCGGGCAATCCGTGCTCCCAGAAAGTTCCCTTTCAAGGTAAGATTTGGTGATGTCGGGGATTTCATCGCTTCGGATCATCTCTTCCAATTTGGATCGTACTAAAAGGGTAGCGATTCTTTGATTCAATCCAGGGACCTCCTTGGCACCCTTCCCATGATCCACAAGCGTTAAGTTGATATTGAATTCGGTGAATAGCTCATCGAGAACTTCGCGTGGTCTCCGTTCGGGCTGTTGCGGCTTGTTGATCTTTAGATCTTCTTCTGTATCCTCCTCCTCCTGTGGTGGAGAGATCTCTTGTTCATGCGGGAGAACATCTGTGTCACGATTAGCAGGGATGTCGTTCTTGGGAGGCTCTAATAGGGCATAGAATCCCTCATAAAGCTGTTTGGAAGCCATCGCCCATTGTTTATTTTGTTGCGTAGGTAGTGGTAGAAAGCGAGCAATATCCCCAGTATCATGTAGCTCCATAGAATACCACCCCGAAAGCCTGAGAAAACCAAGGGGATATCGTGCTGACATGCCCCATAAGTTGGCTGCAAAAAGGCTGGTGCCTGCGATTGGTCCAAGCCTTTGGGCAGCAATGCATTTGAGCCATTTTTGATGCGAGGAGGGGTAAACATGACCAGGTGTATCAAGGCACAACATCATTTACATCCGTAAATAGACGTGAAGTGTTGGCATATTTCTTGAGAGTCACTAGCAAAAAAAGAAATTCTCCAGATTTACCTGCACCACCCATATTCGAACGAACTACTTTGCTACGCCTTACTAGAACCCATGTCGACAATGTCCAACGTCACTACACAGGGAGAATCTTTGAATTATGTGGGTGAAGCTAGTTCTGAACGAATCAAGCGATACTGCTTAGGCAAGCCTCTTGCGCCTAGGAGTATGGGAGGGTCCTCCGGCGTACTTGAAGATGGCCCTAGTACTGATGAAGGCGTACCACCTTTTGGCCGAATCAAGTATGGTGTGAATGAGACGCAGCATGAGGAGCTCTGGGAATTCGAAATCAAACGACTCACACGCGCCGCCGAGACATCAGATATCACTCATCTGCAGCCGAACATAGAAGGGGATAACGGTTTGAGATCCTGGCACACAAGCGACGAAGACTTTGCACAATTGGGCAGAGTGGCGGATAAGATTCTCTACAGCTTGTGGTTGTTTAGCTACGAGGACGAAGCTGTCCTGAGAGATCATGGCTATCCGTCCCCAACCCCAGACCGCGGCCCCAACATGTTCTGGAACTTTCAACAAATAGAAGGGGATATCCCTGATATACACTTGCACAGCAGATCAAGATCCCAATGGCATGAGAAAGCCAATCGGCCTCAAACAGACGAAGAGTTTGCGGAGAGGCTGGCCGTAAATCAGTTGAATGTCTTCGAAAGGGACCAATACTGCTACATCGTGGATGAGGTCACGTCTATTTTGGCTCATATTGCCTGGAAAAGCAGTGAAAGCCCCTATTGGAAAATGGTTGTTCTTGCATGTTTGACTAAGATTTCCACAAAGATCAAAGTCTTAGCTACGCAACTTCCCCTGGCCATTTCTAAATCTATGGAGGCAATCGGGGACCTCCGATCTCGAACTCCGAAATCCCGTCATGGATACCGCAATTTCGATCATGGCTACTACGATTCCTATCATGGCTACCGTGATTCCGATTACGATTCCGTTCCCGTTGAGCGCTCCTGGCCTGCTCAGCCGATTGTTGCCCACTACTGTAAGGAGTACACTGCAGTATCTACTTGGCTGCTAGAATGTATTGAGCATGTATTGCGAAATCTAGGGGCTGAAAGACCACTATACGAGGACAAGAATAGTCTAGATCTCTGTGCCTTGGTGTACGAGGCAGGAACCAGGGGAACACACACACAAACCTTTCAGGACAGATGGGCCAGTGTCAGCGGCTCAACAGATCGTATTGGTATTTACTGGGCTTTGACCTCGTTAGAAGTTGGCTTCGAGCTGATGCAGACACTTCCCCCGCCTTCTCAGCTTCCGTCGACAATGCAGAGTGGCCAGAAGACAACCATTGAGCCGCCCTCCGAGACTACATCTGGGATTGAAGCAGTCTCAAATACGAGTATTCGAGTCAATATCGACATGAAGAACAAGCATCTCGTCAAAGACCTACGAAATGTGATCGACTTCGTTGTCATAGTGACTCCGTTGTCTCTGGCCTCTCCTCTTTTGGGGAAAGGTTTCGCCACCAATTTAGGAGCTATTAGTTCCCGAGTTGATATTCACTGGGGAATGCCTCAGAAAATCTTATTGCAAAATGCCTTTTTCAGCATGCACCGAGTTCAAACGGAAAGCCGTGCAATTACAGCAAACGTTTCCGCAAGACAAGGACATGCCGAGACAACTTCACTGGCCCGGTCTTGGCTAGCGCGCCATCGGTATCGTCCGCTTTGGAGGAGCTCCCCATCGTCAAACTCTTTACTGGAACAGTTGAATTCTGACCCTTTCGAACATCCGAACATCAGGGCACAAAACGACCGACAACGGGTGAAGAAGATTACCGATCAATGGATGATACAAGAGACTTCAATAGTGATCAAGTGTCCCAAATATGTCAATACTGTATTTGGTCTGACTGTTGTGTTGGTTGTTGGCGGATTCCTGTGTGGGTTGCTCGTTGGAAGTAGGGTTGATGGGGTTGACCCCTTTAACTTCACTGTGTTCTCTTGGCTTCTTGGCGGATTTATTTTATTGGTTGCGAAGATTATGAGGGTATCGGACTGGACATGGCGAGACTTTCTGCAGAGACAGGTCACCTGTCGCAGCGTTTGCGAAGTGGCTAACGTGTCGGAGCTGAGCCAACAGGAAGTTCTTGCTTACTTGCTTTCTTCTGAAAGCCACCAGATGCTGCGAACATCTGGGCCTTTCCAAAAAGTGTTCGCAAAGAGTGCCGTTGAGAATGGTTTCTCAATTGATGTCAATCCCGACATTCAGACACTGTCGGCCTCGGGTATTATCACGGTTAAGATTCTCACGATAGACGGGGAGGCACTTGTATGGCTTCGCCTAATTCCCGGTTCTGGACGTGTGCAGCACATTCCTGTCTATGGGAAGGCTGATGAGGTTGAGATATTTGCCTGTGTTGACCTGCCGCTACCAGATGATGGCTCCGAGGGCTTGGCTTTTAGTCACCAGAAACTAAGTTGGTCGAAGGTTCTGGGTGTATATAATGCAGTTGAGAAGCGGATAAGGTGAGGGGAAGTGGTTCATGACTGAGTGTAGCTGGCAGCCTGTGCCACGGCATTTGGATAGATGTCAAAGATGCGCCCTTCATGTTTGTCGTGTTCGTTCACTACTTGTTAGAAGGAACCAGGTACACAAAGTCATTCGAGAAAATCAGCCTGTGCATGGGTGCATTGCTCTCCGCGTTTGCTGACTGAAGTTCGGGGGCACTATTTGGGGGATGCGGAGGTGCTCAGGGGAACCTTGAGTGGTGGCGAGGATGGTGGGATCATGGAATTTATTAAGAAATCTTTTCAGGGAGAGTTCAATCTGTTTAATAATTCCCCTTTCAGGTTTCCTCAAATGGCTACTTCTAATACCGATTAGGGTAGTAAGCCCTCTGATAAACCATTAAAAGGTATTTAGGCTCGCTCAATCGGGTTTCACCGCCAATTGTAGAGAGCCAAACTCAACTAAACGAGTTCAGACGCAATACGTATACTCACCTGCAATAAGTATATGCATTGGGAATGAGTGTAGACTCTAGAAATGAAGAAATACTGATGAGTCTATCCGAAGATGTATCCGCGAAGATGGCTGTATATCTGGTTCATCGGCGGAAACGTGCCGCCAATCATGTTTGGCGTCGGGTATTGAGGCCAATGCGTCCTCACATCGGACTCGGGAATCCGGGAAGTTGATCCGTATGCCTTTCTCTTGTGGATTATCGCCCCAGAAGGGCTGGCGGTTTCGGCAGTTGAGGCCATTAAGTATTCTCCAGTCGCGCCTGTTCTCGGTCATCACCTTTCTTATAGTACTGTCTGAGGCGCCCTTCTCACTCAAGTACTCCCATTCGAGCTTCTGGGCCAATTCAAGACTGGGCGAAATCAAATGTGGTAACAAGGGCTTCGCGGTGTCGGGAGGGGAAACAGCCCATTTTGATTGTCGTTCTATTGTGATTGAGATGGGATATATGTACGTTTCTATTGGTGTGGTTGTGATCAAGAGAGTTGCGTTGTCGTCTGTATCATTAATGAAAACTAAATTGTGGGTTGAAATCGCATCGGCGCATTGCGAGTTGTCAGAAAGACACCGTATTCTTTACACTACGCATCTTGTAGGAAATAATAAAGACGATGTCTTCCTCTAGACGGGTGCTGTGGAGATACTGATGAAGTCAACGCTTTTTGCAAATATGGTTAGCAGACTTGTGATAGAGATCTCAAAAGGTTCCAACATCGTATGTATTAGAGTATTCGTTAGGTGGTGTTTTGGAGCATGAGGCCATTTATGTTGCCCTTTTACAAATCGACTGAGTTTGTTGCCTTATACTCTCATCCGGAGGGAGGCATTCAACAAAGCCTATGAGTTACTACCCTGATAGATATCTTACACCGTTGGTACCTGTGTACGGGCTGTGTACGGGTAGCGCAATTGCTAGTAAAACAACCGAAGAGAATATCACATCCTGGCCTGAATAGCTACTATGAAGCTAGCAACAATAACAGTTGAGATGTTACTTATTGATAGATTGTCTCGTCAGGAACACACCAGTCTGTGGCGTTTTCTGCACACAGCTTCTATCTGGCAAGAAGGACGTGGAGGGAGTTGTGACAGCATCCACAGATTCTATTACCAGTGTGACGTGTTTGAGCCATGGCAAATCATTAACGAGCATTGCCTGTTGCGAGGCTGAAAATGTCTCAACTGTCTCGAATGATCAGCTGTCAAGGCTCGAATTGAGTCCGACACAACAGTGTTGAGCTAGCCTCAACACACAAGAATCCAAATCATTCAGACCACCTGACCCAAACGACGAGCGAGCTACTGACAACAGTCAAAGTTGACGTTAAGTCAGTTAGCTGATTGATGCATCGGGCTTCGGCCAAAAGATTTATCTTACCCCAGTTACAGTAGCAAACAGAAGCGGCCAGTCTGTTCATGGTTGGACTCAGCGTAGTCTTGAATATCCTGCGGGCATCTGATTCATCAGTCTTGAAACTCTTCAGCGAGGATTGCATCAGATGCCAGCTTCGGAGTCTTACAGATGGAACCAGGCTTCACCATGCTCGGGATCATCTCCCCAGAATGGGCGCGAATAACCATTGTTGAGAATTTCCCCACTCCCACCTGTTCTCTTCCATGACCCTCTCCAACGTTGATTCAGGCGCATTGTGTCCAATAAGGTATAGCCAATCAAGTTTCTGAGCTACTCGAAGAGCTGAAGCGTCCCAGGATTGAACGTGGACTTCCCGCAGTGGGCAGTCGGTTGACATATCAGAGGCAGAATCATTGTCAGACACTGCCGAGAGAGGGTAAATGAGGACTGGTGCCGAAGAAAATGCTTGTTTAGGGGAGAAGCAGCCCATTCTCATTATTGCGTGGAAGCGCCCAGAGGGGAAACTGAGAGCATCTCGATTTGGCTTGAGAAAGAGAGATTGACTCCCCTATTATAAGCCCTTTTGTCTCTGTGCATTTGTCTCCAAAAGAGTCTGGGAGAATTCTGTTCACATTAATCTTCTTCCTTTGAAAACTTGAATGAACATTCTATGATCAAGAATCGTCGGTCATTGAGACTAAGGTACCAACTTTTGGAGCCAGCTCTTTGATGATTATATCTATGAGCCTCCAGTAAACAAGATCCAAACACAAAATCAAAGGGATTGGTCGCTAGCACTGCAAAAGTCTCTAGGAGCCTCTCTCAGCTGTCGGGCATATTTAACCATGCAGTGGTGGCTGCGCGCTTTCGACTTTGTTAAGACACATGTCATTAACGTGGTGTTCGCCATTGCTGAAACCAAATCACAGCATGATCGTATCAGCAATTTTAAGTTCATGTCTATGTTACCCAACCGTTTGAAGGTCGTAGTTGTTAAACATATTGAACAAGGCTTGGTATCTGGGCGAATATCGCTGCCTCCATATTCAGGCAAGTAGTTGGACACGACACCAGGGCTTGCGGGATTGCAACAAAACTCCTCATGATAGGTAGCTGCATTAATGCGAGACCAGGGCATGAACCTAGGCGGCACATTGCTTGCATTCGGTTACAATCGCAATTGAAAAGTGAAGAAATGATGCAATCCAATACATACAGCTGTCTGTGTAAATTGACATTTTATGTCTTCGAATGTTGATATTCTTACTGTAACTGTCACTTTTCTGTGTAGTATGTGCACAGGTAAAAGCCGATTACAACCCATCATAGTCAGGATAAGTACCGCCAGCTTCATCTCTGATGATGTTAGGGCCCAGAATGCTGTCAAAGATCCCATCTTTATCGTTCCTGATGCTCATGTAGTATTCATGTACAACCGGGTGTTTCTCCGCCCAGCTCTTGGTGAAGACCTACGATACCGTCAGTGTTAGCCCAATACCGGGGACATGTCAACGTACATATTGGTAGCCTCGGGCAAGGCCGGAAATCACGAAAAGGTCGGCCAAGGTTAACGTATTTCCAACAAGATACTTCTTGCCCTTGATCTCCTTCTCAATAGCACGGATAGTCAACTCGCAACCTTCCTCCCGTTCCTTGAGAATCTCTGGGCTTGTTGGTGCTCGGCCAATGATGGGCTGGATCCATGCCATGATTGGCGGAAGAAGCTCATAATTGGTGAAAGAAGCCCATCGGATGACTGTTGTCTCTTCCCTCAGGTTAGATCCACACAGCTTTGTGTTGGGATCTTGCTTCGCGACTGATGAATCGTCAGTGTTATGTTGGTTTTACAGAATGCGAAAGCACTCACGAAACCAAGCAACAGCGTTGCTCTCATAGACTTCGAAGCCATCGGATGTTTCGAGCGCCGGAACCTTGCCAGTGTGAAACTTGGACAGATATACGTCGCCGACACCCCCCTTCTCCGGATACACCTTGATAGGAAATGCATTGCAGATTTCAACGTCCAGTTTGTTGTACTTGGCAACGAAGAGCACCATGGTCGAGCGTGGCGCCTTCGGGTACGTGTACAGCTTGCCGAAAGACATTTTGGGAGTGAGATTGAATGGCGATTTGGGGATGGTGCGATCGAGGAGACAAGAGATAATGAGTTAAGGATTTCACTAGTGATTTAACGGTCATTAATGAGGATCTCATTTGTTTTCAAGCTTGTCCCTTTTTGACACTCCGCTGCGAGTCTTCGTCAAGGATGACGTTTCATGGAGGCTGCTTATCCCCGATTGCACTGAGAGGAGCACCGCGATTAGACAATTGCATGAGGGAGGAGCTCCACCTTGGCGGAGAATACTCCGTCTACTCTCGCTGTAACCGCGAACCAAGGCATGCGAGAATTGATGAATCAGATGCTACCCATCCAATTCTCGGAGAAAGACACCCGGCATGTTTTGGGATTACCTGTGATACTCGCACTTTGCCTCACATGGGGATGACTTTATGTTGTGAGGAGCTCCGCCTTGAATCGCTGCGCGATGTGGAGTCTCAGTAGTGGCCTACGAACCGATCAGCTGCGATAAGGCAGCCAGAACCTCGGATAAAATGATGCAGGACTCTGTGGCGCTTTTAGACACCAGAATTTGAAGGAAATCCCGTTTTGTTTCTATGTTGGAAGTCCGCTCGCGAGCTTGACTTGGTACTCATAAAGCTCGACAAAAAAATATTTACCCAACACGAAGTTGAAAGAATGGATTGCAAGTTAGTGCTCAAATGAGAATCCGAGAGCCTCAGAACGCAATTATTGACACAATTGAAGCTACATTCTAGTGACTGGTGCAACTGGACTGGTCGGGTCTCATGTTGTGGACAACCTATTGAGGAAGGGTTACAAAGTCAGAGCGGTGGCAAGATCAAAGCAAAAGGCAGACGCTTTTCTATCAGCAAGAGCCCAGTACGCCTCGAAGCTGGACTTCTACTTTATTGAGGACCTTACCGACCCAGGCGCTTTCGATGAAGCCGTCAAAGACATCGATGGCGTCATCCATGTTGCCAGTGTAAGTAGAGGCAACGAATCTGAATTCCCATTGGCCACGGTCAGTAAGCTGAGACTCTTACGTGCACGTAGCCTCTCAAGTACGACATAAAAGATAACGAGAATGATGTTGTCATTCCCGCACTGAAAGGCGTAAGGTCAATTTTGGATGCATCGGCCAAGTCATCAGTCAAGCGCATTGTCTTGACCTCGTCGTTTGGCGCAGTCCTCGATATGGGACGGGAGGAATCGACTCCTTGGACATACACCGCCAACGACTGGAACCCAATCAGCTATGAAGAGGCAGTGGCACCCGATGCAACACCGCAGGACGCGTATCGTGGCTCCAAAACATTGGCAGAGCAGGAAGCTTGGAGGTTTGTAACAGAGCATAAGCCTCAATTCGACTTAGTCACGTTATGTCCTTCCATGATATTTGGACCGTTGGCTACAACTCCTCGATCAAAGGACGACTTGAACGAGTCTAATATGATGCTGTGGCGGGTGGCAACGGTTGGATCATCTGGATCCTTGCCTCCCTGTCGGTTCAACTTCTGGATTGATGTCAGGGACTTGGCTGAGATTCATGTCATGGCCTTGACAACTCCGCAAGCTGGCGGCAAGAGGTATATCCCCGTGGCTCCGGAGCCATTCACATACCAGAAGGCTTCAGAAACCATTCGGAGCACTTATCCAGATTTGACGCAGAAGATTGCGACCGGCATACAAGAAGTCAAAACTCATGTCCAGGTAGACCCTGAACCGATGATGAAGGATTTCCAAGGGTTGAAGTACACGTCATTCGAGAAAACAGTCACAGACTTTATGAGCCAGGTCAAGCATCTTCTGTAAAACTTAGGGATAATGATGGTTTTGTATTAATACAAGTTGCACGTCTACATCCGAACCAGGTCCAGGGAAGAGCCACCCTCTCAGTCATTGAAAACTGCGACGATCCATTTCCCCAAGGGCCAAAACCTTTGACTTGCAAAGTTCGCTTCAACCCATGCCAAGTATCGCGCCTCAGGCGTCTCGGAAATGTTGACTGGATTATCATCAGAGTTTATGGCTGCCAGAATGCCGCCTAACAGAACCTGTGCAGTCACGGCATAGATGCTAGGAACTCGGGCGCCTGGGATATTGACGTTGCTTTGAGCAACCGTCAGTGACATAAGTCGGACTAGGCGCCAACCCATCAAACAGGCTTTGAAGCCCACCATAGTCATGAACGGATCTTCAATCATTGAGCATGTCGCATACTCATTGGGTATGGCCGTTGAGCCAGGAAAAGAACTCCTCGATGAACGAGACATGAGCATCAGGATGTTCTCCATGTTGCTTACGATTCTCGTTACTATCCGGCACAAAAGGTGTCAGCAAAGCTCGCGTGAAGATGATGACCTCTGCATGCTTACCATCTCTATCGTCATAAACATCACGATGCTGTTTTGACCGAGGCTTGTTCAGTTCCCAGCATGTCGAGATTGCGTTTGGTAGGCTGTACTCGACGATGCCACTGGTTAGAAGAGCTTCTTGATGAGTGAGGCTCAATGCCGCGTAATGCCACATGGTCCAGACGCGATCCCAGCTGGCAGAATTCGTGGAAGAACTTCCAAGGTCGTGGCTCGGCTTGCGCATTAGATCCGCCAGGGAATCCAGGGCTTGCATTATCGGCGCTCGGTTGACTTCTGAGATAATCGATAAGTTGTTCTTGCTTTCTCCTGGCCGGATGTTGTGGTATAAGAAAGACCCCGCCAGTGTCAGATCACGTGTCATCATTAATATCTGGATTATGAGCACCAAGCATGTGAACGACGACTGCCAGAGTAAACCTGGTGGACGACCCCGCGCGGACGAATCAGGATTCATCAAACGCGCCAGACACCCGTAAAGATCTCCATGAGCAGGCCGGGGTTCAGCATTAGCATCGTCATCCTCTTCTTCGTTGAAGGACCCATCCTGGGCAAATACTAGAGCCTGCCAGTCCTCGGCTGTCGTTCCTTCCCATATATCATCTCGGCATGGCAGCTCGTACTTGATCTCGAGAGCTGCCAGGAGCGGTCGCATGTTGCAGCATATCGCCAACTGAGCGTCCAAGTAGTATAAACAGTATGCGATTCTTCGCTTGGTTAGCTTGCTATGTGTAACACTAGAGTCTGAGATCAGCACCCACCGTTTTCTTGACTCATTCTGGATCGCGGCGTGCCAAGCCGACTCCGTGGAGTACGCTGCCGTATTATCGATGCTTGTGGGACTGTTGAAACTCTCGTCCAGCCCAAGAGTAAACCTGTCTTGTAGCAGTTGGTACTGACGTGATGCATCGACAACCTTTCGGTGGATCTTAAGGGCAACCGAGAAACGGCCATCATCACAGCAATGAATAGCGTAGTATTCGAAGAGCAAGTAGGCTTGCATGACCCAGACCTCTTGGAATCTGGAGCATCGCCGCTCCCTGACCTTATTGACACTAGGTCAGCCGAGAGAAGTAGAGACCTGGTTTGATGAAGCTTACATATGCATCCAATGCTTTCAGTCCCGAGTCAAACAATGCAGCACTGCACTCGTGCTTTTGGTCTGGGGATTGATAGACTGCGCCAATACAGGCAATTGCTTGTAGTAGCGGTTCTCTAGCAGAGCTAAGGTCAAAGGTTGGTATGTGTATCAGCGGAAATATTGGTTGAAAGTTCTCGAAATAGGCTGAAATGAACTGTGGAAGCTTGAACATCCATGAGATGCCTTGATCACATTGTAGTTGGGATATCGAAGAGGACTTCACAAGTGGTTAGTAAATCGCGTGCAAAACCATGGAGGCCAAGTCTTCTCACACGGGTGCTGCTACTCTCGCGGCGAGTCGGCCCATGACCGTTCGCAGAATTTGGAAGTATCTCGACTGGCGGCGCGGAAGGTGGAGGCTGCTCAGCGCCGCTATCTGATCCCGGGTGATACTTTCGTACATGGCGTTTTCTCAGATCACTGAAAGAGGTCAATAACCGGAGGGCTGAGTACGCACGTGGCTGGGCGGGATGGGGGCATGACGGCTATGCGGGATTCACATACCTTCTAGAGAAGCTCACTTCACAGTGGGGGCATGGGAATGGCCTCAAATTCGACTTTTGATGAACTTCGGACACTCAGCCAAAAAAGGAGCGAGAATAACTCGAAACTTGCATCACTTACCAGAGCTGGTATGGCGACTCAGGTTCTCCTACGGGGAATCAGCATCATCTCTATCATCTATCACAATGGCAAGGCGGATTGGAATTACTTGTCGGGTGAAGCGACTAGGGCACGCTGGGCACTGGAACGGTCTTTCGCCCTTGTTCATCTTGGTCATCTTTTCGGCAGGCATCACGTCTCTCTCGATCAAAAGGCTTGTCAAGTCTATTCACGCAATTGAACACCTGAGATGGTAGATGTGGTGTTGTCGTCCTTCGGTTGCATATCACGACACGGTGTTCGGGGACGAAGGCGATAACGACAGCCCCGTGACCCAACGGGATAGAATGATACCGCTAGTGCCTGACAAAGATAAGAGATTCCACGCAACGACAGTAGAGCGTCATCTCGTAGGTTGCCTCAACGCGAGCCGGGGTTGGGTTGGAAACGCGGAGAGGATTGCTTCCCCGCACCCGGAAGGGGGGCCGGGAGAATGTCACCGCGATGCTGCCCCTGGCATCCTTGCCAAGTTCGAATCAAACCACTCAGAGCGCCTGGATTAGAGCGCGACGGAATTGAACGTCGCAGCGATTGCAGCGGGCCTCTTTCCAGGTCCACATCTTCCTTATCGTTGGCCCCATAAAAGGGAGTGAGCCAGGAGGAGCTCCTCCCAAGCGTAACTTTGGCAAGGTTTATTATCCAATCCGGTCTGGCAAAGCAAGTGGGAGAGGATTATGGGCTCCTCCCAAAAGTGCTTTGGGGAGGAGTTGCGGGAGGAGTGGCGAGTATGGTGGTTGACAGGAGGAGCGCCTTGCTTTCGTAGTCACCAGACATGATTGTATTAGAATGGCAGCGATTTGCAGATGGTCAGATGCAACTTCCCCAGACGCGGAGGAGCACCAGATGAGCAACAAGATGGACGCATCATGCAAGTGCAAGTGACGGCCTGTGAACTTTGGACCGAATGTAGTCCTTGGGTTGCGATGAAGGACAGGTATATCAGAAGCTGGCAGTCATCGAGGAGATAAGGGGCTTGATGCCGTGAGGACAGTGAACCGATTCGCATCACTTCCAACGATACTCCAAAGAATTGACTAAAGACCTGTGCAACGATGTCTCTCCCTCCCTACACCCCAGCGCCTCCCTCGAAGGAAGACCGTAAGTGCTGTGCCTCGTTCAACCCGTATGTTCTGTCAAGCAGCATTGCTAATCTTTCAAATGGTAGTTGACTATGTCAAGCTTGTAAATCTCGATCTTGCAAGATTCGACGACCCAGTTGGCCGACAAGAACTTGCGAAAGAGCTCTATGAGGCTGCAACAGGATATGGCTTCCTGACTCTTACGAACCATGGCATATCCGATGAAGTCTATGCTCGACAGATGCAGATTGCGAACGCAATGATGACTCTGCCGCCTGACGAGAAGGCACCGTATGAAGGTGAATGGTTCCTACAGTCGTGGCAAAATTTTGTCCATTGCTGACAGGTCCTCCCATCAGTCACCCCCGAAGAAGACGCTCGTGGCCTGTACGTTGGTTACAAGCCAGCTGGTCCACTCGGACACAAAGGCGGCTTCCCCAAGCAGCTGGATCACTACAACATCCTCGTCCATGATCCGAAGAACCGCCCCCACCCAGAGATTATGAGACCCTATCTCAAAGAGACCCAGGAGGTGATGCATTTTATCCGCACGAATATCCTCAAGAAGCTGTTGACATTGGTGAGCATGATCTTGGAGGTTCCCGATGAAGCAGTGCAGGCGACCCATGCATCCGGTGGCTCCAAGACAGAATACATCAGATACATGATGTGCGAGCCTCGTCCCCAGGAAGAGAGTGAGAAGTACCGTGACATCTTCCTCTCCGGACACACCGACTGGGGCTCTTGGACGTTCTTGTTCTCGCAGCCCATCGCCGCACTCCAAGTTCTGGACCACAACGACGGCAAGTATCGCTGGGTCGAGCACCAGCCCAAGGGTCTTGTTATCAATTTCGGAGAGGCTATGGAGCGCTTGACCGGGGGCTTATTCAAGGCGACCATTCATCGTGTGGTACAGCCACCCGTGGACCAGCGACACCTGCGTCGTATTGGAGTCATCTACTTTGCCCGCCCTGCTGATGATCGCGAGTTGAAGCCTTTGGAGAACTCCCCATTGCTACAACGCCTTGGGCGCGACAAGCCCATGGACGATCGAGTGTTTTGCATGGCTGGTAAGAAAACATTGAAGCTCGGCAGCTCAATGGACCTTGGCTGACAGTCAACAGACTACCTTGATGCAAGGAAGCACGGTTGGAAACGGTATGAGTACGATATCGACCGGCCTATGGACACTGGAAAGCACGCGGACTTCTTCGCTGGGGAGTATCCAGACCCGGAAGGCCATAAGAGCTTGGGAAAGTTTGACAACGTTGCTAGAGAGGTGTATGTGCCCGTGCTAAAGGCGCAGTGAATAATCGTAACCAGCGGACTTGTCCGTCTTGGCATTGAGGTGGCCTTATGAGACATAGGAACTCGGTGATCTTCATAAACTCTTCGTCGAGAAGCAATAAACACCCTTTGATGTAACCTTGAATACATATAGTTATGGTTTGATTCCATTTGAAACGCATATGCAGCCTCAATTCGGGCTCGAAGATGAACCTCATGACCTTATCGCCACTTAGGCTGAGCACGATTTTACCGAGGCAAACATAACGCGTGACATCAACAGCAGCTTGTTTGTCGACTGCAGCTGGAATCTTAGCATCTTGGTACTGGAGATAACGGGCACCCGATTTTGGACAACCAAGAACTATATTTGACACAACCACGGACAGAACACCGCTGTGACGTCTACCTTGCTTCGTTCTTTCAATACTGATCTCGTTTACTCCATGAACTCCCGGAGATCCGTCCTTTCATTCGACATGTTTATCGATGCAACTGTCACTACGAGTGGCCTGGTGGGAGGAGCTCCTCTCGGTAAAGCCCCACTTGATATACTTCTTCCTCACTTCATTGACATGATTGGGTGATCATCAACTCCCAAGCTTATCATTGATGCACGCTAGTCAACACCAAGCTGATGCCAAATTGCCAACACTGTGATTGCGTCTCAGTATCCTATTTGTGTCAGTACCCCGGATTTCGTCCAGTCTCGACGAGTGACAGACATGCAGAGTCTCTTCAAGGGCGGGGCACCAAGGAACATCGGAGTCCTCGGCTGATTGCCTTTTTCAGTGCCATGACAATCTCCTGCTTCTCATGAGACCAGCCAAGAAGATAAGTATACTATTGACAGATGGTACGGTCTTGGAGTGATAACGCACGACGCCCTGTATCTTGAGATAGGAGATCTACTTAAGACCTCGGACTCAGCTGAATTCAAGGAAGGTCGATCTCATGCACCCAGCCTGAACGAACAACACCACCAATTCCGTGAAGAATAGCCCAACAAGGGCATCACGATCAACCATCATGTCGCCGTTTTCGGATTTGCGACAACACTTCGAGGGTGCATCAACACCCCAGGAGAAACGGCTTGTCTTGAAGTTAGATTTCTTCATTCTGACCTTCTGCTGCTTAGCATACTTTATGTGAGTAATCACCTCCTCCAATATGATCAGGCAAATGCTAATATCCGACGGAACAGGAACTATTTAGACAGAGCCAGTATTACACAAGCTTACGTATCTGGAATGAGGGAGGATTTGGGATTTAAAGGTGCCCAGCTTACGGAAGTTACAACACTTTATGCGACCGCATACCTCATGTCAGTTGACAGAAGTTCTAGTCCCGAGCTCTCACAAGACACATGCTAACTTTGGTGTCTAACACAGTGGGATTGTCCCAAATAATTTGCTCTTGACTTACTTTAAGCCCAAGAGGTTCTTTCCTTTCATGATCACGACATGGGCGATTATCACCATGCTGAATGCGGTTGCAAAGACCCCTCAACACATGATGGTGATTCGCTTCTTTCAAGGGTATTATTTCTAATACAATCACTCCTTTGCAATCACATACTAAACTTATATCGTTGTAGATATTTCGAGTCGTGCATCTTTGCCGGCACACAGTACATCCTCGGATCATGGTATACGAAGAAAGAATTAGGACAAAGAACGGGACTTTTTACTGCAAGTGGTTTGGCTGGGGGCATGTTTGGTGGTTTCCTTCAGACGGCTATCTACTCCTCCATGAATGGCCTTCACGGAATGCCGGGATGGAAGTGGCTCTTCATCGTCAGTACTTTTGCACCTCAATGATCACCTCAATGATGAAAGCGACACTGACAGAACCACATCAGATTTCCGGAATTATCACTCTGCCTGTTGCCATCTACGGCTATTGCTTCTTCCCAGACACGCCGAGTACCACGACAGCGTTTTACCTTAGCGAAGAAGAGATCAAGCTTGCCCAAGAACGAGTTCCGATTCGTGAGGAGGGAGAAAAGATTCTTACCTGGTCCTTTATCTCCCGAATCCTGCACTCGTGGTATTTCTACGGTTTCTGCTTCTTATGGATCCTCGGCAACACCTCCGAGTCCCAGTCGAACCAGTCCCTCCTCAACCTCTACATGCAATCTCACCCCACGGAGCATTACACTGTATTTCAACGCAACAATTATCCAACCGGCGTACAAGCAGTCGGTGTTGTCAGTACTCTGCTGTGGGCGACTAGTACCGACATTTGGGGCCGGAGGTGGCTGTCCGGTTACTACGTCGCTTTCACGGCCATAGCGAACGCTGCTATCATCCTGGCGCCCACGTCGACTGCAGCCAAGTTTGGGGCCTACTACTGGGCAGGGTCTATTTACTGCATTCAAGCGACGTTCTTCGCGTGGGCGAATGACTCCATGCGGAACGAGTCCCCTGCTCTTAGGGCTTGCGTGATTGCCTGCATGAATGCGGCGGGTAACTGTTTTCAGGCATGGTGGCCGCTCATCTTCTTCCGAGCAGATGATGCGCCCCAATTCAGAGTGAGTAGTCAGGGGCATGCATGTGTTTCATCAAGAGTCCTCAACTGACATATTGAACAGAAAGGAATGATTGCGATGATTGCAGTTGGCATTGCAATGATGATTTGGGTCACCGTCCTCATTTTCATGGATAGGCGGCTTTCCAAGAAGCAGATTCAGGTTATTGAGGCTGTTGACGCCGACAGCCATGCAGAGGCAGGGCTTAGCGCGGTCAAGAATATTGACAGCAGAGATAAGGGCTCGACAGACAAGTAAAAATGGGCGGCTTGGGACCAATAGGATATCCTCCGTGTATCGTATCAAGTTTGCAGTCCTGGGTCTGTTCAGCCCATTACCATCTGCTTTGTTTTCATTTGTTCCAAGCTGAATGCGCAGCTTGCCAAACACTCTGTGTTGCTGGTGTATGCCCCAGCTTTTTAGGCAGGCAATCATAAGCTGACCAGCCATTGCTGTTCTTCATTGTCCCTAGCCGCATCCACTCGATAGTAACCGACGTTCAATCATTGGACTGTTCGGTTGGGTTTCCCAGAAGAGCTGCTAATGATACCATACTTCTCCACTAGCAATTCATCAGCTACCTACTTCGTACACGGGCACCGGCTAAGGCACTTTGACAGGGTATTTGAATGCACTAGTATACTCATTCTTTATGAGAAAGACTTGTGAAGGATTCGCCTAAACTTACTAGGTTGCTTTGCCCTACGTCAACAGCCTGCCCGTTCCTAAGTGTCTTCTCAGCGTACTCTTTGCTGAGTACCAGCTAAGCCCAATCATCACAATCCAACAGGCCACATCATTGCAGTTCCATTATCGGATCTAACTACGCAGCCTTTGAAGCTGCTCAGATATTTGCGAATCTTCCGCACCAGCATAAACGGGTCTATCCTACTTCTGAGACCTATGGTATGTACAATAAATGTCTTCAATAACCTGCACAACTTTGCACATCTATGATAATGCATCGTGGCTTTCCCAATGTGAGGGGAAAGCATGCACCACGAATACAAGCTGACAAAGTTTATTGCAGGATTGCGAGATTGTCTCTCTTTAATCCTTGTTAAAACTGTGCGTCAATAGTATTTAGTTTCCTACGAGCTTCAACTAGAAAGCTTCGAAGATGCCGCTCAAAGACGTGGCCGCTTTCTACGCAAGCTCAATCAAACCTCCGAGTACCTGGGTCGCAGTTTCGGGCATCTCAGCCCTAGTAAGTCGCGACAAAACTGTTTATGCCACTTAAACTCATCCACAAATCACAGACTGCAGCATATTTCGCGTCCGTGTGCATTTACAATCTCTTCTTTCACCCTCTTGCCAAGTATCCGGGCCCTCGCCTCGCTGCTGGAACCCCTTTATGGCTCGTATCGGCTATCATTGGAGGCAGACAGCCCGACGATACTCTCAAGCTGCACGAGAAGTATGGGCCCGTCGTCCGAACCTCTCCGAATGGTCTGTCTTACAGCGACACTCCTCAATGGAAGGAAATCTACACACCCAAGGCGGGGCAGCTCGAGTTTGCGAAGGACCAGAAATTCTTCGCCGGATTCCGGGGCAGGCACCTTATTCTCAACGCCGACAGACGTTACCATCCTTTCATCCGTAAACTACTTGCACCCGGCTTTTCTGAGAAAGCTATGAGAGAGCAAGAGGGAGTGCTGAAAGAATTTGTCGACCTCATGTTTCGGAGAGTGCAGGAAGACGGACAGAATGGCACGCAGCCAGTGGATATCCTGAAGTGGTTCAACGTGCGTGCTCTTGCCGGTCATCGAGACGTATGCTGTGCTGACCTGAATTTAGTTCCTGACTTTTGACTTCATCGGCTTTCTCAGTGAGTCTACCTCAAGCCAAGTCGCTCTTGGCCCTCATTATCTGACTCCGCCACATCAGCTTTTGGGCAGTCATTTGATTGTCTGATAACATCTACTCTCCATATGTGGGTGAAGATGTTCCTGTCTTTGGCCAAGTTCTTCGCTTACTACCAAGCGATCTCTTACTTGCCACTCCTGCTTCGTTTCCCGGTAGGGCTGTGGTTGTTTCCACTCAAGGTCCTCTCGGATGCTAAGACCCTGACACGGCTTCAGGAGGTATGTGTTCTACAAGTGCTGTAGGGTGGGTGCAAGCGGCTAAGGAAAGTCCAACAGGAAAAGGTCAATCATCGTCTTGAGATACAGCCGACGGTGCCGGACTTTATGGACAAAATGATTGCGGCCTACAAGTCAGGCAAGATGTCTTATGACCAACTGGAGGGTAATTCGCAGCTTCTGATTGCCGGCGGAAGCGAGACAACCTCTACTCATTTGGCAGGTGAGTTGTGCGGTGCTGGTCGGCTTAACAGCAATAAGCCCCAAGAACCCCCGCTAATCCGACTGAAATCGTAGGTCTCGTTTGGCTCCTTATGACTAACCCCCGGGTCTTGGAGAAATTGTCCGCTGAGATCCGCACGGCCTTCGCGCACGAGGGTGAAATCACTTTCGCTGGCGTCAACGACTGCAAATATCTCCTAGCTTGTATCGAGGAAGGTCTTCGTATCTACCCGCCGTCACCTCAAGCACATAATCGCATCGTACCTCCCGGTGGTGCTACCATCGACGGCGAGTTCATCCCGGAAGGTGTGTCTGTTGGTGTACATATATATGTTGCAAACAGAAGTACTGCCAATTGGACCCGTCCGGACGAATTTATCCCCGAGCGCTGGCTGGGAAAAGATCCCGAATTTGCTGGCGATAAGCGAGACGCTTCTCAACCTTTCCTGTTGGGCCCGCGGATGTGCGTTGGAAGAAACCTGGCCTACGCCGAGATCAAGGTTATCATTGCTCGGCTCGTCTGCCAGTTCGACATCGAAAATGTGACAAAAGAAGACTGGATGGATCAGAAAGTTTTCATGGCTTGGGAGAAAATGCCATTGTGGATCAAGTTGCATCCTGTTCGGAGGTAAGGAAACACCTCAGGATTCTTCCAGAGTACCTAGTATCTTGGGTTACTTTACGCCTCGAACATGGTTCCATAGAAACATCAGACTGGGACATGTGAAGAATTCAGACAGGCTTTCACTTCCCTGTGCCGTTGACATCTAATTTTGGATTTACATCGCTTCGTCTACTTTCTGTTCTAGCGCAGCTACAACCTGATCACATTGCCATCCTCAATGCAAGCATCTTGCCAATATCCGGAGTGCCCAAACCCGTGACAGCGTCCCAGCCGGGAGCAGTGGGCCAAGACGCGTTTGGCACAAGTTTGGCCCCAAATTGAGGCGGGAACTGTTGACTTCCAAAAGCAGTCGTCCCCGTGCACCCAGTGGAAGCACCAACCTTCACGTCATTAATGGCTTGGAGTCCAGCGCCATACAGCCATGGGTTGATGAACCCCATCGGAGGTTTTCCGGCTTGGATGAGAGCGGCATTCACCATACCAACCGTGCCAGCCCAGATCGGTGCCGCTGCACTCGTTCCTTGGAAGCCGCCAAGCTGACCACCGGTGAAGAACGTCGCATTGAAGCTTTGAGCGCTCACGTCTGGGAAGCCTCTGCCCGACGCATTGAAGAGGCCCTGGAACTTGTTGCCAACCGTCTTGAGGTACGGAGGAACAGCTTGGTCTTGGTATGCTGGCCTGGCGAACTTGTCCGAAAATCCACCGCTCGAGAAAGGGAACGCTTGTTCAGGAGCTACGTTCTTTGTTCCACCGACGCCGGTGACGAAGGGGCATACCGCGGGGAAGACTGGGTTGAAGCGTGTACTGGCGGTGCCGTCGTTGGTCACGCAAGTATTTCCTGGCCCAGAGTCTCCCGAAGCAGCGAACATGGTGACGCCTCGAGCACCAAGGGCACCGAACTGATTGCAAATCTGCTGAATGTAGCCGTCAGGCAGGGATTGTTCGTTCTCGCCAAAGCTTGTGGTTATAGTATGAGGGAGCTGATCATCAGGAAGCTTGAGCATGGCATCGAGCCAGATGAGCCATGGCTCCGTGGTATCCCCAGGTTGACCTCCCAACTCCAGCTTGATGGGACCATCACCAGCGACGGCGGTGACAATGTTAGGCACGGGGTTCGAGAGAGACGCAGTGTACTGCATGTCAAAGTTCAACTCGGCATTCGACAACTGATTCTGATCCTGGCTTGTGACGCCGCCATTGATGCTTAGAAAGGAGAAGTTGACCCCGGCGGACGGCGGGTCGATATTCTTCGCGAAGAGGGCGAAGTCTGCGAATTTTGGGACCTGACTTTGCGAGGCATATACACCGAGACCACGAGCTTTGCTGACAGGAACGTTTGCAGGGACATTGTAGAGTGCTCTGACACAGCTGGGTGTGACGGTTCGGTTGCACGTCGCGTCAACTTGGGCTCGGGACACTGACGGTGGGGGATCGACGGCTGCGGCTGATCTCCACAGAGGCTCGTTGGTCACCCCAGAGAAGGCTCTCTTGTGCTTGCGAAGCTCCTCGGACGGTAACGCGTCGTCGGTGTTCGGAGCTTGGGGTCCTTGATGCATCATCGGATGCGAACAAAATCGTGTCGTCGGGGATATTAGCGATATCTTGGCCTTCAACTCCAACGGCAACGAATACTCTAGGGTCCTTAAGACCTCCTTTCCACTGTCGCCATGTTTGAACCAAGAATACTTGGCGCCTAGCAGCCTATTGGCTTTCTCAACCGTAGCGGTAACTCTGATCCAGTGGCCATCGCTTGCAATCGCGGATTGATCGAGACGTCCCTGATCCAAGAGCCAATTGACCACCATATCCCGAGACCCATCGTCAGGCATGAGAAGGGCTTGAGCCTCCTCTCTCGAAAGATGCTTCCCATACAACTCATGGCCGGGCGTCGAGACGCTATACAGTGCCTTGTGTACGTGATCGGTTCGGTCAACGGCTATAGACAGTTGGAATTGATGTTGAGGATCGGCGAGTCGTGATTGCGTCCATCCTATCGGCAACTCCTTGATGTATTCGACCTGCACTTGTCTGGATGGGAGTGCCTCAATGAGAGTGGCGCATAAGAAAATAATTACCGATGATACCAGCATCTTGAAGTATCGGGTCGTGCCCGGCACAGTAGCCCTAGGCAAATTAGAGAACGCGCGAAAAAGGGACGAGGACCAAAGCAGTATCCACCGGTGGGATGAGGAAGCCAGACAACACGTACTATGATATGAACCTCTATTCAAGAAAAAAAACCACAGGGAAATTCACCCGTGCTATACCGCGTGGGGCCTGCGCCGCGCGCATGTTTCGCAGCTCGCACGTCTCGGAGTCGACAGCAAAATCCTGAGAAAACTCAATTTGGCCCAAGCCAACGATCTCGAAAGTCGCCGGTGTAATGGGAGCAAACGTCTTCCAGAACCCCCACAACGACGCTCGCGGGCGCGATCTTTGTCATCTGACATTGGGAGTCTCAGGACATCAGCGCCGATTGCCTGACAAGGGGTTCGTCGATCCATCGGATGGACGGTTCATGCGTGTTGTCTGCGCCGTTGTGAGCAGGCGAGCATTGTTGTACTCGGACCTCCCGATGCGATGGCAACGTGCCTGGCGCTAGACCCCGGAGTTTAAGGATGTTCCCGCCCACGGCATGTTCGAGACAGTGGCGCGGCAAACATTATGTGTCCCCAGATCTAACCCTCGAATTGGCCCATAATATTTCGTCGGGTTCCAAAGGTAGGTAGGGATCCTCATCGCCCACGATTTGGAAGCCTAAGCGCAGGAACATTCATCTAATGATTAGGCGGCGACTAAGCATACTTCCGTTCCCGCGGATTCTACGGATCAGCTGGTTTGCTGCACGCAAGTGCGCTTCGGATCTAAACTGCACTCAGCTCAGGGTTGACATTTACTGTGACGCACGATTCAGTCGACGCTAACTGTTACGGCACCTGGAAGGGCAAGGAAACTCATCTCTCGACCTAGACAGCAATGACCATAAACTGGTTGCGACCACGTTGGCATGCACGCAACTCAGTCAGGTTCCGTTACTTATTGATACGTTCATTGATTTGGCATCACAACCCGGCGTTAATCGGAGAATAGGGGGACTGACTAGTCGTTCGGGATGTTTAAGCTTTCACTACGCCCCTAGTTGCAGCAAAGTACGCGCAATATTTTTAGTATTTTCAATTCAAACCGCAGCCTAGCAGACTTGCGACGGGGAAGGTCCTTGTCCTTACCCAACTCTAAACCTATTGATGGTTCGGCAATGGTGGCCTCGATGGGACATTTCGGACCCAACGTCCACTGCGTCTCGGTTTATTTGATAAAAAAGGCTTCTTCCGAAGTCTTCGCGTTTCGCTTGGCGGGCCTTAGGGTGTTCTCTAATTGCTATCTTGTTGGCTCGAACATCAACGCGAATACGATACCCACAATTAGATGTTTCCTAACTCAAATTCTTGTGTCGTTTGCAAACGACTCGGCCTCATTTCTGGGCTCGTTATAGGCTAAATAACGTCCGCGGAATTACGTTGGGTGAGGGCTGGCCTTATTGCGATTCACTTCAGGAATTCGATACTCGCTGCCCCTCTCCCTCCTGACAGTTGCCCAGAAGTCATATCCTCGGTCTCTCATCCTTGTCTTCCGCTCCTCCCTCTCCTGATTGTCGATTCGCTGCCGCCGGCGTTCCCTCCTTTTCTCGGGAACAACCTTCTTAACGCCTGACCACGCGAAAACGATAACCTTCTTGCCGCCCTTGTATCCACTTCGCACGACCTCCTGAACGCGTGAACTAAAGGCGCCAACAAGCGCGGCTACGATGAGGAAGATAGAGACTGGCAATGAGATTGCCCCAATATCTCTCAGCGAAGGAAGAGTGCCTTTGTCACTATCCCAGTCCGTGGTGTTCATGCCGAAGAGGCCCGTAAAGAAGGATAACGGTAGAAAAATGACGGTAAACGTCGTGAAGATCATGACCGACAAATTTTGTGATGATGCGAGCTCGGTTTGGAGACGGGACCAACGAACCTCGTCTACTTGAGCCTGACGCTGAACCATTTCGAGAAGTTTCTCGTACTGTGAAATTCATGTAAGCAGGTGCATAGAATTTTAAGCGTTTGTCACAGTACTCACATCGTTGCGTGTTGTGTCTACCCGTTTTAGCATTTCGGCCGTCTGACTTCGGTATTCGTCCAACTTGCCAAGAGCTTCCTCAAGGTACATCCTCCCATTCCGGGTCAGCATCTTCAGTTCTTCGCTCTCAACTATGCTCTTCATGTTTTTTACTGCTGCATCCTGCGCTTCGAAGAGTCTCTCGAGCGATTTCAACTCGTCTTCCAAGTCTCGGAGCTCCATTAGTGCGGATGTGTTTTCTCGATTCTCGCGCTCGGCCTCTTGAAGCTCTCTCTTGTGACGCTTCTTGATGGACTCAGGTCGATTGCTTTCCGAGTCGGAATCTACGCCTGCATCTTTGAAAGTCTGCATGCGAAAGCGCTTCAATGAAGAGGTCATGCGTTCGGTCTATACTAGTTAGCGAGGGCTGTAAGCAGAAGATGACAGAAATGGTCCTCACAAGCATGCTTATCGCCTCCTCAAAGATTCTGAAGATTTCCAAGTCAGGATGCGAAGCTCGATCGAGCAGTACGGTGACAGCGTGTAAGACGACGAATGCCGCCAGGTCAAGCGCATTTTCGCAACGACCTGTCAAGTCGCCATTGAGTTCGTTATAGACACTATTTCTCAAGTCTGCTTGACCGAACAGAGGGCCCTCCTTTGCTTTAGATTCTCGCTTCGAGAAGAAGGTCGTCAAGGTTTCTATTGACCCGTTAACACCATCGTCAGTCAATGCGCTAATCCCATGAAAACTCACTTTTGTCAATGGCCCATAGCCATAGCTGGTCGACCATGAGAACTTTTCCATCTTTGATAACCTCTTCCAGATCCTCAGTCTCATCGTCGCTGTCACTTTCCTCTTCCAGCAGTCCAGTACTTGAAGGCGACAGCCTGTCAAATGGACTCCCGGTGGATCCGAGGGTCTGCCTCCTCGTCAAGGTCATCAGTTCCCGATTAGCACCACCAGAAGCCCGGTCTTTAGTCAGCTTGTAGAGCATCTGGTCATCATCGCGCGCCCACGTATCTCTCAGCGACGGGTACGCGAACTGGTCTAACGTGCGTCGGTAGTTAAGTGGAGGGTCGTAGCCGATATACTCCCATATCATCCTCAACTCTGGAGACTCAAGGCCGGCTATCTCGCGGGGAACGGGACGTGCCCGACCATGTTGCATACGACGCAGGATAAACTTTCTCCGTTGAAGAACGTCGATGTAGGTGTCAAAATGCAGGTAAGGCATGTATAAGTACAGGTAAGAGGATGACGGCCCAGCTGCAGGGCTGACGCGACCAGAGAGATTGGGCGATGGGTGTGGAGAAGGAGCTGGAGATCGCGTCAGTATAGATCATCATGCTCATTCAAAGTTGTCGGGTCTTTACCTGAGCCGGCGGGTATATAGCTGCAAGTCGGCTTCACGAAGGATGCTTGCGACTGAGAGTGCCTTCCGATGACATGCTTTGCCGTCCAATTATCCTTGTTGAAAACCTTTGCAAAACTTGGATCATGGGGATTCGCAAGCACTCTGAACACATCCTGGAACAATCTGGTCAGAGAGAACCTTACACATGATTCTTTCGGGCATACCTTGACCCAGGAGGGATTCGTGTAAGGGGTATGAATCCACATGAACTTCCTTGCCAAAGGATCGGGCCTAGAGAATCCAGCAGCTGCTGTCAAATCTTCCATGGCCGAGACCCGAGACTGTCTATCTTGACGCCTGGATAGAGGCTCTGAGTGGCTCTTTTCGACGCCGATCTCCGCAGCAGGTCCTAGTCCTGACCCAGGGTCTGGCGTTTTGGGTGACAATTCCAACTCTGTCGGATCAGATCTCGTACTCTCGGCGTTGCTACTCCGGCTCGAAGGGCGGTTGAATCCTGGCGGTGAAAGTGGTGGGACAGTGAGGGAACCCATCCGCCTCATTGAATCAACTGGCAAAGAGTTGGAACCTCCAGCCATTGGGGGCCTAGTTACAACAATTGGGGGTGACCCTTGGCTCTCCGAATCGGAAGTCCTCGGTGGACTCCCGGCGTTCGAAGGTGACCTGAATAGCCTGTTTCCCAGCTCTTGCAACCCTGGCAGAATACCAAGGCCACTGCTACTTTGCTGTGAATCCTCTTGACTTTGTGAGTGAGGGACAGGATCTGATCTTGGCCGAAGCGTCGTTCTCCTCAGGCGCTCTTCCAAACATCTCTCTGGGCCCTTTTCCAGAAACTCCTCAAGATGAAGTTTCGTAAAGTAAAGTCGGATATCAGACTCCACTTGCGCATCCGGATCATCGTAAAACCCAATGATCTCAACCTTCACGTGCTTCTTGAGGCTAAGAGGTGTGTGGATGTACTCAGAGCTGAGATCGGTGGCCTTTTTGACCGCGGCAGCAAGTTCCGTCAAGTAGCTGCCCATGATTTCGGTGTTTCCTTGTCCAAATGATGCGCAGTTGGCGTGTTCACTATCGAGGGCAAAAACACGCTCTTGGCGGACACCGACGAGTGAAGACTTGATAGAGACAATGGGAGCACCGAATCGGACTTCCTTGGCGGTGCCGTGATTTTTCGACCCTGACCCGGAAAGTTGGGAGTCGATTGTCTCATAAATGTCCAAATCCTCAGCTCACTTGCAATAGTTGCAAAGTCCTCGTGCATCCGCAGGAGTGGTTTGTGACCTAGTCTAAGTTCATCGGAGATAGAATGCGGCAAGGGACGTTGAAGCCTCAACAGGCGTTGAATGCTGTCTTTCAGGTTGTTCATGGAAAGATAACTTGATCCGCGATGCGGAGTAGCTGAGGGAAAATTATCAATAGGCTGAATCATACGAGAGGTTCATGGGACTCACCAAAGAATGTGGCGCCATGGCAGTTGTACATAAAAGGCTTGTAGTGTGGATTCTTGGTGGCTCTCAGAAGAGCCAACTCGACTACCAAACCTCCAACACTGTGTGCTACGAAGAATAGGGGACGAGATCGTTGCTAAACACCATTCAGTTCTGCTCAAACCCACGAAGTAAGTGTTACTCACGTTTCCGTATCTGACGCTCCAAACCTGCTCGATCAAGTCGTCCGCCAAGTCTTCCAACGTCACCCCTTCAACCAATTCTCGATGCCGATAAAGTAGCACTCTGGCCTTGCTGACTTCTTTCCTGATACCCTGCCGCACCCAAAGATGCGTTGTCTTTTTAAGATGTCGATTGATCGTCGGAGATAATATGCTGGCCCCGGCAAGCTGCTTCACGGCAGTCGGCGGCAAATCCTCACCGGGTCTCCCGAAGTATCCCTCCGGAAGTGGGTCGCGGGCCCAAGTGTCGACGGGATCTGCGCCGGGACACGGAACGCAAACAATGTCAACCAAGGTATCATTGTAACCAGGTCCATTTACATCGCCATCGATATGTGCAAAACCAGGATTCGGGTCCAAGTGCGAGGATCTGCTGTGCGGTCGTGGTGTCTCCGGCTGTCCGTAATGTGTCTCCTCTGACGTCTGGTGTAGGGTAGAGTCGCGCGGTCGGACGCGATCCGGGCTGTCGTCTACAGCGGATGCGACCTCATCTAGGGCCGCAATTTCCGTCTCATGTGTCCAATCTTTTGGCGGCTCCATGATGCATTGGTTTCTTCAAAACATCTATCTCGTCGCAATATCTCGCAGGAGAGGATAAGCAAGAAAATGAAGAGGCTGAAGCCTGTCACGAAATTACGCCTGTAGCGGATATGGCCGCCGCAAATATGCCCCAGAGCTGATGAAAACCCCGGTCCATTTTGGTCATCGGTCGCGTAGGCATCAGCCAGCCGCCTATTGCTTATGCACCTCAATCGACCAACAGGGCGACCAACCCCGGTAGCTTCGCCTGCAGGTTGACCACCAGTTAGGCGTTTTTAGTGAGATGTGTGCCTGTGAAGTCTCGGCAAAAGTGCCGATTAACTCTCAACTGCGTGAGACGGAAGACTTCCAGCTTCCTCAATAGGAGAACAGCGACTGAGACAGCGACTGAGACTCTTTGAAACTTCGCATTCAATTCAGAAACTGCCGTCTTAGTTTCGCGTCGTACGACTGCGGACAATAGAAACGCATCACCCGCCCTTTCAGTTGGTGCTGATTGAGGCTGACGGGAGACACCCATCTTAGTCACAGCCGCCGTCGCATTTTTGGTGGCTTTATTGACCAGGTGACGGGCCGAAGCTGACCAAGAGGATCTAGCGTCGCCGATCCGTCTGCAAGTCACCTCGTGTCACACGCAATCTGGATGGGTGACTTGCTGCAGATGTCAGGCTGAGCTGCGGTTTGCAAGTCGTTCCGCAATCCGATTAAATATCTGCCTTTCCTCACGTTGGAACTCCCCAAGTGGCAATTTGTTGGTTTCTTCATTTTGACAGTAAATCGCACCGTCATAGCTCAATAGTTCACAACGAAGCAATTCAAGGCGTGGTTCTTGAAACCGACACCAATTAAAAGAAACACCGGGCTCTTGCGCAGTGCCAGGGCGCGAGAGCAAAATCGAGTCAATCCAAAAGGATTCATATATGCAATGATCGATAGTTAGAATAATTAAGTCGGGCTAGTGATGGCGAATTATGATGACTTTGATTTACGTTTTAACAATGATACACCCTCAACAACATGGCAGCAGTTCAGCAACAACTTTGATTAAATAGAATGATACCCGTGGACGCCGCATTCAATTCGTATCCACAAAAAACGATCTCTTAGCAGTATAAGGCATCCTCAAATTTGATATATATTCTTTACGTCTGAAAATACCCCGGATTTACGGTCTAGACATGCGCCAGAACCGCAGTTCATCTCGTTCACTCTCCTACGTTGCCACCTTATCTCAGCGATTTCGTCCAATCTTGTCGGCTCCGTGCCGGATCAATGAGGGCTTAGAAGGCGAAAGTGGTGAGCTATGTGACCTGAAAGCAGCTATGAAGTGCTACTCGCATTGACAAAACCAAGACCTCGGCAAAATCCTCCGGGACAAGTTTGCCGTATGGGATACCGAAAATCGTCGCATCTTCGGCCGTTGATGTATCTGTGCGCAGCTGCAGCCAAGCGGATTCTCTCCGTTGACCAGAGACGTACGTAGGTGAAGAGCGTCAAAAGGCCGTTCAGTCGGTCTGTGTATGGGGTTCAACCACTCGACAGCGCGTCACAGCGCCAATTTTAGAATGACAGTATTTCGCCCGTACCCCATGTCCCTCCCGAGTTTCGTATCGTCTATCACTTCTGTTTCTTTTTTCGACTTGACAACATCGTTTAATCTTCAAGGCGCCTAGAGAGGTGACATTTTCGGGCATCACTCAAAATCTTATTGACCAGACGCATACCGATTCAGATGAAGATTTGCCGAGAGCTTGTTTGAACCATCTTCGATTTCCCCAATCCCTTCTGAATCTCTGCGCAAATGTCGGCCGCGGACCTAGACTCGAATGCGTGGTATATCGTTACTTCACAACGCTACGTCAACGTCTCCCAGCCCATCGATTCCTGTCTGCAACTCACAAGAGATGGCCCAAGAGTATCTTCATGCGATGAGAAGCGCTTCATGGCGTGGCAGTTCGAGCCGGTCGAGTCCAAGAAGGGGCGATATGTGATGAGGATGAATGCAACAAGCGTGCGACAGCAGCTCTCAGTGTGTTGGGACTCCGATGAAACAGATGATGGAAAGACAGTTGGATGCATGCGAAGGACGAATGCTGAAGACCCTCAGCTATGGGACATTGTTGATAGGGGAGACGGCACATACGACTTTCTCAACGCTGCAAACGGGACCGGGCGTGTCCTCGATGTTCATCAGGGCTCGAACCTGTTTATGGCGAGCAAAGTTGAAGGGACCGGCGACAACAACAGTTCTAGTTCTGCTCAACGATGGATTATGACAAGCGATAGGCCTGTCAACAACCGCGTTTACTCAACTGTTTACCAGTCAGAGGTAAGCTGTGTTCCTTCGCGCAGCTTCAAGCAGTGGGTGATGAAGGACCTCCCTAATTCTCGCAGCCAACTTTCTTCCCGCCAATACCTGGGTTTCCCATGAGCCCTAACGGCCCTATCGGTCCCAATGGAGATATTTCACGAGCCGGTCTCTCGTCGAGCGCGGCAGCCGGCATCGGTATCGGGGCTGCTATCGGCGGCATCGCTCTGGCGGGGACTGCGGCTTTGTTGTGGAGAAAGAGGAGATCCCCCAAGAACGTTGTCACAGACCAAGAACCGCAGTACCAAGAAGTCGAGCGCGAGCGCGCTTATAGCCCAAAGCCCCCGAACTACATGGAGAGTCAACGGGCGGCTGAAGCAGAAGCGAACCAAGTATTTGAGGCGCCATACGAGGACCCTGTTCATGAAGTGCCAACAGACGACCTTGCCAACCGCCACGAACTGCCCTGAGCCTATGGATGGAGGACTCCACAACGGAGTTAGAGGGAGGTGGGTATTAATCAGAAATTGTTCTTTTAAAGGCGTCAAGTCGCTATCACATATTACCACAACTTTAATCTAGTAAATAATCCAGACAGGAACTGGCGGAGTACGGTAATACAGTCTTGTTCAAAGAGCGATTAAACCGCGTGATAAGCTGTAGATTTGTCCGTCCACTGTAACTTGGGCCTGTCGGCGTGCTCCCCCGGAACTCCGAACATGATCGGCGAGAATGCCGATGACGTGGGAAATTGTATTTCTTGACAGAAAGACAATGATGGAGACCCGAGGCCAAGATCAATGAGAGGTTGATATGAGTATTAAAATGACCAGACTAAGATTTTCAAGAATTGACCTTGAGTGTGTGTTGAGAGTCTTCCGGTGTCTTCGCATCGAGGAGTCGGTGAGAAGGCTTGGATTGTGAGGGACGACCTCGATGCGAGAGAGGTACGTATCTTTCACCCGACTATGACGGGGTCGGCTTGAAAGCCGGACGCGGGGTCCTTCGAGACGCGGGGCAGTTCGCAAACGCGAGGAGTACGTCGATGACAAAAGCTCGAACATAAGAGGCTCATATCCCCTTGCCTAAGATAGCACACGACTATCGTAGCATTGCAGCCCAACATCCAATCCATTAGTTATCCTGAAAATGGCTTCCTGGTCCGAGAAAAAGTCACAAAACCGCACCCTGCAGATTCTCGACGCTGCTACCAAGGGGCAATATGGCGTTCTCGGTGTCGTCATGTAAGCTCTTCGTTGTTGTCTAATAAGAGCTTGAAAATGTCTAATCATAGCCCAGCTACAACATCGAGCAGCTTACTGCTGTAGTTAAAGCGGCCGAGGCAAAGAAATCGCCCATCCTGATTCTGCTATTCCCCTCAGCTGTGACGCAGCTCCCCACTCTCGCTTGGGCCGTAGCGGCAGCCATCAAGTCATCCAGCGTACCAATCGCGTTGCACCTCGACCACGCCCAGGATGAGAACCAGATCAGAGAAATTGCCGGCAACTTGCCGTTCGATTCTATCATGGTCGACATGAGTCACTACGATCACGAAGAGAATTTGGCCAAGACCAAGGTTCTTACCCGCGTCTGCCACGACCACGGCATCGCGGTTGAGGCCGAGAGTGGACGCATCAACGGCGGCGAGGATGGTATTGCGGACACCGGTGATCTGGAGGGTAAGACGCAAAATCTCTTTCATGTTCAGACACCTAGCTGACCGGTTCGTGTAGCTCTTTTCACCAGCCCTGAGGAGGTGGAGGATTTCATCAATGCCGAGATCGACCTTTTGGCCCCCAGCATCGGCAATATCCACGGCGACTATGGCCCTAAAGGTCCCCAGCTGGACTATGAGAGACTTGCTAAGGTCAACAAGCAAATCGACAACCGCGTGTTGATGGCACTGCACGGAACGAACGACTTCTCTCCTGAAATCATGAAGCGCTGCATCGAAAACGGCGCGATCAAGCTGAACGTGAACAAGCTGCTACTAGAGGCCTGGAACGTCCATCTTAAGCAGAATGTAAACAAGCCGTTTACGCAACTGATTGAGGACGGCATAGAGATATTGCAAAAGGAAACTGAAAAATGGATCGATATTTGTGGCAGTGGAGGCAAGGCGTAGTAGGTAGTGCGCTGGCCAGTACATTCAACACAACTAGAACATCGGAAAGGAAGAAACATACATAACATGCTTAGCTAGGTACCTGCCTAAACATGTATGATCGGGACGGTGAGGACATTGCAAAGGGAGCAAGCCATTGATAGATAGAGATGTTGGACAAGCAACAAAAATGTGCCAAAAAGATACCATGCGGCCAGTGTGGATTGAACACACGACCTTCAGATCAAGTGAATGAAGTTAACTTCAGTCTGACGCTCTCCCAACTGAGCTATGTCCGCCGCCGGTTGATGTTAAACCACAAGGTCACAGTTGAGATTATGGATCATTGCTAGGGTTGCAAGCCCTACGAGGTGTTGGGCCCACTTCTTGCGACCAGATGGTCTCCATGGCCGACCAAGCGACGTGGAAGTAATCTAAGCTGGGCTAAAGATTGTATCGGTTCTTTCTCTCTCTGTAATAGATATAAAACACCCAACTTCATGGGTTTCCCGATAGTATGTTCAAATGACTGACTTGGAAGACAGATTGTTGACAGCGCGGTCATGAACGCAGTCTCCACAATTCATGCCTTCAACTCATCCATGAGTCCATCAATATTAAGTCTTGACCACCACTCAGAGTAACTTTCAATACAGTAACGATTGACGTCGTCTTGAATTTTGGATTATTGGTATGGTGGGGGGTTGATGCTACCTGGTCGACGAGGTTCGCGAAAAGAACTCTCCGTAACCTTATTCATTACGCACGCTGGCTCAAAACGTATTCAAACGCTTCGTCCAATATCCTCAGTCCCTCATCAATATCCTCTGGTGAAACAGTCACAGGGGGTGCCAGTCGGAACACGCCACCCATTCCAGGCAAGTTGACAATGTTGCATGACAGACCCAGCTCCATGGCTCTGTCAGAGACAGCCTGCCCCAATTCCGACCCAGGAGCCTTTGTCTTCGCGTCTGAGATGATCTCAATACCCTGCAAGAGACCGCGACCGCGGACATCTCCAATGCACCAGTACTTCTCCTGAAGCTTCAGCAGGCCCGCGCGGAGCTGCTCACCGCGTTCAGTGGCCTTCTGGCAGATGTTGTCGCGCACGACAATCTCAAGAACCTTATTGCCGACAGCAGCTGTGAGAGGATCGTTGAGATGGGTCGTAAGCCACAGGAAATTTGCGTTCTTGCACCCTTGCGCGACGTCCGCTGTGGTGCTGACGGACGCGAGGGGAAGACCGCAACCAAGAGTCTTGGACAGGCAGAGAATATCGGGGACTGCGTCATCGTGATCAAAGGCAAACATCTGACCCGTACGTCCCACGCCGGTCTGCGCCTCATCGAGAATGAAAAGCATCCCGCGCTTGTGGCACTCGTCGCGCAGGCGCCTCAAGTAGCCCTTGGGAAGGTCGAGGATGCCGCCGGTGGAGAGAATAGGCTCCATGATGAACGCAGCCAAGGATCCGACGCTTTGCCTGTCAATCATTGACCAACCAAAGTCCATCTCTGTCTCCCAATCATAAGACCCGTCCGGCTTGCGGAAGATGGAGCGGTAGGCGTAGGGTGCGGGGAAGGCGAGTTGGCCGGGCATGGCGGGGCCGCCGTTTTTGCGGCCGGCGGAGTAGGTTGCGGAGCCGGAGCCGGATGTGAGACCGTGGTAGCTGGCGGACATGGCGACGATTTCGAACTTGCCAGTGTGGAGCTTGGCCATCTTGATCGCGGCCTCCGTTGTCTCCGATCCGGTGTTGAGGAAAAAGGACTACGGTCTGAGTCAGCGACTATCACAAATATGAAGGATGAGCCGACGAACCTTTTCAAGAGGCGCAGGAAGAAGCTTGCCGAGTCTCTCAGCGAGATCAGCGACCGGCTGTGTGATCATGTTGCTGAGCAGGTGGTCCAGCTCAGCAACATACTTCTGGACGACTTCAACGATTTCAGGGTGGGAGTGGCCCAAAAGCGAGCTCATTTGGCCGGACGTGAAGTCCAAAATTTGGCGACCCTCCGCGTCGTACAACTTGGTTCCCTTGGCCTTGGTGATGATGATGGGTGAGTATGGGACGCCCGTAGACATCAAATACTTGTCGGTCTTGGCCCAGAAGGCCGCGGTGCTTTCGGAAGCCATGACGAGGGGAGTGTTATCGATGCTCTAATGTTCTATGAGAAGGCGCAAAGTGTCTCAATGAATTGCACGGGATAAATCAAGCCTTCTTCGACCTTGAGTATTTATTCTCGTGATAAGAGTTCAAAGTCTCGATTGGTTTACCGCGGGAAGCGGGGCATTGCGGGGCCGGGCACCAGTTGCCCGTGGTGAACCAATTCAAGCTCCGCGGAGCAAGATTGCGCCTGGTTGAGTCTGCCTCGGAAAACTTAATTGTTCATTCGTAGCATAATCAACGATGATTATTGAATCATTCTCCCCCCATCTTCGATTTTCGTACGTCGATATTTCACCCTCAACGTTGCTCCAATATGTCGGAGAAGCCATTGGTTGCATAGCGGAACAACGGTTAGAATTGACGTGGTATGACCGCCGCGAACCTTGTCTTCCACGGTTATCAACAAGGGAAAGAGAAGAAAAAAAGCACACAAAGATGACGAAAATAACATTGTTTCCCTCTAGCTCCAGCTCATTCTTTTGACTTGGATTTCGCGAAGCAAAAGTCTAGAGACTCCCGAGCTCATTCGCGTCGCAGACATTCATCGGTCTCCGTCGAAATCTTGATGTCAGAATAGGTATGGCTTTACCTGTGATCCAAAAATTAGTGTAGGCGCTTTTTCCCATGGGAAAGAATGCGGATTTCAAACACTATTACCCATAGTGCTGTTGCCTGCAGATGGCATCCACAAAGCCAATGCAGGGTACCTTGGTTGCCTGGTAATCAGCAGGGTTAACAGGAAGGGGGTCAACGCTAACAACACTAGCTCGTGATGTATCTCAGCACTCGGGTGACCAAAAAAAGGGCCGCTTCCTGAGCTATCCCTAACTTCAACACTTACACTTCCGTAACGAGGGTTAAGAAAAGAATTGAAGAAAATTCAACAAATACCTTACTCTCTGAAGAATAATTCAGTATTAATAAATATCGTTTTTCTGAAGCTGGGCGTAATGAAATAGTAAGAGCAAAAAGGTGCGCTCAAAAGTCGTCCGTTTATTCTGTCACCCAAGTGCTCAGGCACCTCAGGCTGGGCACATGCCCGCAGTTCATCCCCGCCAACGCTGCCAGGCTTACCTAGTAGGTATGTAAAAAGCTCATCCATATCAACAGATATTGCCACTCTGTTCCCATTCAGATGATTCTTGATTGTATCTCACTCTACAAATCTATGCCTGTGCATAGACTCATTGCTCAGTATGCATTGCGAAGAGGTGCATCAACTTGATCCCGACGGCGATGTCGAACTCATTCTACGTAATCCAAATGCGCCTTTCGCAGTTTGGGATGAATCTGAAGATGCTGTTGTGCAGCACCTGAACGCATGGTATGCTGTTTGTATTTGAAATGCTAGGATGCTCTAATGACTGATTATACTACAGCGATCAAAAGCTTCCGGTCATAGCAAAATACTCGTCGTATTATCTTGACTGGTTCGACGATGCGAAGCAAGTGTCAATTTTCCCGCCGGAGCTGCTGAACATCGACAACCCTTTCGACATGGACGGTTTTGGCAAACCGCCCCCGTGCAGGTTTCTTCTTTCCTCTCGACATCTCATGTTAGCCTCGTCCATCTTCAACAAGAAACTTTCAGGCCCTTGGAAAGAATCTCTTAAAGATCCTGTTGAGCGGGTGCGACACATTGAGACAACGGAGTGGGATGTCGATGCTCTACTGATACTTTTTCAAATCATACACGGAAAGCACAGTCATGTTCCACGTTTTGTGGACCTCGAAATGTTGGCCAAGATAGCAACCTTGGTTGACTACTATGATTGCCACGAAGCTGTCCAACTGTATGGAGACATGTGGATCGACGGCATCAAAAATGACCTTCCTACCCAGTGCAACCGTGAGCTAGTTTTGTGGATACTGGTGTCTTGGGTTTTCTCAAAAGAGAACATCTTCAACCAAGTCACGAGAACAGCCATTCTTGAAAGCAAAGGCCCTGTTCCCACGCTCGAGCTGCCCATCCCTCAATTACTCATCGGTATGTTTTCATGCTGCGCCAAACGATCCAACATGGGTATTGACAATCACAGACACAATCGAAACTCAGAGGATACAGCTGATACGTCCGGTCGCTGCTCAGCTTCAAAATCTTCTTGACTCGTTACGGAATGGCACAGTCGGCTGCAACTATGAATGTTCTGCGATACTGCTGGGACATTTAACCAAGCAAATGTACTTTCATGATTTACTGGAGCTTTTGTCGGACCATACATGTATAGGCTACGGGATCTCAGATACAAGGACTGCTCTGCGTACCTTTCGTTCCCCAAGGTGGCCAAAGTATAACATTTCTGGAGCTACCTGTGCCAGTCATCCATGTAGACTGGTAGACGAGATCTTGACTGGTGCATGCTCAAGCTTTGACGAGAAGCATGAAGGGTTACGTCTGGATGATGTTCAACCTTAAATCTGCCATCCTTCATCAGGGCTGAGAAGAAGATCACAATAAAAAGTCTAAGTCTAGCGGGTAGCTGCAACGTAGGTACATATTCATCCAGCAGTAAATCCCAGATCGAGTGATTGTAGCATAGAAGAAAACTGTTATTGGAAGTTGATTATCAGAGTCAAAGCTGATAGCTCTTCCAAGTCTTTCCCCACGCCACCATCCCTTGGATCTTGATGTTGTCACTCAGCAGCTTCTGTGTCACTGATGGGTATCATACACCATGTTTAGCATCAGTATGAACCAAAGGCTGAGCGGAGCAACATCTAATTTATAATCTAGGATTTGGTCTTCGCAGACAGCAATTCGCATAAAAGAGGCTTCTTTTGCCACAATGTGTAAACCTTCATTTTATTCCAGTCGAAAGATTCATGGGTCAATCGGACATCGAAGTTCAGGAACAGAGATGCCAAAAGCTACACAGAATTAGCATATGTTGCTGGGGAGAATGACCAGCCAGCCTGTAAATAACAGTACGTTGAAGTAACGAGTATGTTACTAACCAATCGAAGTTCATGCATAGCAAGATCCTTAGAAATTGACGTCAGCCCAAGGTATCCAGGAAAGCATCGAGGGCTCAAACCTTTCCAATGCAATTGAATGGTCCCATTAGAAACGGCTTAGCCATGTCCAGTTGATCGTTCTCGAATTCGGGGTCACGAAGCCATCGTTGCGGGTGGAACTCAAGGGGTTTCTTGAAATATAGTTTCTGAGTGTGCATAGATAGAAAGTGGATGCCAACAATTGTGCCTCCAGGTATCCATTCTCCCGCCACCCGTGCACCTCCTTTTGGGATCACTCGAGGTAACATGATTGGTAGCGGCGGATGTAGACGAAGCTATCGGCAGGTTAACGAGGACGTCCTTCGACTTTCATGCAAGCAGTCAGTAGCATTAACGCAAACCTACCCCTTCTTGGATCACTGCTTGCAAGTACGGCAGACTTGCCAATGCCTCAAGTGACATATCTTCGGATGTTGAAAATCTCAGACGAACCTCCTTCGTAACCTTCTCTAGATGTTGTGGATTCTGAAGAAGATAAAAGGTGATTGCGGAAAGTGCTGAAGCAATGGTTTCTGTTCCCGCCGTCATGAAAAGGAACCCATTGGCGTACTGTTCTTCCATTGTGAGGCTTTCTGATTCCTTCTCCATTCCGAGGATTCTAGACCATAGATCCGGATGTTTAGGCTCTCGCTTTAGTCGTCTTTCGACGCGCTCAGCGCAATACATCCAGTTTTCGATCTGCTTCCTCTGGACAGCCGGATTGTACTTGAGGAAAGCGTCTGCCAGCAGCCTCGCCGCTCGACTGTGGGTCTTGACCCCCAAGAGGAAAGTCGCAGCTTTCACAGAGCCAAAGATAGACTCGACCCATGGAGAACACTCCGCTTCTTCAAGCATATTGAGGTCTTCGTTAAACGTCAAGTCGCCCATGATGTCAAATGTCGTGCAGTTGAAGTACTTTACCATGTCGATTGTATTGCCGGCGCCAGCCTTTCCCGCCAACTTGTCAACAAACTTCTCAGCCCATCGATGGAAGATAGGTTGCTGGTCTATGAGCGCTGTGTTACTGAATGATCGGGCAAGAACCTTTCGTTGCCGGGCATGTATCGAATGGTCTCTGGCTGTGATGAGATTGCTCACATCCGTGAAGGCGAAGATTTTTGAGTAGAACACTGGTTCCTTGATGATACCGCCTTCTCTTGAGACGTTGAACCCATGAATGTCCTTCCATACTCCGTCCCCGCCCGCAAAGGAAAGTACGCTTGGTGCTACTCTGACGATTGGTCCATACTTCCTATGGAGCGCTGGCCGGTCGATGTTATCTGTGCCATTGACAATTGACCAGATTTCGAATATGTTGGAAAAGGCACGATACTTCGGTCCAGGAAATTTGCTTAATGGGCCGAAAAAGGCACTGTGAAAGACGGTGATAGTTTTGTATACAATGCAAAGGATCAAGAAAGCGATAGTCGCATTCGACAACTCAGAACGGATCATCGCAATAGCAAACGAAGATTTAGGCATCGTCACCTCTACGGCAAGGTCTGACTATCCTAGAGTCTCTTTGATGTTTGTCTTATCTTATGTCTACATCTTCGTCATTTGCACTATGGGAGTTAGGTGACCAGGAATCCTTGTGCAACTCGTCGGAACAGAGGTCCCGCCAGGGGGCACTGCCGGACGAGGAGAAACGGATAGTCACCCCGGGGGCTGATCTCCAGATTAGGCAGTTGATTATAGTTTGAGAAGTGCCGATAAAATCGGATGTTCGATTATAGTTTGGTAAAGCCCGATGAAATGGAAACGTGGATCTTCGGCCAGTTCCATTTCACATCATCCACAAGATCTTCGATTTGATTGGACCGGTTTTCACGCGAATCATTCGTATTCTGGATGGATCGACTTCCCAAAATGCTTTGCCCGATGATCTTTACGTGCATCCTATGTGGCTGGTTGCCATAGGGACAGTCAGAATGTTTTTAGTCATCCGAATTCAACATCCAATCGGCCGCATGGTCTCTAATGCGGGGACTAACGTCAAGACTGATTATTGATGATGATCTTTTTGTTAACTATGCGCTGGTGATATCTAGGAAGGCGGCTGCAATCCGCCTCAAGGAAACACTGATACTAGGTTTCAGTTGGGCAGCCAGCCTTCAGAGTGCATAACTAGCTGTGCCGTAGATGAATCAAATTTGCATGCATTCAATCTACGGACCGAGGCTCACCTCGATTATTGCACAGTCCCCTTTTCTGTCTCCCTGTGCTTTCCATACTTTCGCGATACTCAATCTCTCATCGGCGGCTTTGATCAAGGATTCCCATTGCCCGAGAGTTCGCTCTTTTGCATTGTGCATCATCATCATAACAATGTCTGCGTGATTGATGAACCATTCGCTATCCTCGCCATGAAGATCTGGGGCAATCATGTCTTCGATTAGTATGCGAGACTTTTGATCCATCGCCTCGCATATCATCTTCAGAATATTGGCACCGATAGCATCCGAGTGATCATGTAATACGCGCCGCATGAAGTACACATCAGCTCCCATGACGGGCTGCGGATGGAATGCGTTGTGTATCTGCCACTCGATAGGCAATCCAGAGTCTTTGTAGGTTGACCTGCCGAGGAGGATAGGTCCCTCGAGATCCTGTACGATAAACTTGAGCTTGGGGTTTGCTTTGGCGATTTCACTTGAGACGTGTCCACTTCCCCCGCCTACATCCACTATAAGAGCTCCGGGTTGAAGGTCTTGAAATCGATATAGTGCGAGGCTTGATGCATAAGATCCTGTGAAAGGGGTCATTCCAAGGGAAAATCGGCGGCCTCGATCTGGATCTTGCTTGTAGTAGTAATCGAATGATTCTAGATCAGCTGGGGCATAGTCAGTCTCTTGGGCATTATCAAAGATCCAGTTCATTCAACATACTTTGGAACGCCCTTGAGAAGGCGCTCTTTCCGTTGTCTACCTTGAAATCGTTCTCTTTCATCGTGGAAGACAAGGCTGATCCCGCGCGGAATATATCATCGGAACTAAATTCAATGAGATCTCTGTTATACTGGTTGAGCTGAAAGTCGTATCATACCATAGTCCCATCAGGGCTTCTACGCCCGGTAATTCCAAGATAATCGAATTTGCATTTTGAAGATAAAGACCCGGTGAGACCTCCCGGAAAACATATCGTTGAGTCAAATATCGGAGTAGACGGCCTATTGAATGTATCAACTCGGATCTTCGAAAGCGAGTGGTTCACATACTGATCAGCTCTTGGGAACCACCGCTGTCCTTTGCCAGATCACGCAAGGTACTTGGACTTTGGACATCTGTGGAGACCAGTTGATGCAATCGGAGTTCGAGTGCAGTGTTGAGCACGGCAGGGAATACGTGTCCCCCAGCTGACTGCATCATCCACTGTATTATCTTAGAGTCAAAGAAAATTGACATGGGAGCTCCATCACATGATAGAGACATGTGGTAGGAGATCTTTCAGGGGAAACAGGACTTACACCCATAGGTCCCTGGGCCAATGCTGTCAATTTCTCACAAGCTCTGACAATAGATTGCCTAGCACTCTCAGCAACTGGAGGTGCAAGAAGAGTATCCGTATTCAATTCATCTAAAGAAGGCGGCTTTCGCGCGTCATTTTCGAGTTCCAGCAGTAAGTCGTCGACGCTTTGGTGAAGGATCTGGCGCAACTCCTTCAGGTCCTGGGTTTTCGAGATCGAAGAAGCCATTGCGATAGATTTACGCTATGATATTGCGTAGGACAGTTTGGTGCTCCTTAATACTGTTGGCGAAATTTGTACAAATAAATTTTGTGTTTGTCGTAGGGAAATGCGTTCCGAGATCGCCTTTCTTAAGGAACACTCATAAAACCTTCTTGGTATAGAGTTCAACATACGTCCAATTTGAAACATTACGCTTCGGTCCCAGGCGCTGCCTCCCCAAGTTCCACAGCGTGAGCCAGATAAAGGCACATTTGAAGACCCTTTGCTAGTGAGATCGATTGCTACAAAGTGTTCGTGTTTAGATATTTGGATCTTTAATCATCATGTCCCTCACCACACCCATGAAATCTCCACAGTAGCTCTTTTCAGCTTTCATATATCTTTTCCCGTCTTTCACAAACCCCCAGCCAATAGTGATCCATTCGTGCGGATCATAGTCCGGTGCATGTTGAATGAAATTTTCCAGTCTATCATCTAATGCAGGAAGATCGTCTCTTGACAACTTGGTGGCATAGAATGCTGCTCTTTCAATTTCACCCGTATCAAAAGCCAATGTGAGGGCAAAGGCAAAGCTGCCGTCGTTTGCTCTTGACAGTGTACTGATCACCGCAACGTCGTCCTCTGCTAATGGCTGGCAAGCTGCTAATCGGAGCAGTCCATCAGCTTGACATTTGCTGAGGGGTCCTGGAACACGCCAGTAAATGTTGATCGTTCGAGAATGCCAATCGACAGCAATAGTCCTCACTCTGTTCAGCTCGTGGTCCTTGAAATTGCCAAGGTGACGGCGAATCCGGTGTGGAACGAAGTCAAGATCAATAACGTCTTCCATATAACGCGTCTGACCTAGAAACATCCATGCCTTCATGAGCCCCTTTGAAGTGTCGAAGTCACACCATTGCTGTACCTCCCCGTCGAAAAGCGAACTCCAAGCCTGCACCAAATCCGTCAGGGGACTGTGCTGGATGAAGCCTGCTTTAATGGCGGTAGCAACGACATCGGTTGATGCGGCTTGGAAGAAGCGATAGTTGAGCGCGGAATCCTTCGAGGTGGCTCGCCATCCCACAGGAGCGTTGTGAAAATGAGTGTGATATGCCCTCAGGATGGCTGTCGTAGTTGATGCTGAGAAGGGTGCATCTAGAATGTGACAAAATCGTTCAACGTCTTCTAGAAACCGAGGAAATGAAAAGGTGATTACATCCTTCGTATTCGATGGTCTGCAACTATGATTGTTCTGGTCATGGCATTTTGTTAAGGTGGAGTGTTGTACTGCGTTCATTGTGGCCCTGCGTTTGGTGACTTTCGGTAGATCCGGACGAGCAGTGAAATGGGACCACACTGCAGGCTTTGAAAGTAGATTTCACATTTCTGCATTAAGATAATTGGCCGCTATGTGATTATGGGGGACTTAAGATCTCTTACAAGAATTCCACGCTCATTGTGAATTTGGCACGGCGTTTTGATAGCCTAGTATATCTCCATTCCGATGGACATTAGTTTCATGAGGAAGTAGCTAACATGGGTATGCTTGGCTGTTTCAACCTTCTCCTTGCAGTTCATGTCAACCAGCCAGACTTGCATCTCTTACTGACAGTCCCCATACCGGTTTCGGTCACTGAAATCCATAAAACGCAAAGCTTGGACGAATCAACCCCGCGTTACGCCCGTCTGACGCCGTCGGACAGTATAACCGACGGAAATCACCGCATCTTCAGGTTCATAACTTCGTAGCCTCAATCATAGCGAAAACCTTCGTTGTTTTCCGAGCATGTGCTTATCCGGGCGCCCACCCGTGGTTGCGCCATGCAATCACTGCCGGCAGCTGGAAGAATCGCACCATTGCACGTTAAATCTAAACTTCCACTGCCATGGTTCGCCAGCCTTACGGTGATTTCGTAAGTGGGATGCCTATCAACGCCAGCCTCCTCGTCGCAGACCAAGTTCTAGCCCTCTCAAAAGCCGCCGGACGGGGAACGTAATCATTTCCACCCGGCAATTATCCCACGCAAAAGTCTCATGCGACAACCCTAGTCATTTTTTCTTGCGCCACCCAACCAAAAGCATTAATGCAAATAAGGCGCCGTGGATGACTAGATGCCCCGGAGGACCACCTGCCATGCTTTCTTCCGGTCTGTAGTTGCCTCTGCGTTTCTTGATCCTGGTCCAGGCTCTTCTTATGGGGAATAGGTGATAGATGGCCATAGATCGTGTAATCATGACGCTCGTATCGTCAAATGTCTTGCTATCACTTTGGATAAGAGACAAAAGGCACAAGACGTTGGTAGCTAGAAGCATGCCAGCGTAGTTCTGGCAAACTAAGACCGCCTCTTCGCTAGCGTCAGGATCTTGCAGTTGCTTGTGTGGCTGGCAGAAGAACGATGCGGATGCCGCTGACTCGAAGATGAGGTGTCCCAATAACGCAACTTTCCCAATATGCATCTTTGCTTCGACGAAATCGTGAAATTGGATGGGAAGTAAATTTCTTTGCTTTTAGCCAAGTGAATCAAAGCGGCAAAAGACGCCGTTGGACCACTGATTTCCGTGGCAGGCTTTCAATAATATGATTCTGAGATGAGCCTCTGCAATTTTATATTATGTCTCCCAATCGATTGGGTCACGTCACTCTGATACGTTTCAAGGATGGAGGCAATCACTCCGAGGAATCGGGACACTTCCGTGGGTTTTGTTCATGACTAGAGTCATGGTGCGTCAATTGCATCCCTGTAGACCACGTTTCCAAACCATGATTCCCCTGTTCCGGGGAATGATTTCCTCCCGGGGACGAGTACCCACCAATGATGAATCATCTGTCGGCGGTACACTACTTGCAGCGACTCAGGTATAAGCGGGTCGAAGCACACTTTGAATCAACTACAGCTTAGGTAGGGAGCTCACACTTCCTATCTAGGCGAGGACCTCGTTAAATCGGGAGAAATATTTAACTACTCTCCGTTTTATTTGAATAACGAATGATTGTAAGTTATTACTGGTTAGGCTGGAGAAACCTCCGAATTGCCCCATCTCGGCTCTTGGCTGATAATCAGACGACAGCAAGGAGGATACTCTCATCAATTTTTGTGTTAGGTGTGGAGCAGCTTTTTCTTTGGGTAGCTTGGAGAGGCTTTCATGGCATCTGTACAACTAGGATCGCGAGAGAACATCATCGACCCGAGTCTCCACCCATCTCTGCTGCTACCCGTGAGTTACTCGGCCAAGACTAAATCGCTTGAACCCGGCTAGTCATACTTCCAGGTACCAATACATTCTATCAGTGTGTCTAGACAGCGAACGAGCGCCTCACCATTCTTCAATTCCAATTGAGCATTGGGGGCTACGGTCTGTGTAGCAGCAGGTTCTTACATCCATACCGTGTTTGTGGCAACAGAAACGTTCTTCCTCCAGCGCGTCTCCATCGAAGCAAGACCTGCTCACGTACCTTCCAAGAGAGTTCCAAATTAGTCGAATATGGGAAGCCTCGCCGATGATATGGAGAAATCAAAGTCCCATATTAAAATAACAGAACTGCATCCTTACTTTGGTGCGGAGATTTCGGGGGTCAACCTGTCAACGCCCATGTCCGACGACGTCTTCGAGAATATTGTCGCATTATCTGCAAAGGTGAGGCCATCAATCTAGCTGTAATAGTGTGCAAAGTCGGGACGATGCGACGTGTAGTTTGATATACTGCGTACTTTGTGACTGACCTACCGCAGTACGGCGTGATCGTTTTTCGTAGCACTGGACTTGATGATACCAACCATGTCGAGCTTGCTCGCCGTTTTGGGCCCCTCTTTAGCATGAAAAAGGTGCTAGGCAATGCGAAAACACGACTTAAGACCGATGAGCTCGCCGATTTGAGCAACATCGACCCGGACACAGGAGAGCCTGTCCCAGCTGAAGGTCCCAAGGCCCAAATTGGCAGGCTCGCATCCTTCTTTCATCCAGACCTTGCATACAGTCAACAGCGAGCTTCGTGGAGTCTTCTTAGAGCGCACGAAATCCCGCCGCCAGGATACGGAGGCGACACTATCTTTGCTGATACTAGGACTGCCTTCGACCAGTTGGACGATGTCGAATCCGGCCTCAAGAAAAGACTGTTATCCAAGAACTATTGTGGTGTTCACTCGTGGCAGCATGCACAGAAAATCAGTAACCCCGACTTGTTCAAAGACTTCGACCCTTCAGCCTATCCTATGGCCAGGCACCAACTTGTAGAGTTGCACCAGCTATCCAATAGGATGAACCTGTATGTTGGGCTGTACATGCACCATATTGAATGCGCACCCAAGGAGGACGAAGAGATGGCAGACCTCCAACACAAGCTACTCAAACACGCCACCCAAGCCAAATACCAATTACATGTGGAATGGCATCATCCAGGTGACTTGGTCATATGGGATAATAGGTGAGTCGACAATACCTACCAGTAACGACGCGCGCCTCAATGCCCTGACACGTACTCCTTGACAGGACAGTATTACACAAAGCTGGTCCGGGAAGCTATGCTGGACGGTTCAGAAGGGACTTGAGACGCGCAACTGTGCTGGATACCTGACATCTCTGGCAGGTGGGGTAGCCGGAGTATTGTGATCATAATAGAGCCACAGAATATGTCAAAGACGGTGCAAATGGCCACAAGTAAAGTATTGGATCTTTCCAGGCGCACAATCAACAGCGAAGCGTACTGTGTACACATGGCCACTCATTAGTAGAATACGTAGTGCATCTGACTCTCGAATACATTCTGATCCTGAACTCGAAAACGAAATGGAAACATAGTATGCAGTAGAAAGGGGAAGAATCTCAGCGAGAAATGACAGCAATGATGAACTTGGTCTGGAGGTGCTACTAAACACGAGAATTAGGGCGAGATAGATGAGTCCATTGTCTGATAATGGCCTGAAGCAATGAAATTCAATGTCTCCCATGACTCCAGCGCTCTCACTGATCGATCTCACAGCGTCTCAAAAAGGCCATCTCGCTGGCTAGACCAGGCCCGAAACTGACCGCCACCACATGCTCGCTCCCTACACCCATATTCCTAAGCTGATCGAGCACGCAGATTGCCGTGGGGCTCCCGGTATTCCCCCTGGTTCTGTAGATGTGTCGAGTTGCTCTGATCTGATGGTCATCCAAACCCATGCTGTCCTTAACATTATTGATGACCGATTCTCCTCCAGGATGAAGGGCCCAATCGAAGTCGGAAATTTCAAGTTCAGGATGACCGACCTTCTCGCGGTACGATGGGAGAAGCTTATCCCATAAAGGACGGACTGACTGCTTGGCGATATCCGGGACTTGCTTGGAGATAATGCTGGTGAAGCCAGTCGTCTTCACCATGGCGCCCATATGGTGTATCGTTTCTGGTACGGTCATGCGCTCCCACTCAAGTAGCTGAAACTTGGCCTGAGTGAGGTCATCCAACCCATCATCGTTACACAACACAAAGGCGGACGCCGCATCGCCGAAGATGGCACCCGCGATGTCCATGTTTTCAATGTCAGTAGCCACCTCAGCCTCTGCGTATTGGTGTCTCAGATACATAGTGCAGACCTCCGAGGCAAAGCAGAGGATACGGGCAGGCCTCTTCCGAGACGTCGCAGCCATGGCAATGTTGGCAGCTACACGCATCAGGGCGACGCTGCCAGCACAGCCGACACCGTTCAGAAACATGTTCTCGACATGATAGCCCAGACCAAGCCTGCGTGCCACCAGATAGTCGTAACCGGGCAGGCTCAGAGACCCTACAGTGACTCCTACAACATGCGTGATCTCGTCTGGGTCACCACCCCAGTCCCGCAAAGCCTTTCGGCAGGCCTGCACTGTTAGATCAACTCCAACCTTGCGGAACCGCGCATCTAGTTCGTCAATGGTTGGGACCTCAGGTTGACAGCCAAAGCCGGTTTCGAAGTCCATTGTCGATGCTCGTGTTTCAATTCCGCTGCTCATTGTAAGCTTCAGTAGTCTTGCAAGTCTGTTTTGACAGCCCAAGTATTAGCCCTGATAATGTAAGAATGGCAAGGACGGGTGAATTTACACCGGCTTTTCGATGTCATGAAACTTCTTTGCCCAATTGACGAATGTCTCCGGTGGGATTAAATACGGAGGATACTGCGAGCCGATGCCAGTGATCCAAAGACCGGTGACCGGTGAATGAGACAAGTCCTTGCCGTGCCCGCCATTTTGCGGGTAGCCATTTTGCGTCGGGTTGTTTAAAGTGACTCTAGTCATGATAACTCATTCAGATTTCAGTTGCACCGGAAACCACACAACAGAAGGCAAAGCGACTGGTTTACTCTTAGATGGCTGAACAGGTAGTACTTGACTGGTGAAAAGCTGAAATATGCAAATAACCGCATGTGTGGTCAAGCACGGAACACAAAGGCTAATTGTGTTCATCAAACAAGGATGCAGGGAGCGATAGATGAGTAATCTAGAAACACAAGAAAATCAAACATCTTGCTCCACGACCACTTACCGACATTATTTCCAAATGTCGGCCCTCGTCAAAACCCCCGAGTTTCAAGCCCCTTTGAAAACTCCGAGGACGTTGACGTGAGGATTCAGCAGGGGTGATATTTTGGCAGGTTCCGGGGCCCGGCACGGCCACAGGAGGGTCGGGATTTGGAAGGTACTGTCCCGTAAAGGAAAGAATCCTGAAACACTGGGCCTAAAGTATTTGAAGCCGACGGGAGCGACTGCTTCGCTCTCGCATTGCACATCCCGTCGGCTTTCTCGACTCACATCTTGCCTTCCTTTTCCGAGAACAGAGTCATGGCCGTCGGGAATGTCACCGCGGTAAATCAATCCGCTCCACTTCACATCTTGGATTTGGTATGCTTATTACTGCGACTGAGTAAGAGATAGGCCATCACAGCCAACTACCGCCGAATGAAGTCATAGACCTTGTTTCGCAAATCATAACATTCACCAAGAACAGCTTAATCAAGACAAAATGTTGCCAAATCTGTCAACGTATTACGGCGAAGAGTCGATCCCAGGTCGCAGCGGCAGCCGCGACAGTGGGGTTGCTGTGAATGTTGTAGATGGCTACGACACAACAGACAGCGGTTGCAGCACTCATGGAGTTACCTCTGGAGATAGCAACACGGCGGCTTTCGAGCCGGTGGCAATTTGCGGTATGGGAATGCGGCTTCCTGGAGGTGTGAACGATCCAGACGCCTTTTGGGATATGCTCGTGAACAAGCGCGACGGGCGATGTCCGGTGCCCAAAGACCGCTATAATGCTGAGACATGGCATGCGCCAGGCAAAAAGAGGCATGTTCCTAGTGATCATGGCTACTTTCTGGACAGCAGCATCGATATCAAGAAAGCCGATGCTTCCTTTTGGTCAATGACCAAGAAAGAGCTCGAGATATTGGATCCTCAGCAACGATTAAGTCTGGAAGTTGTCTACGAAACACTTCAGAGGGCAGGGCAAAAGCCCTCTGAGCTCCGAGGAAGAAAGATCGGTGTTTGGGTTGGCAGCTTTGGCGGTGACCGCGCTGAGCTCGACGCCGCCGACCCACAAACCGTTCATTCATACAACTTACTCAATGGCTTCGACTTTATGCCCGCAGATCGGATTCACTACGAGTTCGGCTTCATGGGCCCGAGCGTTACTGTTCGAACAGCTTGCAGCTCCTCACTGTTGGGCTTACACCAAGCCTGCTATGCTCTGATACATGGCGATTGCGAAGCAGCGGTTGTAGCCGGCACTAGCATCATATACTCCCCCACTCTGACAGCGACGATGAACGATCATAACGTTCTATCCCCTTCAGGGACGTGCAAGACGTTCGATGCCGAGGCAGACGGCTTTGTACGTGGAGAGGCGGTCGTTGCTGTTTACGTCAAGAAGCTCAGTGACGCGGTTCGAGACGGGGACCCAATCTGTTCAGTGGTTCTTTCCACAGCGAGCAACTCTAGTGGTAAGTCTTCCACGATGACCGCACCGAATCCAGATGCCCAGGAAGACTTGATCCGGAGAGCACACGAGGTCGCTGGCATCAAGGACTATTCCAGGACGGCGATGATGGAGTGTCATGGGACAGGGACGCCAGTTGGTGACCCTCTCGAATGCGAGGCCGTGGGACGTGTTTTCGGAGATCATGGCGGCATCTACATTGGCTCCGTGAAGACCAATATTGGGCACGTTGAAGGTGCCGCTGGCCTTGCCAGTGTCTTGAAGATGACGCTTGCTCTTCAAAACGACATGATCCCGCCAAATGCCAGTTTCAAATCTCCCAACCCCAAGATACCGTTCGATCGCTACCAACTAAAGGTTCCTACACAAGCCATTCCTTGGCCCCAGGGGAAAGACAGAGTCGTCGGTGTCGGTTCGTACGGTGTTGGTGGCTCCAACGCTTACGCCCTCCTGGCCTCAGTCGACCACGTCGGGATTAAAGATGACAGAAGAAGGACGAAAACAACAAAACCGCTGCCAATTGGTTTAGAGTCCCCCGAGCTACTTCTGTTCTCCGCCAAGCATCCCCAGGCGCTTGAAAAGATGGTGAAGCGCCATCAGGCTTATAACTTAGCCCACCCAGACCGATTGAGCGACGTAGCGTATACCTTAGCAAAGAAACGGGAGTTGCTAAGCTACCGCGCTTGCTGCATGTCGAATGGTATTGATGACTTTCCAACACTCAAGCCGCCTCGACATGGTTTTTACGAACCTCCTCACTTGGTTTTCGTGTTCACGGGACAGGGCGCGCAGTGGGCACAGATGGGGAAGTCCCTCGTGGAGAACATCCCATCGTTCAAACTTTCATTGGAAGCGATGGATAGTCTGTTGCAACAGTTACCAGACAGTCCGACATGGAACTTAATAGGTATGTCAAAATCTCAGCCTCAGAGTCGGAAGGCCGGTGTGGTCCAAATCATCAGCCAAGCTGACATGACCTCAAAACACAGACGAGATGTTGGCACCGAAAAGAACTTCCAGAATCAACAACGGGCAAGTCTCGCAGGTTTGCTGCGCAGCTCTTCAGTTGTGTCTCGTAGACCTCTTAAAGACATACAACATCAAGCCAGCAGCGGTGCTGGGCCACTCGTCAGGAGAAATCGCAGCTGCGTACGCCTGTGGGGCAATTACTCAACGCGAAGCCATCATCATTGCTTACTATCGTGGCAAGGTATTGGGGGCCGTAGAGGACTCAATTGGTGGTATGGCTGCCATCGGGATGGGGAAAGCGCAGGTCACGCCATACCTTCGGCCTGGCGTGTTGGTCGGATGCGAAAACAGCCCAAACAGCGTCACACTGACCGGAGACAAGAATTCTCTCGATCTGGTAGTCACGGAGATAAAGAAGTCACATCCGGACGTACTTGCCAGAGCTCTGCATGTGGATAGGGCATATCACTCCCATCACATGCAAGCAGTTGCTTCGCAATATGTCGACCTGCTTCGACCACACGTGCAGCCTCGTGACCCAAAGACGCTCTTTTTCTCTAGTGTCACGAACCAGCTCATATGCAAGGGGACTGAACTTGGCCCCGATTACTGGGTCCAGAACTTGGTATCACCGGTTCTCTTCAATGGAGCTGTGATCAAAGCATTGCACACCCTTAATTCCGAGAAGGTTTTCCTAGAGATCGGTCCACATTCTGCTCTTGCAGGTCCTATTCGACAGATCTTAGGGGCTGAGAAAATCAACGCCGAGTATATTGCCACCCTCATTCGCGGCCAGGACGCTCACCAAGAAGTCCTCCGTGCTGTGGGCGAGCTGTGGCTACGTAATCATCCGGTGGCCTTGGATCGCGTGTTCGAGGAAGGAGGCATTCTGACAGACCTCCCGTCGTATCCTTGGCACTATGAAGGGCCACTGTGGCATGAGTCTAGGCTATCTGAAGAGTATCGTCTACGCCAGTTTCGGCATCATGAACTCCTTGGCAGCAGGGTGTTGCAAAGCACAAACACAAGCCCAGCTTGGCGAAATTTGCTACGTCTAGAGGATGTGCCCTGGATTGCGGAGCATGAAGTTGAAGGAACCATCATCCTTCCAGGCGTCTCCTATCTGTGTATGGCCGGCGAGGCTGCTCGGCAGCTCACAGGAAAAACAAACTTTACATGCAAACAAGTTCACTTCAGTGCGGCTCTACCCATGACGTACGAAAGTCAGACGGAAATCATTACTCAACTCAACCAAATACGCCTGACCGACTCAATTGACTCGGATTGGTACGATTTTACCATTTCCAGCTACCAGGACGGAGGCTGGGTGAAGCACGCGTATGGAAACGTCCGAGGTGACGGTGACTTGTCGAATATTAGCCTGGGACAAGGTTGTACCGAAGATTCCAGCAGCGTCTTCTCGAGAGTGTGCTCCTCCGCCTCATGGTATCGTAAGTTCAGGTCTCTTGGCCTTGAGTATGGTCCACGCTTCAGCGGCATGGACATAGCCGCAGATCCCACGACACCACAGATTTCGGGGGCTTTGAAGCTTGATCTACTACCCGGAGAGGAAAAGTACTATTCTGTACATCCAGGAGCATTAGATCGTCTTGTTCAAAGCCTATACGTGGCCGCCTCCCATGGTCTAACGAGAAATTGCAACTCGCTAGCACTTGTCGCTTACGTCGACGAGTTCGCTTTTGCGGTACCACCAGAAGGAGCCAAGAAGCTGGCATTCTCAGCCAGGGTCACGGAACAAAGGCCTGGGGCGTTTCTGGGAAGCGTTGACGCAACTATCGACGGTGGTAGCGTAGTCGTGAGCTCCAAGGGGTGGCAGCTTTCTAGAATCAGCGGGTCTAACGACGCGAATGAGAATTCGAACCCATTTGGAGCTGCACAGCTTGAGTGGAGGGAAGACATCGAGTTCATTGATCCCTCTTGTCTAATCCGATCCGCGATAGACGCCTCGAAGGCTGAGCTTTATCAACTGCTAGATCGATTTAACATACTTTCCCTGACTAGAACACTTGATAGCATACGCCACATTGCTCACCCTTCACGGAAACACCTGACAAAATACCGGAAATGGCTTGAAGACACCGTAACTGGTTTTGCTTCTCGCTCGCTCAAATGCCCTGGAGTTCCGGATGCTGACCATCTCGTCAGTATGACTACGAGAGAACGAGATGCCCTGCTTTTATCAATATTCAAAGACCTGGAAAAGAGCGAGGTCCATGCTCCTGCAGCCGCAATTCATCGCGTCAGCTCTTCCTGTGAGGGAATCTTCAATGGTGATGTAAGCGAGCTTGAGCTTCTTCTGGCGGATGGCGTACTTCAAAACGTCTACAACTGCCTTCTTTTGGACACAGACTCGTCAAGGTTGTTATCCCTGATTGGGCATAAGAAGCCGAATCTGCGAGTGCTAGAGATCGGGGCCGGAACCGGAGGTGCGACGGCAAGCACACTCCGGAGCTTGACATCGAGTCAGGGGCAAAGGATGTATCAGTCATACACGTACACTGATATATCCAGCGGCTTCTTCGCAGATGCCAAGAAGAGGTTCGAAGACTATGGAGGGATTGAATTCGCCATTCTTGACATCAGCAAAGATCCTTTAGAGCAGGGGTTCCAGGCCGAGTCATACGACCTCGTTATCGCGTGGAACGTCATACATGCCACACCAAACCTTCACGAGTCGCTAAGTAACATAAGAAAGCTGATACACCCTGAAGGGCGGTTCCTATTGCAAGAAATCTTTCCGACCACGCCCTGGATCAACCATTGTTTTGGCGTCATCCCAGGCTGGTGGCTTGGCGAAGCCGACGGTCGCGTTTCCACGCCCCATGTCAGCTTTGAGAGATGGAAGAAGGAGCTGTCGGACTCCGGATTCGGTGATATATCAAACAGTTTCGACGGTTACACGAACAACAACTTCATTTGCCGGCCGTCACAACCTGTGCCCTCGTCGACACGAGTCACACTTCTAAAGTACGAGGGACAAGATACTAAGCAGCTTTTTGAGACTCTGCGCCGGGCTTCATACGAAGTCGATGAATACACCTTGGAGGATTCGGAAGCGAGTCTTACCCCAGAACAAGACGTCATATCCGTACTCGATATCCTTTCTCCCTTTTTCGCCGGTCTGACAGAGGAAAGATTTGCACACTTTCAGCGATTCGTCAAGAATGCCCACGATAGTGACTGTGGTGTTTTATGGCTTACTGGCCAATGTCAGGTCGGCGAGAAGATTCAATCGGAGTACGCTCCGCTTTTTGGCTTATCTCGCGTTCTGCGGACAGAGCTAGGGCTTGATTTTGCCACTCTTGAACTGGAAAGTTTCTCCCCGGCGGCCATCGCTCATGTTTTCCCGAAGGTATACAGCCAGTTCGGGAAGCGCGTCAAGAATGACCCGGATAGCAACCCCGAGTATGAATGGGCGTACATGGACGACAAAATTCTGATCAGCCGTTATCATCATATTAACCTGACAGCTGAGTCTCAAGTGCTTCCAGAAAGTATGGGTGTGCGAAAGCTCTCCCAGCGCAAGCCGGGACTCACTGACACACTGTACTGGAAGCCAATGATAACTCCGGCGCTCAATAAGGATGAAGTCAAGATCGAAGTGAAGGCCGTCGGCATGAACTACAAGGACGTTCTCGTTGCTCAAAGTATTATCACCGACACAGCGGCTATTCAAGATGGACTTGGTCTAGAATGTGCCGGCATTGTCTTGGAAGTCGGCCCTGATGTGGACAGGGTCAAGGTGGGAGATCGCGTCGTGGCCATATCTAGCGGGTCATTCACAAACATCAAAGTGACGTCCCAACAGCTATGCTGCAGGATACCGGACCCGATGAGTTTCGAAGACGCTGCTGTGATTCCTGTTGCATACTGCACTGCTTTTCATGCGCTGTTCACCCAAGGTAAAGCAATCAAAGGAATGGTATGTAAAACACCTCAATTTCATACAAACCTCAATCTCAACCGTCACTAACGGTATGCGTGCGCAAAGAGTATCCTGATCCATTCGGCTACGGGAGGTGTGGGCTTGGCGGCAATCCAGCTCGCTCAGATGCTAGAAGCTGACGTGAGTTGAACGATTGATGTAAGGCTTCATTTTGCAGTCAAAACTGACGAGTATCTCAACAGATTTACTGTACTGTCGGCAGTCAAAGTAAGAGAGACTTTCTGATCGAGAAACTCGGAATTCCCCCAGGCAAGATTTTCAACTCCCGCAACTCATCATTCCTGCCGGGCATTATGGCAGCCACAAATGGATTGGGGGTGGACTTGGTCCTCAACCAACTATCAGGAGAGCTACTCCACACTTCTTGGCAGTGCGTGGCCGAGTTTGGTACCTTGGTCGAGCTCGGCCGCCGGGACTTCCTTGGACATGCGAAGCTGGCCATGGACCAGTTCGAATCTAACCGAACTTTCTGTGGTGTTGATCTGGCACATCTCTGGGCCCGCAAGCCACGATTCGTTGGGGATATGCTGGAGCGAGTCATAGATCTATGGACGCAGGGCCACATTAACCCATATGTCGCCTCTACTTTCTCAGCCGCAGAAATTTTCCAGCCCTTCCGACAAATGCAACAGAGCCAGCACATAGGCAAGATCGTTGTAACATTACCTGAAGAAGCTGACTTCCAGCTGCTTCCCACCGAGCCCATCCACAAGACGCTCGAACTACGGCATGATCGGTCATATCTCTTTACTGGTGGCTTGGGATCTTTGGGTACCGTCATTTCCTCCTGGCTTGTGGAAAAGGGGGCCAAGGAGATCATTTTCCTGTCTCGCTCTGCAGGCCGTCTACCGGAACATGCCTCTTTAGCCAAAGAGCTGGCATGTCTGGGTTGCAATGTCAAATTTATTTCCGGCAACGTCGCCAAATATGACGACGTCGTTCGAGCAATCAAAGCCGCCAAAATGCCAATAGGAGGGGTCCTGCACGCTGCCATGGCTCTTCGGGACGCTAGCTTTCTCAGCATGAGTTGGTCTGAGTGGCTTGCAGCATCGCAGCCGAAGATTGATGGAACTAGGAACATCCATGAGGCCTTGCTGGAGCGGCAGCCTGACGTTCCGCTTGACTTCTTCTTCTTGTTCAGCTCCACAGCAGCCACAGGTGGATGGTGGGGACAGGCCAACTATCATGCTGGGAATTCCTACATGGAATCCTTCGCTGGTTATAGGCGAAATTTGGGACTAGCTGCAAGTGTTCTAAATGTGGGCTTCATCAGCGACGTCGGCTACGTGGCTGACCGACCTGAGGCAGCTGACTTGGCCAAGGCAACAGGTCAATGGTTCAACACCGAGGTCGAGCTCCTGGACTGCATTGAGCAGATGCTGATGGAACTTCCGACGGGCAACGGCGCTTCAGCTGCCTCGTGCCATGTACAACCATCTCTATTGGCCATGGGAATGCGGTCTACGATGCCGCTTACATCGAAATCGTGCCGTGTCCCGTGGAAGAGAGATCGACGAATGCTTGCCCTTCGCAACCTGGACTCGGATGACAGCAATATTCCTTCAGGCTCAGACAGTATGACGAATGACGAGCTCAGCCACGCCATCCGAGAGCTAAGCTCTAACATCGTTTCGCTTCAATCAGGAGAGACCACAGAATTCCTAGCAACGCATATTGGGAAAACGCTGTGCAAATTTCAGCTTAGACAAGACATCGACCTCGACTTCCAGGCTCCATTAACGGACCTCGGTCTAGATTCCCTAGTAGGAATAGAAGTGCGCGCCTGGATCAGGCAATGTATGAGCGTAGATCTGGCCACGCTTGAGATTACCGGCTCCAAAAACCTAGAGCAGCTTGCTACGGCGGTGCAGAAAAGGATGATTCAGAGATACAACTCTAAGACATGAGGCGCAAACACCCGCATGGGATAGGATTCAAAAGCTTTGCTTCCTGTACGTAAATACACATGGCTTGGGAATCAACTTGGTCTCAGAACGAAGGCCCTTTGTGGGGTTGCGAGTAAGCCTAACCGCCGCTAGGCATGCTGTGTAACTCGCGGAGAGTTCACAGGAGTCAGGGGCAACGATATCCGCCAAGAAAGTACTTGGCATACGCTAAGCAGCATGATAAACAGGCTGTTTAATTTCCGGCAAAGTCCTACATACATATGGTCAATTTGAGTTAGTGAATTGTCGATCCTTCAGCAGGGCGTAAGCCAGGCGCGACAGGGGTCTGGTGAACTACCGGAGGCGGCCGCGGCCGCAGGGCTGTCCAGGGTCCTCAGCTGGGCGACCAAAGTTCCGCAGATCATCAAAATTGCCCCGGTAGAAGTTGAATCACGGACCTTCAGACAGTATGTAAGGGAATCGCCGACCATTTGACAGCCTGATCGGGCGAAAGAGTGGAATCGGTTGCTGGAACAAGGTGCGCCTCCAGGCGGCAAACTGCGAAGAAGAAAAGTAAGAAGGGAAGAAAAATTTCCTATCATCTGACTTGCATACTTGTGAGAGAAATCCTATGGGCGCTTAATGGGCTTCAGCTCTGCATATGGAAGGCAATAGGCCTATTTGTCGAGTATTGTGCCAGTGCAAAGCCTTTCCCGAATAAGTGTCTCTCGGCTTGTGTCCAGCACTACACCAGAGGGCAGTAAAACCACTTTTTTCAGGATTCCAAGCGCAGCAAAATGGAACCAGCCTCTGTTCAGAGTATCTGGATGGAGTTTGACACCAATGTAACTTCGCGTGAGTTGTCTAGTAAGGCGGGGACTTTAACAAAGTTCCTTGCGTACATGTATCAGTATGGACGCTCACGATGGTTACAACTTTGGACAACTCTGGCTCCAGTATCCACATGGCGGCCGCCCGGCCCACCTTAGCCTACTACACCTCAATGGCTTCTAGCCTTGTCAGCGTTCCATTCTTGATTGCTTCATGGTGGCCACTGATGTCTCGTCTGCCTAGGACATGACATGGTTCATTTCACCCACTCACCAGTTGCATCGACAAAACCGCCTATTAATTACTAGCGGTGAACACGGGGTATGCCATGGACCGATAGTTATCGTTGGCGCAACATGGCCTTGGAGGATCTTTCGTATGATCTACCTGGACGGCACCTAGTAGTTTTCCGGCCAGGCGCATTGCTTGAGACATTCAATGCAGGCAGACAAGGTAAAGATCCTGTCGGGATTATGAGCCCGTAACTATGTTGTGATTCTTCGTGAGGATGACAACACAAGCGGGTGGTCAACTATATAACCCTTCTGATCTCCCGCGTGTTTCTTTCTTGGCCTTCAACAGCATCAGCCTCTCACCTCATCACATCTTTCGCCCTCTCCACAGCCATACTTCTCAAGTTTCTTGATCTACAGCTTTCTCACCTTTGCCAACCAAGATGAAGTCTTTCACCGTCATTGCCGTCACCCTTCTGGGTCTCGCCAACGCTGCCAGCATTCGCATTTGCAAGGACCAGACCATCACCAACTGCGTGACTATGGACGTCAACGGCTGCAGTAAGTTTCTAACTATAGTCTTGTCATGATACGAGGTCTAACAAAGCGTAGCCAACTTTCCTGGAAGCATGAACGATGTTGTCAGCTCTGTTGACACCGGCAGTGCCACCTGCACCTTCTACCAGTAAGTCATCACAGTCGGTTCTTCAAATTGGAAGTAGCAGATTACTTCCGCTACCTTATAACTCACTCCGTGTGCCAATTGTAATCTAATATGCTTTGCGTTATTTCAGGGACGGTAGCTGCACTGGCGGGTCCTGGACCACCGGTGGACTGCAGAACACCGTGCCCACCAACTTCAACGACAACCTCAGCTCCGTCAGTTGCTAGATGGCTTAGTGACATGTCGAGTTGCACAGATAGCTTTTCATGGGAACTCTACGGTGCTTGATAACTCCTTCTCTGGTTTTTCGATGTTTGTGAGGGGCATTTTTCAATTTTGACCGCCTGCAGACAGTGCTTCTCGGGCCGTGGTGTAAGCTGAATACGGGATGTAATCTAGCTTGTCTCTAAGCTCGAGATCACTTTGAGGCGCATTTTTATTGTAGAAGAATTCCAAGTGTACTCATTGGATTCACTGATTTAACATCACTATGCGAATCATATCAACAGAATCTACGTGGTGAGGTGGAAGATGCTCTCAAAGCGGATGCACAATCTCATCATGATCCTCAATATGATCTTCTCTTCAATATCCGCCAAAATGGCAAAGCTCTTGATGGAAATGACTAAGCTTGCTGTGGCACCTGGTACCTCGTCTTGCCTGCGTGCAGTCCCTGATTCCACTTGCCTCTCCGAGGGCCTGGCGTGATCGCAAAGTGGTCCAGGCATAGCGTCCCTACCCCGAAACGTTCTGTCGCACAAGTTTGAAACCTAATTTGATTCAAATCTTAAGAACTAAATGAGATGGAGAGAGCGAGACAGCTTCTTGCTGATTTGCTGGGTCCTCTGTTGGAGGCCGACCACCCCGCACGTAGCGGCATCCAAAGTTCAGCGGGTTAAATTTCCTTGTGCTGGAATAGAACCTGCTACTCACAAGCCTCGCTGGATGTGAGCATATTTCTATCATTTTCATGCATCATAGGTCTTTCTTTCAACATGACCGAAGGAGTCTCCTACAAGCTCGATCCCAATGGCGATGTTTTACTCACTCTCCATCCTTTGACTTCTCCGTTTGCGCCATGGGATGAGAGAGCATCAGCAGCGACTATAGGGAAAGGAGAACGCCTTACCTCGCAGAATGGAAGGTCGCCCGATATGCACGTGACGTACAAGGCTGAAAGCATAAGATATCTTTTATCGTCTCGGCACCTTGCTCTTGCCTCCCGCTACTTCGCATCAATGTTGAAATGGACCGGAAAGGAGGCTTCAACTAGGAAGATAGACGGTCTGCATTATGTGGATGCGTCTGGATGGGATGCTCAGGCGTTTCTCGTGGTGATGAAAGCGATGCATGGAAAGTTCCGTGGCATTTCCCGTTGTGTTGATCTCGAAATGCTCGCCAAGGTCGCCGCGATCGTGGATTACTACGACTGCCATGAGAGCCTGGAACCACTCTCGACAATATGGATCGAAATGCTGTCTAAAGCATCGCCTCTACCCATGACATGTGATCGAGATTTACTCCTGTGGCTTCTAGTATCATTTGTTTTCCGGAACGAGACCATGTTTCAGCATATCACCAAGACAGCTATCCGGGAAACCAAGGGGCCGCTCCCATCTCTGGATCGACTGCCCATTCGATCGTCCATAACGGGTGAGGATTCCACAAATTTCTGGGTTTCAGCAGGTCCTTAGACTAACCTTCAACGATGCAGACGCAATCGACCAGCGTCGCGAAGATATCATTAAACGAATCTTACAAATGCTGGAAAATCAAGCTGATCGGTTTCGAAACGGTTCGTCCGGATGCAAATTCGAGTGTTCGGCGACCCTTCTGGGGCTGTTGGTGAAAAACATGGCTGAGCATAGATTGAGCCACCCAACGCCGTCTCGACCCTACACAGGATACAGCGTGACAGGACTCGAAAGGTCTATTAGAGCCTTCAAGAATCCACCATCTTGCTGCCCTTTGAGTCCGTTCATTGTACCTACTAGGATAGAAAAGTACGACAATATCACAGCGGGGCTGGAGATCAAAGAATTTCTCAGTGACGAAGACATCGCCGACAGTTAGGGCAGGTCGTCACAACGAGCGGGCCAAATCTTCAGTCAATGCTGTCTCCATATCCAAAATACTTACCATATTGGGCTATTTTCGCGGCACGGTAGTCGAAGTAGGAGTTTCGGCTAGGGGTGTTTGTATTTGCAAGAGAGTGGGTTATTCCAACGCATCAAAATCTAATGGAGAGGGCTCCCCAAAGCCGCCCAGCTACAGTGACCTCTTATCTCTGAATGAGCGAAAGATACTAATCCGTGAAACATACAATACGACCTTAGCAATGTGTCTAAGCCTTGATGGCAGAGCTCTGCAACTTCAAGCGACGGAAACCGCCGCGACAGGCGACATCGCTCTGAAGCTCGACCATTCTCTTCTGGTCCCCAGTAGGGTCCTCCGAGTCGGCGTCAAGGCCCCACCCCAGAAACTCGTTGGTGTAGTTGGGTTGGAAGCTCTCATCCAAAACACCAAGCCTCTTGCCGTACTTGGTAACCTTAGTCCAGTCACGCTGGACGTTCTTCAGGTCATGCGAGAAGTACGCGAAGCTGCGCTCGAAGATCTTGCGGTTGAGGTCCGAGCCCATTACCGGCTTGAAGTCGACATACTCCTTCCAAGCCTCCTCGGGCTTCTCGAGGACGTAGTCGGTGGCCCGCTTGACAGCCTTCATGAACTTGCGAACCTTGTCAGGGTTTTCGGCAATGAAGGACTCGTTGCCGATGTAGAGGATGGTGCAGAAGCAGCAGCATCCAAGTTCAGCCAGCTCGTCGATGCGGAGCATCTGGACGTCGGTCTTGGGCTGGCCCTGGGCAGCGAGCCACTCCTCAAGCTCGACCATCTGGACGTTCTCCAGACCAATGCCTGCATCGATGGTGCCCTCGATAATGGCCTTGGAGACGTTCATGCCGCAGCGCACGGCGGTGTAGTCGTTGGGTGTCATGCCGTAGTGCGAAGTCAGCTCGTCGATCTGGATCTTGCCGAACTCGCCGACGTAGCCGATGCGCTTGCCCTTGAGGGTGCGGAAGTCGGTCGTGATGCCGGAGTCCTTCAAGTAGACGACGCCGGTGAAGGGCTCGTCGAGAAGACTGCCAATGGAAAGGACCGGGAAGTTGCGGGCCTTGGCCTGTCGAGGGATTAGGGAATGGTCGAGCCAGAGTAGGGGTCTTGTGCAGAACCTACAGCGAGCGTGTGAATCATAGCCTTGAAGCCAAGATCAACCTTGCCAGTGCCGATGATCTCGGTGACATCCTGGATGATAGTTAGTGACAGCCCAGAACGAAAGCCTCGATGACAACGTACGCTAGGGTCGTTGGGCTCAAGCAGAGCGACCTTGATGCCCTCGTCCTTGAAGTATCCCTTGGCCTGGGCGAGGTACAGGGGGGCGTGGTACGGGGTGGCGTGCCTGACCCAGTGTCAACTTACATTCGCAGCATGCACGCGGGCAATCCTACCAGTTGGTGAGGAAGGTGATCTTATCAGTCGACATTTTGACAGATCAAGCGTGATGCTGCACGGGTTAGTTCACTCCCATTCTCTCAAGTGCAGGGCGGCAGGGAAGCCAAAGAAGCAAGTCCTTTCGCTGGTATTATCCAGATCAAGTTCGCCGGTATTTCTCAGATTAACTCCCTGTCGTGCCCTTCCATGTCGGCGCTCCTTACGATCGAATCGAGATATCGAGGGAGACCGGCGTGGAAGTATGTAGCACGGCAGATGAGTCAAACACCCGGATGCGTTCTTCTCTTACTTTACCTCGATCTGTAGATGTTTCCATTGCGATAGATGCCATGGCTCTCTGACGCGGACGCGAGCGTCGTACCGGGTCAAGTATAATTGGTGTTGGTCTTTGCAGTTTGGTTTGCTTGCAGCAATGAGTGTGAGCAAAGTAAGTCGAGGAAATCAAAGGAGGGCTTGTAGTTCATATATGCCTCGTTGGAGGGGTAGCTTCCTCAACAATTGAAGCTGGGCCCATTTCCCCTCATTTGGTCGAAGCTAATCCTGCATTTCGGCTTGAGTTCCGGTTTACCGACCGAAGACGTTCGTCATTGACGGAGACTACTGATACGAAGGAACAGCTCTCCTTCTACTCACCCATTGGTTCTGAAATGGGCGGGCAGGGATGATTAAAGTGTTCTGACATCAATCATGCCCTTCCGCTGCGTCGATTGATGAGCACTTAAGCCGCCGGTCGACATGAGATTGTGTCACAAAAGTGGCTCACCAATCCTCTAGCGTTAAAATCAAGCGAAGGTTCAAGCACACGAGATCAGAGGAATTCTGATTCGTCGAGCGAAGTAAATCGATTGCTAAAAAGCCTCAGAGAGAGTCTTGAAATCCACCATAGACCGGCATGATCTGACTGTTTCCCAGCGGAAAGATTGGGGCGGACCGGGCTACTCCGCGACTGACCTCCGGGATCGGAAGCTGACAACCGACGGGACCCACTCGGAGCCGGCTTGTGCCGATGATTACCGCTCATCGGCGGCAATGTCAGTTAGAGTTACTCCGCGATCTCAAAAACACGATCTGTTCTGCAAGAAGGTGCAAGTCAATTGATAGATTCTCGAATGATTCGCTATAACTACGCTGGAAATCCACTGCTTGTACTGTTGTTCCTGTTGCTCCTCATTTCACTGGCGTTGATCCCCGACTTGTGTATTGAGCGTTCATCTCAATCATCCCCGCCTCATTCCTTGCGTGGAACGTTTGCTCCTCCATGTGCAGGTCATAGATGCCTGCGTCTTTTGACACCAAAGTGTCTCTGTAGATCCACTTGCTGCCCTTTGCCCCCTCCGTGGTCAGCCCTTTCTCTAGAGCTTCCTCGTTCGCCCTCCTGTCTTGGATCGCCATGGACCTCATGACTTGCGCCATCTCAACGGCGCCGCCGTCGGGAACCACAACCCGGTTCGCTACCAAGGCCGCCGCAAGACCCAATGCCAGCTGCAATACAGCTGTCAGGAGCAGAATCATGTGGATCATGTTCCAGTGAGAAACGTTGAGCTTCGTGCCTTTCATCGGCATGGTACCCTCCAGGGTCAGCGAGGGGTTGTTCAGCGCGGCAATGGCTACAACGCCAATCGTGAAGCGGTTCAATATCATCTGCATGACTTGGTTGGTGCCGTTCATGGGGGTTCCGAAGATGGATTCGGCGGGGTATGTCTGGTACTGGAAGTTGGTGTCGTTGGCGAGTGACGAGGCAGCATATCCCTGGAGGGCGATGGCTGCCGTCGCCAGCTCCGTAAGGTTGGTTCCGACATAATGTTCCGGCAGCGTGGCGTTGGCTACTTCGTGAACCGAGACGTTGCAGCTGTAATACCATGGCGAAGTAGCTGATGCCTCAAAGACGGAGACGATGCTGCATCCTGTTCCGCAGTCAAATTGGGAGTTTGTCATGAATGTCGACTGATCGCTGCCGCCGGGGACAGGGATGTAAAGATCGTAGGTGTTGCCGTTGTCGAGGGCAACGGTGACGTTCGTGGTGTTGCCACTGCCACCGCTGATGACCGGCCAGGATGTGCAAGATGATGTAACGTTGATACTTCGGTTGGTGCACACGGTCATGGGGTTCGTATCGTCGTCTTTGATTGATGAGGTGGAGGTTTCGTGGAAGACATATTTGCAGAGGTTCTCGTCGCAGAACATGAGAGGATCACTTTCGACGTAGATGGCTCTGGCCGATGGGACTTTCTCCATGGCTGCCGAGTCATATGCCAGAGATACTGTGCCATAACTGGGCGATGAGGTTAGCCTGCGTGATTGACATAGACTTCTGGTGACGCACCTGTTGGCGGTGTACTGCAAAGCACCGAGTCCCTGCCTGTTTGATTTGACGATCTTTTCTGTTCCGATTGTTGTCATGTCAGGAATAGTAACATTGCCGGGAACAAGCAAGGCTTGCTTGTCTGCGGTATCGGTTGAGTAGCAGAGGCCAATTGCTGCAAGACCGATTTGAGAACCCTAGGAGAGTCAGTGGTGGCAACCGCGAATGCCAACCAGGGAGCATACTATTGACAGTATGAGCCAACCAGTGGCCGCCATGTGAATGGACCAACGCTTCGACCGAACCGCCAACATGATTGTGTGCTTCAAGTTATCCGCGGCAAGGATTCGCTCAACCTATCACCTCTCGTCAGCAATCTGCCATGTTACACCATACCTCACTTCCCAAACTCGCAGGCTTACCTTGCTCTTGGAACGATGTCGCCGACTCAAGATCCACCACCTCAACTCTGCCACCATATGGTTCAGACTACTGGCCACAGCAATACCTAAGGCAATCGAGAGACCGGTGATGAGGGCATTGTACTGTCGCTTCGTCGTCTGGCTCATGACGGGCTTGCTTGAGTAGACCCAGATCACGACGTAGATCGAGACGATCACCGCCATTGTGATGCCCCATCGGGATAGCACCTTCGCTATAACTTTCCATCGCGTTTGCCTTTTGGCTGGCAGGCCGTGGAACGGTCCATCGTCTGTCTTCTTACGGAGAATCGCGGCATCCTCGCTGTAGTTGTAATCCTGGGTGGGAGAAGAGACCTCGGCTGGACAAAGGTTAGCCTCGTGATCGACATTAGTCTCGTGTTGGATCAGTCACTTACTCTTTACCCTTCTTAGTGAGTTAGGCATCTTGCCTTACCACGCTCGGCTTGCGAGCCAGCTTCAAGTCCAGTGGTGCGGTGGGCGAAGTCGGAGAGGTATCGCTCTACCTCCTGAGGGGTAACATGAGCCGGTATATGAACGAAGGGAAGAAGACCTTAAAGACTGGAGACCACAAGGTTGTCATCTTTGAACGAAGGGCCCGTCGAGACTAACAACCTTTTAAAGCCCCGTAGCCACTTCGGCGGAGGGTGGATACAAACCCCAGGATGGAACCTCAGCTCTCGATTCGGTGCAATGGTGAATCGCATATCAACAGGCCTCCCGGCTGACCTGATGGGGCTAGTGAATCAGAGAGCCGTCGCCGCCCCCACTGGACATGCTCTTGCTGGCATTTCACCAAGACTTCCAAGAAGACTCCAAGAAAACCACAGGCATTCTGGGGAGAAATGCAGACGCGCAATCCAAGACAACTACCTGGCCGTCAGGCACCGATTCTCGAGGCCTCCAAAACAATCGTCAACCAACAAAGCTGCACGAAAAGCCAGAGCATTTGGCTGGGCAAACAGTCAGGAGTAACAATCTGCCCTCTAAAAAAACAACTACAGTGGACACGGAGTGAGAAAAACACCCAAGCGCTCGGGACGCCCCGTGCAAGTCAAGGTGCCCTGGGTCACGACTCATGCACGTCAGGGGGCCGTTCAGGGCTGATGGTCGCTGATTCTCGCTGACATAACCCTGTAGGGCTCGAAAACGGCCAGCCCGAAATGACATCTTGGGTGATTTAGGGGCAAGCTGCAGGCGGAGCTCTGTGATGTCCAGGTGTCGTGGTGGAAAGACTGCCCGATCGAGGTAAGATAGCCCGTCATAGTCTCCATTTGCAGACATTCACCGATGAGTCTAAGTTTTGCAGATTTCACTTAGATGGCGGCCGGTTGTCTTGGCTTTCCATGCTAAGAGTGTCCCGGCAGCACGCGATCACCTCAAAATAGGTGGCGAGAAGTGTCAATATCTCGATCTACGGCATCTTCAACAAGCTGCCCAACATAAAACAACATTCCTTCTTATCATTAAGCTTGAAAGTCAACATTCCCTTGAGGGACGTCAACGTGCCTGGGGGATGAAAAGATGAGACAGGCAATGGGCCCAGCTGGACCGCCGGTGTTAAGAATCAGTGGTCAGCCGCAAAACTGCGAGCCCCCTGTGCCTCCCGTGGATCCCCAGCTAGCAACGTTTAAAAACAGGTCTAAGACAGGGGATCTTGTCACGGCACGGTTTGCCGTCCCACCATTTCCACTGTTCGGATGAGCAGGTGTGGGAACCAGGAGGCCGGAGCGCGCAGCTCGCGAAGCTCAATGCGGACGCGTGCGCTGCCCGCGCGTCCCGTTGGCAGGGTTGGGCCTAAATAGAGTTAGCCTTACGGGGTCGGCAGTTGGGATGCACAACAGCTTTTTGATGATGCCACACTGAACAGTTGTCTGAGCCGCACGAAATGTTTTTGAGCTTATTCCCACTGACATATCCTGTCGCCAGGTACCCAGTGACGACAGTAGATGCCAGCTAACTCATTCCATGGAGGCTCAAGCAAAAATATGCGTCAGCAGCATTCATCTGAGAATGTGGGCGATGGGAATTGATGAAACTCATGGCTGGTCACCTTGGTGGTATACAGATAAAAATGGAATCACAACACGGTAGGAACCGTATATGGATCATTGCTTTGTCCTAAGAAAAGACAACATTCCTGAAACTGTGACTACCGGGGAACCCGTGATGTTGGCCCTAGAGCATCGTCTTTTCGACTGTCAAATAGCGGAAGGGTGGACCGCAACGGGACTCCGGAGTGTTTCGCGGATGCTCCCATGGAATGGATAGCCAAATTCTCCGTGAACATATTAAAGAACAACAGCGTATCATCAATGATTATTCTAGGATTACTCGTCATTCGATTCTCTCCCTTCTGATCGGTTGGCATCCGGTGGCCCCACGTTCGGCAAACCGGCCGATCCAGCACCTTGGCGTTGCCCGAGCTGAATGACACATTGCCTGCCAACAAGACAAAAATGTTCGCCACAAAGTCCTGGGCTTTCCACACACAGATAACGCGTTCTCAAGATTCTTCTTTCTTGCAATGCAGACAGGGCGGAGCGTGGAACAAGTGGCCGCGCCTCTTCCGGACGTATGAGGCATACAGCCCGCCAGCGGCGTAGATCGCCCCGACGCTCATGAGGATGGGCCACTGGAACTGGTCAGGCCGAGAAAAGACGACAGTGGCCGCATATGACAGGAGCTCGAAGATGCTCTGCATGGAGGCCTCAACGGTGGAGAAAGCGCCGCGATGTTCCTCGTCGACATCCTGATTCAAAGTCAGCATTGCTTGATACGGACAGGATAAGTTGTTATGCTTACCCCCTGGATGATGGTCTGGGCAGACAAGTCATAGCCCCAAAGCCCGACTCTGCTCAGAATTACACCACCAACGAGTCCGCTGACGGCTTCAATGCTGCTTGTCCTGTTCTGAGACTTGTCCGCGAAGAACCAGCCTACTCCAGCAGCAAGCCAGATCATCTGCCAAGAGAGACTCCAGATGCCGGCGCGGATGGGACCGATCTTGTCCATCAACTTGGGCGCGGCCCACGTCGCGCTGAGCTCAAAGACTGTGCTGATAGTCCGAGCGATACCGATGTGGAAGGAGTTGTATCCGACGGAGAGCAAGAAGGTGATCATCTGTCCGGAGAAGGAGAGTACGGTAAAGTAGAGCAGTGCGAGGGACAGCGAAGGCCGGAGGGCGGGGTGCGAGAAGTAGAATGGGATTGCTGAGACGGGGAACACTGTCTGGATCTTGGACTTCAGCCAACCGGTAGTCTGTTGCGTCCGCGGTACGTCCGCATCTTCAGGGCCATCTGAATCTGAGTCGGCCGGCGTTGCCGGCTGGGATTTGACCCGGAGCTGTGCCAGGGCTGGCACGAGTTGATAGACCTGCATCCAGGATCAGCGTTTCGGCTGTCGAACTACAGTATTGAAAGAACTTACTCTGGCGATACACATATACTCAGTTACAACAGACAGAAGAGTCATCGAAAGAGTCACCCAGATGGCGATGGTAGTTGATGCACCATCAATCAACGAGATTGCGAGGGGGCCAATCAGCTTGCAGAACAAGTCAATTCGTCGGATTCGCGCGTTCAGTTCTGTTCTTCATATCAGTTGTGGCACGCGACCATATTTCTAGGTTCGATACTCACCTTGTCGAGCCTTCTCGTTGCCTTCGGTAATGACCACCACCTATCACCAGTCAGCCGACGCATGCAGGAGAAATAGTAGACCAATTAGCTTACCCAGTCACGTTCGACAGATACCAAATTCATCACAGAACACAACTTTTCAACGCAAGCCAATCCGACTACCATCGCGAAGAGGCTGTTCTGGAGGTCGCTTTGGAGGTCGCGCAGCCTCTCGAGCACGAGGAAGATACCACAAGACATGGCGACCGAAAGCCTTTGCCCGACAATCGAAATACGGACCACCGACAGTCGGTTGCCGCGATCAATCCATGATCCAATAGACGGGGACAAAATGACCGCAAAGACTCCTCGGACGAGCGCGTAGATGGACATAGGCATCAGCGTCCCAGGGTAGATGGACGCGAGAAACAGGACCGCGCCGAACTCGAACAGGCGTGAGTTCCACGTCGACAGAAAATGCGAAACATACAGGCGGAAGACCACCGGTTTCGAGATTGAAGGAGCTGCTGGTGTCGGGTCGTGCTGGGGCGCCATCATCATCGCCTCCTCGTGGCGGTAGCCCTCCGGGCGTGGCCGGTCGGAGATCGGCTCATCGTGGTAGGAGCCTTCCGAGAATGACGATCTCGGCGAATCTTCGTAGTCGGTCTCGTAGCCGTCATTGTCCGCCGCCAGCGCGGCCGTCTCTGCGTCCATTGCGGTCGCGATTGTTGAAGGCTCAACGCTCAAATGCCTGGAGATCCGAGGGCGCGCGCGACGGTCGGAGCGACATTTTAATGATTCAGTGACCGCTCCGGCCTCAAAATCGGACCACTCGGACGTAACGTTTGCCGGGGATGAATGCAGGGGTACACTCAAATGCCGGGAGGCTGGGCCTGAGCAGATCGAACCCTCTTCAATTGCATGCTTCGTCGCGCAGTACGTGGAGAATGCGTTTCTCCCTTGGGCATTGTAGGGATGGCTTTACTTCAGTCTTTCAGCGGACTTACGCCCGAGAAATCGATGAAAATCACCGGGCATTGATAGCGCCTGGCTGCTCAGAATGATCGGCAAATCACAGATGGCCTCGGCCGAATGGGCAGTACTCTGCTTCAGAAGAAGATGAGGAAGATGGTCAGGCCATGCAGTCGCTAACAGCGTTCATTTCAGTTGGCTTTATGTGAACCTAAGCTATCGATGTTGGAAGATCAGAGAGAGTCAGGTCAGCATCTGAGGTTCTGTTGTGAACACAGCAATGCTGGGACTTTCCATGGGGGTGGATATGATCGCTCAAGGTCAGAAACCAGCCCAACTGAAGAACTACCATCGTCTTGCCATCATCGCGCCTAACGGCACTCAACCTACTGTTGTTTCTTTGAATTAATTACTGTGATCAATTCCATCCCTATCTGTCCGTTGACGCGCTTCGACAACCGGTTATCAAAACAAATCAAAACAGAGAAAGCCCCATGATCTGCTCAGCCAAATGCCCCGCAATCGGAGCTGCCCCGACCGCTAAAACTCCTACTGAACAGCGAAAGAACCGATTCAAGGTCCGCTTTTCCTTCGGAGACCGAGCCGCATCATCTTCCGGATCCGGATGAAGGCGTTTGACAGGACGGACGGAGGAATGCTGTTTGATGCTACATAGCACCGCATTGACGCGGACGCCAAGGCACGTGAAGGGCGTCGGATTCTTCTAGGGATGACAGCGTTAGCTCGCGCAGCACGTCGTTTCATGCTTCACGCAACCACTCCATCTCAGTACTCGCAGCCAAGGTGCCACTAAAGACCTGCGATCATAGACCACTGCCGATTGCTATTCATCAATAACTTTACATCTTAAATCACAATGTCAGCGCCGTCTCCAATTGTCGCTCTAGGTGGCAACGCTGTCATCACTGCTGCCTTCGGCGGCGCGCTCGGATACGTGTTTGGGCGAAGACGCGTCCTCACCATCCTCGCCAATTTCTACGGTGCCATCTTTGTTGTCTTCGGCATCAACGCCATAGCCAGACCAGAGTCTGCTTTGTCTTTCTTCGAATGGAAGTACCCAGAAGACCCATACTCTCGCGAGCTCCTTGATCGCGTCATGGTCATCTACGGTGCGCGCGACATTTTCATGGGTCTAGCTCTCTTCGCCGCCACACTCTTCGGGACCAGGAAGTCTTTGGGTGCGACCTTGATTGCGGCGAGTGCGATGCCAGCTGTGGATGGGCTGATGTGTAGGGTGAGCGAAGGAGGCGAATGGGGGCATTGGGGGTATGTACCGACATTGGCCATTGTCGGTGCACTCCTGATGCGATGAGGCAAGCTGGTCAGGTCTTACATTATCGGCCTCTGTGGGCGGTGGGCCGCTTCAAACACATGCATTGCAGAACGCGAGGAAAAGTTTGCAAGCAGGAGTCTTATTAAGAATTCATATTCCAACGCCTACTTCATCTTCTCCCCATGATCTCATGATGAGCCCAATGCCTTGTTCTTCAACGCCGTTGAAGCCGTTTCCGCTAATTGGAACAGAGATCCCGAAGCCATGATCTCGAGTACGCTCACCTGCAAACCCAGCAGTTGCCTGAACCATCTCCTCAACTCAGTTGCCATTAGCGAATCAAGACCAATCTGCGCCAAACTCAAGCTGGTGTCGACGTCTTCGCCAGGCTTGAGCATGAAGTCGTACACCTTTGCACCAATTTCCTGAGCCAGGAACTCGAAGTTGGCCTTGTCCGAGAGGAGATCCGGGTTCTCTGAAGCTAGGTTCAAGAACGTCTTCAGAGCACTGGAATCACCGCCCGACTCGTCGGCCTGCTTGTTGCGGATGTTGTGATAGGCGCCCATGCGGCGGTCGCGTCTCCAGTTGCAGCGGTTATTGGGATCCTCCAGGTGAAGTTCGGATCGGAGGCCCATCACAACCTGGCTCTCGTTCTTCCACGCCTTGGGCGGGCGGCTCGATGGTGTTGCCTCGTAGGCAGACAGGTTGCCCTTTGCGGCAAAGATGGAGTGTTCCACGTAGTCGAGGTACTTCTTCTCTCCGAGGAAGTAGATGCCCTGGGCTTTGGTGTTCCGCTGGGCAACGGCACTTTCAGCGACGAATCCAACGCCCTTGATGGGGCAGATGTTGAGGACCGCGGTTGGAAGGCCGAGGCCGAGGCGGTACTGGGTGAAAGCCTCGAGGTATGTGCTTGCGGCGCTGTAGTTGCCCTGGCCCGGCTGGTCGACGACGGTAACGACGGAGCTGGCAAGCCAAAAGAAATCCAAACGCTGGTTTGAAAGCGCATGATGGAGATTCCACGCGCCGGTGACCTTTGGCTTTGCTACTTGGCCCCACTGTTCCCACGTCATGTCAACCATTGGGCTGTCTCTCAACACCATTGCCAGATGGAACACGCCCTTGATAGGCTTGGATGAGGCGCTGATAGCCGCCTTGACATCATCCATGTTCTCAACTCCACCAGCGACCGCTACAACCCTGGCACCGAGAGACTCAATCTCCTTGATCGCAGCCTTGCTCTCATCGCTGACACCTGCACTCCGAGAGATGATCGTTAAGTGGCGGGCGCCGTGCTCAACCAACCATGTTGACATGGACTTGCCCAGGCCTCCGAGACCTCCTGTCAAGAGATACGTAGCTTCCGGGTCGAATTTGATCGACTTCGCAAGCGGCTTGGCGTCAATCTGAGCAGAGAGATCGTCCATCGACACGATGACTTTGCCAATGTGGCTACCATGTTGCAAGTGACGGAACGCATTCACAATGTCACTCGCATGGAAGTGAGTCTGCTGCGGAATGGGACGGATGTGTCCTTGCTCCCAATACCCGAGGAACTGTTCCAACAACTGGCGGAAGTACCTAGGTCTCTTTCTGGCAAACTGAACGCCGTCAAAGCCAACGTACTGTCGGCTGCCAATGAAGGGGTTGAGATCCAGCTTGCCATACCCCAGGAGGTCACGCTTTCCAATCTCGACCATCATGCCGAACTCTGCGACGCACTTCCATGATGCATGAAGCAATGGTCCCGTCAGAGAGTTGAGCACGAGGTCGACGCCACGACCGCCAGTCTCTCTCATGACGCCGTCCAAGAAGGACTCGTCACGGGAGTGGAAGATGCGGTTACGCGGAATGTCATAGGTTTTCATGAGGTAGTCGACCTTATCGGGGCTTCCAACCGTAACGAAGATCTCTGCTCCGATCATACGGCAGATCTGGATGGCTGACAGGCCGACACCACCACAGCCAGCGTGAATCAGGACCGACTGGTCTTTTTGGAGGTGGCCGATGTTGATGAGGCCATGGATCACGGTCGCAAACACAACCGGGACACCTGCCGCGTCTTGGAAGCTGAGGTTGTCGGGAAGCTTGGCGGCATGGTAGCGTTGGAGAACGGCCTTGGTGGCCAGACATCCCTCAGGAGCGAAGGCGAAGACACGATCGCCGACCTTGAACTCGTCGACGTCTGAGCCGACGCGGGTGACGACTCCGCCAAGTTCAATGCCGAGCTCCATCTGGACACTACCAACAGGGTTGATGACACCCACTAAGAGACAGAAAATTAGTAGATAGTGACGAGAAGCATGGTGAAGATGCACTTACTGGCTGTGAGAACGTCCTTCAAGTTGAGGCCGATGGATTTGGGCTCGACTTCGATTGTGTCGGCAGGGATGTCCTGTGGTAACGCCTGCTCTGCCCAGTAGAGAGACTCGATGCTACCAATCTTGCCGATCTGCAAAGACTGAATGGTCTCCTGGCCAGCGATGCTCCGCTGTGACAGTTCCTCCTGCAGCGAGAACGGATGGTACCTGCCGATGCAGATCGTGCCATTGTCGACGACGAATTCCTTGTCGGAAACCAGGTTATCGTCGTCCTCCTCGCGGCGAATCTTGCCGAAAACCTTGAGGACGAGATCGTTGAAGTTGGGTTCGTCTTTGCTGATCTCCAGAGTGTGGAAGGGAACAGCCAGCTCGGTGCGAATGGTTCTGGCAGCACCGATGGTTTGCGCTGAGCGGGGATCCTTGCACTTGACTTGGACGGGGTTGGTCAGCCAGAGAAGATTCTGGTTGACACCTTGTCCGCGAATGAGGTCTCGGAAAGCGTAGAAATCGTTTTGGTTGATGTTTTCGAAAAGATTCCACTCGATGTCGACACAAGAGATGATGTCTTGGTCCTTGGGTAGGGGGTCGCCAAGATCGATAGGAGCAACTGAGAACCCGGCGTCCGTCAAGGAACTAGAAAGTGATTGGGCGACAGTACCTTCAACGTCACCAGTTATCAGAGTCACTGATGTTCCTCGTGGAGGCAGATCTCGGCATCTCCTTGACATGATGGTGGTGCAGCACCTGTACGGCGCGTCTTCGTCATAGACGGCAGTCTCAACGCCAGTGAAGCCGGAAGCGAGAAGCTCACTGTGCCAACGCGAAGGGTGAACGTAAGGAGCATAGAGACGACCGTCGTTCTCACCGAGCCACCATCCGACGAAGTTGCCAAAGATGTACGTCGGAGAGCGGAGCTCGGTGCAGATCTCAGTCAGAACAAGAGCACCGGCCGGCTTGAGGACCTTGTTAAGGTTGCTTAAGGTGTCCTTCAGCGATGGAGTTGCGTGAACAACGTTTGCCGCAAAGATAACATCGTAAGAGGACTCGATAAAGTCTTGCTCGAGGGGATCTTTGGAGATGTCAAACACCTTGTACTCCATATTCGGGGCATACGCAAAACGCTCCTTGGCTTGCGGGAAGAAGCCAGCGGAGACGTCGGTGAAGGTGTAGCTCGAATACCTAGGAAGACCGCCCTCGTGCATGAGATCGCGCAGGATGAGCTCCGTCGTGCCACCAGTGCCGGCGCCAACTTCCAAGATGCGGAGCTTGGGCTTGGTGCTGGACATTAGTTTGACGAAGTCGCTATAGCCGAAACTGACAGCGTTGTATAGCTCGGCTAGAATGCCGCCCTCCATCAGAATGTCAATTGTCTCGGCTTCGCCCTTGAAGATGCGCTCGGCATTGTCGACAACACGCTTGAGACCTTCGACAAGCCCTGACTTGTTGCCGTTCAGGAGTCTCTTGTGAAGATCTTCCAACTTGGCACGACGCGCCTCACGAGTAAGCTTGAGGTACTTGGCAGAGTCTGGTACCAACGCGTTCCCTCCCTCCCTCGCCCCGTGAACTTCCCTATCGATCCAGTCTCTCAGCTTCGCGAAGTGAGGTTGGGCAGGGCTCAGTCCGCGAAGTCTCTCACAACTCTCAATGATGCAGAGTAGTGTCAATTCCTCAATCATCTGGGCCTCCTCACGGTCCGAAGGCGGCGGCTTAAATAGAGGGGCAACGTCAACGAAGTCAAAGTCGGGAAGCCATTCGAGTCTGGCGGCCGCGTACTCATCATAGTCGGCATCGTTGCTTTCCTCAAGAGCAGTGAGCTTGAAGCCGTTGAGACGCAGCGCTGTCTTGCCGTTGGAAACGCACTCAACTCCTTCCGACTTGGTGGTAGAAGATCCCCAGGCCCTCGCTGTCAACGAGCCATCGCCACGACGGATATCCAGGCTTTTGATGAGGGTCGGGACCGACAATTGCGTGACGTTGCGTCCGAGACCCTTCGCGTAAGAGAGAATCAGGAGTTGGAAACAAGCATCAATGGCCACCGGATGCATCACATACGGCTTGCTTATCTCTTCACCGGGTACAGTGATGTCTGCCGAAGCAAGGGCCTTGGTGGTTGATGACGTGACATTCTCCAGGCGGCGGAACTCAGGACCAAAGTTGATACCGACATCTCCCATGTAATCGTAGAAACGGGAAGAGACCACCTTTCGGGGGTAATCCTCGCGAACGAGGGTGCTAGGTAGTTCATCGTCGAGGGCCTTGACCTGTCCTTCGCAGTGCTTTGTCCAGGTGGCCCCGTTGTACGATGCGATGGTGAACTCGAACCACTCCGAATGATCGGAGTCCGTTAAAGGGTGACGGCGCAGAGTCGTCATCAACTCAGTGGCCTTCTCGTGGTTTAGAACAAGGGCCGAGTGGGCTACCGTGTGCCTGATGCTGTAGCCTGCATTGACGCCAGTCATCTGACGGACTGCTTCACCAGCGATCGCAACGTAGCCGGCAAAGGGATAGACGATGTCTTGCTTGACCTTGTGGTCGACCATCCATGGCTCGTCCTCCAAAGATAGAATATTGCGCCACTGAGGTGCAGTGTCGGGCGACTCCGGAACACGGGCTCCCAAGAGGGCATGGTGAGGATATTTTCGCTGTCGCCAGGCCTGCGAGACTCTGCTCTCGTACCACAACGACAGACTGTGGTC